ACATTACAACGGAAAGTAATGAAGCTCGACGTCGCGTAGGTCGCTACTCCCGTTGGCAGCCGACTTACAATCGGCAGCATACCTCTCTGGGCTGTACTCACCCGTCTGCCTTGGGGTATGAGAGCCACGGTACGGCATGCCAACAACGCCAAGGACTGTCGTACATCACCGTCGTCGTCATGATCATCACCATCAGGAGCAGCAGCTTCTTCACTGCTAGCGTCACTGTCATCGAGGTCAGTGACTTCAGTTTCTCCATCGTCTGCGCTCTCGATAACGCCACTGCTGGGGCTGGCGCTGGTGCCAGAGTGTAAGTCATTGTCGTCATGGGCGGGCAGCAAGGAGGCTCCTGCTCCTGCTGCACAGCGCGTGTGGCTGGGTACTATAGTATCTTCTGACAAGACGCCAAGGATCTTCGCTACCAGGCTTGCGTTGGATGCGGCTTCGGCCAGGCCTGCAGGGTCCGCTCGCTGCCAGGCATGGCAGATGTTCTGTGGGAAAAGTCGACACAAGGGTGTAAGAAGAACGGGACTAAGGGCCGACAAGACCGAAACTATTCTGTAAGAGTGTTGCTCCTAACCTTGAGAAAACGTGGGCAAACATGTGGACAGGGCGCGCAGAGGCCCAGCGGCGGTCGCTCGGCTGGGTCCATCTGCGCAGAAGTCCATCTGCAATCGCCTGAATTCGAAGATTGGGACAGCGTATTTGTAAATCCTGGATGTTAACCTCGGGCTCAAGCCCGCCGGGATTGCCTGTACTGCGTTACCGCCTGTCGGTCGTTAATACAGCCGTGTACGGAGAAAGAAGCTCACCACAATCTGTTGCAGGCTTGCCTTGCTTTTGTCCCTAGCAGTAACAGACCTTAAAATACTGAGCATAGTTTTTGAGGATGCAAGGTCTCTTTGATCCTAGTCCAGGCGGCTTCCTAAGGCACAGTCGTGCGGTTCGTATCACTGCCGGCCTACTATTTCTTACAGCTTTTGGTGCTGCTGGGTATGCTACCTTCAACGCTGGCCGCTCGCTCTATCGCTGGGTCGCTGAAGAGCCCGGCACCAAGCGTTAGACCTTAAAGCATTCCCAGGGCATCATCTACCTATTAGGCCATACGGATGAATCTAGGACGTCTAGCATAGGCAATTCACGCGGGAGGCTACAGGAGGATGTTCAACATCAGGTCCATCACATCATCAGCGTGGTACAGGCCACCCTCGCACAAGCACCTGCGAGCTCGCCTATTGATCCGTTTAGAATGTTGCTCTCCAATCCCAGGTAGAGCGACACCCGTGGGCGCTATGTAGCAGCATGGCAGTATCTGGACATCCTGGGCCCCTGGGGCAACCCTGTGCTGACCTTGGCAAGGTGCTTTGTGCGCGAGAAGGTGGTGTGAAAGGGTTTTAAGGTGCAGCTCCAAGAACCCCAGATCGTCTTTGCTGCAGGTACGCCAGGTCGACTGGCGACTACTGCCGCCTCGCAGCTACAACCGGGTTCCTTCGCGCTCAAACGGCCTACACGGGCGTGAACCTGGAGAGGAGGAGCCCCTAGAGAGTAAAGTGAAGGCATAGGGCTTTGTAGCTATGTAAGATGTTGATGGTGGTGTTGGAGGATGAAAGACAATGTGGTCTGTACACCAGGGTTTGCATTTACTACCGGTACCAACGTCCTGACAGGTATGGAGTTCCGTTCGCTGTTAGTTGGGGCCTGCACTATACTCATCCAACTGTTGTGCTGTACCGGTGACACGCTGGCCGGAACCGGGGACATGCATGGAGAGCGTTTGATGTGGGTCGTGTGGCGGGAGAGGGTGTGGGATTCAGGTCCGTCAGCAGCAGCAGGCAGGCAGGGAGTCCACGCCTGGGTGAAGTTGGGTAACTGTGAACCCCTAAATGTGCCAAAGGGGTGGGTTAGGATGGTGGCAGGGGCCTTGACATGCGGCTAGGTGCAGGAGACGGACGGCCAAAGAAATGACATCTGAGGCCTAAGTGGGCTAATCAACAACCGCAAAGCACGCTTTACCAGATAACAACATGACTACGGCTGTTTCCAGGGCTTGCGGTTAGGCTGGCACCATCGCGTTGCACCATGACGTGTGATGGCACCATCGCATGCCCCATGACGTTGCTCCATGGAAGGGTCATGCTCCTCGATGGTTGACTGTTTGTAGCCATGATTGTCGGAAATGCCGCACTGTCACTGTTGCGCCTTTTGGCCGCTCTTGCACGCCCAAAGCAGCCAGTAGGGTTGGCTAGCCGTGGGTGCGCTGCTGTCGGTGCAAGGGGGATGCAGATGTACGGATGCATCCCTGCTCTTTGTACTGCTATCATGGGGTGAATGTTAGTGTTTATTATATCTGTTTTCGGAGCAAGTAAGCACAGAGCTGTGCTCTTGGTCAGCGACAAACGCAACCAGATGTGCATATCACAGCCGGCGGCCAGCATACCAAGCACGGAAGTAACCCCTGGGCAGATGTGGATGCAAGGGGGATACATCACCCTTCTTTAGCCGCTCGAACGAGTGGCCTTTCATGTCTGGCCGTCCGTACGGTATGGGCAAATTTATACGGCAGTGCACGGGCAATGGATGACCACCGTACGTTACCCCCAGGTCCGGAGCGACCTAGGCGTACGGCACCAGCCATAAGAATTTCCGCTTTCGTAAGCTTTTTTGCATTACCGTATTGCCCAAAATTTAATTGACAAAAATAAAATGTTTTGGGTTTTGTCAAATGGGGCAAAAATGTTTTTTTGCCATTTCAAATGGGGCTGGAAATTCGCTGGCAAGGTGTCAAATGGGGGCAAAATAATCCGCCTGGGGTGACTGCAGGGTAACTAAGATGGGAGCGGAGAGGTAGGGGGCAACTGACTTGCCAGTGCGCTGCGTCCTCACCGCGCCATGCCCAGTAGGGGTTTCCAAATGGTGTTCCACGTATCCTCCTGGGGCTGCACAGCGGCATACAGCTGAACAGCTCCTTTCCTTACCATGTTACATCCGACACGTTCGGTGGCTTTGGGGGCGTTTGGCGCACGTCAAATGGGGCTAGAAATTCGCCATCAGGAAGTCAAATGGGGCATAAATTATTCCCGCTTTGTCAAATGGGGCTGGAAAATAGGCCTCCAAACGCATGTCAATTAAATTTTGGGCAATACGGTAAAAAGCCTTACTAGCTGCCCAATAATTATTGGAAGTGATTGGTGTCATTTAGGCACAAACCACTATTGTTGCGCGCTTGCGACCGCGTCGTCAGCCCTCCCCATCCAGCAAAGCTCAGATGGCTTCCCCATTCACTGACAGCAAGGAAAATGTCTATAACCTGGACAACGTATTTACTCAGCAGGCAAGACCCCTGTACTCTGTTTGCTCTGCGCCATGGTTCCGCGCGCAACCTGGCATGATGCATGTGCTCGCTTCCGGAGAGTTGTATCGAACCGATCACTCAATTCAGGCGCCGTCCTCGTTTAATGGAAGGCTGACTGCTGTTGGCGACGGCGTTATGATGCCGCTCAGCGCGCCTGCCCTTGCCACGGGGGGGGGGTCACCATCGTACCCCTGTCCACAACATGTTTCCCCACATGTGCTTGCCCGCCCCTCCCAGTGACCGGTGCCTTTGCACCCAGGCCATTTAACTTTGTGTTACCTAACAGGAACCATCCCTAAGTTTCAGCGCAAAAGGCAATGGTCGGTTTTCCCAGGTGGTGGCTTGGGGGGCTTTCAGGGTAGGGGGGAGGCCCTCCAAAGTGCAGAGGGCCAACCGACCATCAAATTTTGTCACGCCCGTTTAACCTCACCTTTATGTTATCTAAAAAGGCACCATTCCCAAAGTTTCGGCGCAAAAGGCAACGATCGGTTTTCCCAGGTGGTGGCTTGGGGGGCCTTCAAGACAGGGGTGGAGGCCCTCTGAAGTGCAAAGGACCGAAAACCTACCAGCCACTTCACCGACAGGTGGCCCATCCTTGTGCCCGTGAGAGGTATCCTGCGCACATACAAAGCAACCGTGCGGTTTGCTTGCCAAAGAAGGTTACGGGGCGTGATGTGCTGCGGCTTCTGTTGACACATGGTAGCCTGTCTATACGCAGCATGGGGCATAGAAACCTTCTGGTAAGTTGCCTGAAGTCGGTGAAGTGTCCTCGTCATCCAAATCATCAACCTCCTACGGCACAGAGGTGCATGACGTTAGTCAGGGTATCCGCTTAAGTAAACGCATGGGGGAATGTGGTAGGGGAATGGCGCATACACTCCTAAAGGAATGGGGGGCGGCTATATACAGCACGGAAGTACAAGCCTTGTGTTAAGGAGAATGAAGGGAATACCCAGTGGGAGTGCAGTTGGAATCACAGACAGGGAAAGTAAAGCATAAGGGAAACCGTATGGCGGAGCGATACTCACGAAGACGCCTACTTCAATGAAGGGGTATGTGTCCCCATCAGCTGCAGCCTGCCCCAACTCCACCATATCCCTCTAGCCGGCACTCTCGGCTTCTTCCGATGATACTTCCTCGGTGAGTGATAGGTCGTCCTCGAAACCTTCAGTGGCATCTTTATATGCGTCATGTCACTGTGGTAGTCGGAAGCGTACTCAGAGGACATACTACCGCCATCTTCGCTTGCCATGGACCTACTGTTTGCTAAATTTGTCCGGTATCCTTATGACATGTAATTAGCCTTGAAATGGTATAACGGCTCAGGACGGCTCGGCAAAAGCCACATTTCCGCAAACTTTCGTCTAATAAACTGACTTAGCTCTTAGGTCTCGCTTACAAAACATTGCTACCATAACGGTACATGCGACATGCGTCTTTTGCTGGAGAAATGCGCTGACAGACTTGCAAGCGGACTTTTCAAGTGGGCGAGGCTGATTTAAGCGCCCATTCAACTGGCACTTAGGAAGACACAGTCAATAGTTGCAAAAAGACTAGAATAAAGGAAAAAGCAAAAACGGGGCCGTACGCCTGGGTCGCTCCGGACCTGGGGGCAGCGGCACCCATGCACGGGCAATACAGTGGACATGGCTCTTGGTTTATATGTATCCATTTTTAACGCATGAATGTTTATCTAGTAATTGCTGAAACTTTCTACAGTATAACACCTGTTACGGCCGTCTGGGAGAGCGTCTGGGAGATGCCGTAAGGTTTTTTGTTACGGTTAATCATAATGTCCATCATAATGCATTGAAGACAGGCTTGACATCGCTACGTTATGGCCGATTCACTGTTGCCAACGGGGGTAGGGGAGGTTATGAGCGCCAGGCTGGACTGGCGCTATACGCCGCTAAAGCTGGGAAGGGAGCTATTGACAACAAACGGCTGCGATCTAAAGGTTATACTTGACCAACAAGCTAGCCAGGAGAATGGTCAACAGAAATCACATGCAGGCGCCGCTTTTGATGATTTCCTCGTGTGCTGGCATTCCTCTGAAGATAAGGAACCAGTCTACGTGCACAAGTCAAGAAATCTATCCTTTGCGCTGGCTAGAGGCGGATGCAGCAGCTACACATTCCGCACTGGGGCCACGTGGCGCAACCGTAGGAGCTTATCTTTGCTCACAGGCCCCAGGTTACATGACATCCATATTAAGTTTGAAGGGCCCCATCTTGGGGACCTGCCAGAGGCAAGTAGCGTAACTTTGCTGATGCTGCTCTACTGAATCTGCCGTTTGGGCGCGCATAAGGACGCACCTACCTCTGGCGGCCCTAACCCTGATTGCTAGCTATCCAGCCGCATACGTTTTATGCAGTTTACCCGCTTATTCTCCCCATTCCCTCTGACCCCCGCTCCAAACCACGATGACTCCGCGGTCGAGCCTATTGCACGAACCACATCCCCACCAACACTCGGGCTCTTCCTTTTCCTTTTCCTATGCCACTCCTTACGTCCCTACAGGATTTCCATGCGCGGCTTCAAGCCTTCCTTACCGACATCCTCCATATGCCAGCCCTGCACGTCGCCGTAGAGCAGGGCTGCGTCCACCTGCTAGTCACGCTACTCGAAATCTCTCGCGGCGCAGCACTCCTGGGCACCTCCGCAACGCGCCTGCGACGCCGGTGGCTTGCGCGCCCCAGCAGCCTCGATCCCACCCAGCTACCCATGCGGCTGCTTACCTTCATGCATGGAGTGCTGCCGGAAGGGGCCGCTCCACAGCGCGTGACCGTCTGCCACAACGGTAACTCGTACGAGCTTGATGCCAGTGCCGTACATACGAACGAAAGCGCGAGGAGAAGGACAGAAGCGGCGCCGGCGGGGGCTGAGGCGGGGCCTGGTGTGCATGAAGAAGCGCGACCCAAATCGCAGCTGGCACCACCACATGTACCTCCACATGATGCTTGCCGGGCAGAAGCGTGCAGCTCGGTTTCTGGTGCTCTTAGGACCCACCTGGCCGTGCCACATGGTGTACCTGTCTCCGGGCCAGCAGGGGTAGGCGCGCACGTCGGTCGTGTGACAGCAGCCGCCAGGTCATCCACGCTGCTAGGTTGCCACAGCCACGTGACTCACGAATCGCTAAGCGTCACATGGGGTTCATCCATCGTTAACCGGCGGCAGGTCGCCGGGAAGGCGCCGACCCAGATGGGCTACCCAGGGGTCCTAGACAGCAATCCCCGCGGGGTTTCCTCGGCATCGAATGCGGCAGCAGCAGCGGCGGCAGCTAGCTCTGCGGGTGGCTCCCTGTATCGTCATGCTGTTGCAGCCGCTGCTGCCGGCGGCGTTGGAAGCGGCGACAGCGGCATCCCGCCTGCCTTCATCGATGTAATAATCAGCGGTGCGGGTGCTGATGGCGGTAGTGGGAGCGGTAGCGGTGGTCAGTGCTCTCGGGTTCCGGTGTGCAGCATTGAAGTGCCGTCGGCGTTAAACATGCAGCCCGGCCTTGGCCGCCGCGCTCATGGGAATAGCGGCCACGGCGGTGATCATAACTCCAGCCAAGGTGGCATCAACGGCGACACGTATGGTCTCGGTGCAATTGACCTTGGATGGATTGAGTGCGGCACGGCCACACGCTGTGTTGGTGGAGTGCCGTACATGCAAACGCTTCAACCGTTGGGTCCGCCGTCGTCGTACGGGTTTCCCCAGCCCGCCCTACCTGCGCAAGGGCACGTCGGCAGTGCGGATGCTGCGACTTCTTCTGCTACCGCTGTTGCCGGTGTTAACGTCGCTTCTCCTGCCGCAGCCACTGGCATTATGCCAGACGCGAATCGCCTGCATGGTTCGGTGCTCCAAAGACAGCAACTTGGACTGTACGGCGAACCAAGTTGCAGTCCCCAGCGACAGGATCTTCAGCTGCGGACTAGGCCATCTGTGTCCACTGCCGCTACGAGTATGGGGCCGGAACCGCTGCCGTCGCTGCGACCTTCCCTCTCAAGCACGACACCGGACCCTGATCGCTGCAGTCGCAGCGTGCATGACGCAGGCTTGTTTCTTGGTGAGGCTAACGGGATGGCAGTCTTTCCCGGCAACAGTGTCGCCCATATCCGGGCCATCGCTGCCGTCACGCCGATTGACCCACGTGACTTGAATTCACGGCTGCTGGACGGGGTTGCTGCTAGCAGCACTGCCTGGGATGAAGATCTTGAGGTGTGTAACGCTCCCACTGGAATGACGGAGGCGTCGCGCCTCTTGAACTCTAGCCAGCGTCAGCATGGCATGTTTGCGATGGCAGCAACCTCAGCTGCTGGTATCGCGCACCGCCGACAGCACCAGCACCAACCTTCGCGCACGGCGCTATCCCACGCTGCTGCGCCATCACGCCGCGATGCAGCTACAGCACCTATTGGCAGCATCACCGCTGGCGTTGCCGCCCTCCCCCCGGCAGCTGGACACCTTGAAATGCGTGGGGCAGCGTTCGGTGGTGGTGCTGCTAGTGTCGGCGGTGGCAGCGGCGGAAGCATTGAGGTTCGCACGGCATTGGCGGCGGCTGCAGCAGCTGAAACACGGCAGTCAACGGTCATCGCCGCTGCCTCTACGAGCGGTTCGGTTGAGAGCCCAGGAAGGGGCTTCGCTGTACTGCCAACATCCCCGCAGCAGGACCTATACGGCGATGCGGCTGACAGCGCCGCCAACTCCCCGCTGGGCGGCCGCCGGCCCCACAACGTGGTGAACGTCGTTCCTAGTGGCAGGGCTCCTGGTACGGACACGCGCGGCACCCGAACGGCTGCCAGCGGCGACGCCACCACGGCTGGCGCCGTCGCCGTTAGCTCTAGTACGGCAAGCGGCGGCGCCGCAACGGTCAGCACTGCTTCGTTCCAACAACAGTTTGTCAATCGCTGCGCATCTGCCGAAGCACCTCCTGCCTCCGCTGGCGGCGGCAGCAGCGGCAGAGCTTTCGCCAGGGTGACACCCCCATTGGTCGCCGGTCAGGGCGCTAGCAACGTGGTTACACTGGGATCGACAACCGTGCATTCGCCTTCCCAGCAGGCGGCGTCAGGCACTGCGGCGGGGCCCACCGACCATCACACCCAGCATTCGGCCCATAACAAAGCCCTTCCGCAGCCGCAGCTGTACCCGAGCAACCCATTGCGCCCCGCAAACGTCAGGACAGGGAACCGGCAGGGGCACCAGCGCGCGACCAGCGGCAGCAACCTCAGCAACCGAAGCGGAAACCAGAGCAGCATCCTGTCGTGGGGAGTGGATGCGTTAGAGGCGTTGATGCGGCCGCCCATGCCGCCTGCGCAGTTCACCTCAGCAGGGTCGGCAGCGACGGCGGGCCATGCGCGGCCACCTGCCGTGCAGCTTTTGGGTCCAGCTGTAGTGATATGGCCGTCAACAATGAGCATGGCTGCCGCTGCAGCACGCATGCTGCCGGCAGCGGCGGCGGCAGCAGCTGCTGCTGCGGAGGCAGCCGGCAACGGCGTCTCGCTTAACATGCACTGTCCGGACGTCATAGCTTGGTCAGGGGTGCCGAGGGGACGCAGCCGGGGAGCGATCCGTGATATGGTGACAGGCGACGAGTGCGGCGGCAGACGCGGCAGCAACAGCGACAGCTGCACCAACAGCGTCCTGGAGGGTGCTGGAGACGGTGCAGGCGCACAGCAAGCGCTAGGCGCCGTCCATGTTTCTCAACTGGTTGCATGGAGCCGGGGCGGAACAATACCCGTGGAACAATCAGATGACAGCTTGGAAAAGCGTACTCGAGTGACGCTATTGTTGCCGCAGCAGCCGTTGCACCCAGCTCCTTCAAACACCACGGGCGGGGGTCCCGAACCTGACGGCGATGCAGGAGCCACCGCCGCTGCCGTTCCCGCTGCCACAGCTGCTGCCTTGACTTCAGCACCGGGCTCTTTCCACAGCACGGTGATTCGCCTGGTGAACGTGGCATGGCGGCGGGGCCGGGCGCTTGGCCCCGTTTGCCCCGTGCTACTTCTGCCTCCCGGGATGGAAGATGTAGCGGCGGAACTGATAGCGCTGGCGCCGCCGTCGCCACCACAGCAGCCGTCGCCGACGGCGGCAGCTCCGTCGCTTGTGGCTTCTTACCAGACATTCCTCTCGGATTTCGGTTTGTGGCTGGAGGCGGTGCAAATCTTGGCAGCGGCGTCGGCAGGTCCTGCTTCGTTCCAGCGTTCCTCGTTGGCGTTGGTTTCCACGCATTCGCAGGGTGCATCCGTACCAGTGTCATACAGCAGCGCGGGCGCCACACCCGCCACCAGCTATACGACAGACGTTCCTGCCATCGCCGCCGCCGTCAGCGCTGGTGGGTACGGCGGCGGCGGCGGCGGCAGCCCCGCCGCCGCTATTGTCAAAACGGCAACGGATAGTCCGACCGGCGAGAGTCAGGTGGCTGACATGCGAAGTGCGAAGTCGTCAGCGCCGCCGCCTGCCGAAGTGGCCAGCCCTTTTTGTACGGCAGCAATACCGGATATACAGCACCCGCTGCACCCTGCCGTACCTTCTGCTTCGGCAGTACCCTCTCCCTCGCATAGCCCAACTGCATCGTGCCCAAACGTCATCCTAAACACTAGCGCCGGCGCCAGCAGCTGCAGTACAGACAGTTGTGAGCGGCTAGCACGCATTGCGGAGGAAGTCCTAAACCTGGGCTGTGACTTGTTGTCCTTCACAGTCGCACGCGGCGCCGTTGCCGCGGCGCGGCTGCTGCTAAACATGCTGGTAACCCACGGGTCATGCATACAGGCCTTACCCGCGCTCGCAGCTAGCAGCCCTCTCGCCTCCATGACCGGATCGGTGGTGTCCGCGATCGCTGCTGTCCCTAATAAGGGCACGAACTCGATCGGCGCTGCCGTCACCGCCACCGCCACTGCTGCTGGTGTGTCACCGGGACGCATGCGGCTACCTGCTAGTGACACGGACGCGGGTTTCCAGCCGCTGGCACAGCAGCAACCGCAACCGCAGCAGCGTCGGCCGGCCTTACTGTTTGCCATTCTGGAGGCATGCCGTACTGGCAATAACGCATGCCACACCCTGCTACACCTAGCAATCTTGTCCCGCTCACTGCCCATGCTACAGCTCGTCGCCGTGGAATGGCCGCAGGAGCTCGGGCTGCCCCCGTCGGAGCTGAACCGGGTAGATCGTTTCGGCCGCGCTCCCGCTGATTACCTAACACTGGGAATCCGAGGACGCGGCGGGCGCAGCATAGGCGTCGCAGCAGCAGCGGCGGCGGCTGCAGAGCTTCTGCGGGGCTTGGGACCGCCATCGGCGGCGCCGGCAGAGCCGCTGTCACCCCCGGCGGGGGACCTCTGGGGACTGCATCAGCTCCGACGGACCGCTGGTGGAAGCGAGGATGCGCCGTGGCGGGCTTCAGCTTCCGCAGCGGCACGGACGTCGCCGCCGCGGGCAACCCAAGGTCTTGGCGGCGGCGCTGCGCTTGTAGGCATTGCAGAGGAGGCTTCCTCGCCCTCGCTGCGACTGCTGCGTGCGCTTTCGCAAGGGGGCGCCCGCAGCCCGTTGCGGGGCGCTCGTGGAAGCGGCGGCAGCAGCGGCTTTGAAGTGGACACAAACGCCAACTCGCCGCGGTATGGTGGCATGGCTGCCGTGGGTAGCGGTGACGGCGGTGCTGCTGCTGCTGCTGCCGGAGGAGGTGCCGGTTCGGCTGGTTCGGAGGAGGTACGCCACGCCGGGCTTGACATGGATCGGCAAGAAGAAGGGGATGGTCTGGGAGGTGCAACGTTGTTGGCGTCAGGCGGCCAAGCAGCTGTCATGTTGTACGGCAGTAACAACAACAACGACAGTAACGACTCAGCGGTGTCGACTCTGCAAAGCGGTCGGTTATCTGGAATGTTTGTGGCGGAATCTTGGGACGGCACAGCGACGGTGACAACCACGCAAGGGTCGTTGCAGCGGCACATGGATGTGGAAAGGCCATTAGCGGCGGCGGCGCCGGGGGTGATGGTGGTGGCCGCGGGGGATGATTGGGAGCGTCGGCTGCAGCGGCGGCCTTTGAACGCTGCCCTGTTGCTGCTGCTGGGCTCTGTCCAGGTCCGTCAAGAGAGGGTTAAACCGGGCGGGTTTGAAGAGGTAATGTACGCTGCGCATGTAATGTTTCTTATCCATCAGGAAGGCTAGGTGCGGGTAAGGGCAGAGGGCCAGAGGCAGGGCGGGAAGGGTAACCCCTGATCTCTCCGCTTTATCAATGAGTGAAGGCATCGTGCCTCTGACAATGTGCCTCTTCAAATCCCATTCTCCCTCAGCCCCCGCATCCCCTGCGTGTCTCCCTGCCGCATATCGTACTACTGCTACTCGGTAACCCAACCTCTACCCCCTCCCTTCCTTCCCCGTCCCGCTCCCCTTCGTCTCCTCCTCAGGCGCTGGTTTCCATCGTCTCCGCGATGCCCCATGCACGCGCCCTCCCGCCCTCGGCGTCCCTTCTCGACCTGCCCGCCGCTCTCACCTGGCTACCCTCCCTGCCGCTCGTGTTGGCGGCCCTCGTGGCAGCAGCGGCGGAGCTGCTACTGCCGCCTCGCCTTCTTGCGGCGGCGCCCTGGCTTCCAGCCGCCGTCACTTCCGTCGGACGAGCCGTTGCCGGCGTCCTTACCATGGCGGCGGCGGAGCACCTGCCGTACGGCCCTGTGGCTGGCGCCGCCGATGCAGATTTCAGGGCGGAGGCGGGGGCGGTGGGCGCTATGGGAGGAGCCGGGATGCCGGCCATGATGGCTGCTGAGGGACTTCCTGAGGAGGCGGGCGGAGGAGGAGGCTTCGCGGTTTGCGTGGGTGCAGCGGCGCGGTTTGCGCTGATGACGCTGGCGCCGGTGGCTTTGGAGACGGTGGGTGCCCTTGGGGGATTGGGAGAAGCAAGAGTCAGGCAAATGGGGACGAACACGTTTTGTCTCGCCTGGGGTTTTTTTTTAATAATAATGTGCGTGCGCGCGCTGGGTTAGCACACTCCGGCCATGCCGGTAGTGTGCTGGGTAAAAGCGCATACGCACTATGCATCCATGCCAATCTGCCATGCCGTGGTTCATGCCGGCCCTTCCTTTCCGCCCGCGTTCATCTGCGTGCCTTTAAATCGCTGTCGCCCCGTGTCTATAATTCATTTCACAGATCCAACCGTCGCTTCGTATGGTATTGTTGGCCTCCGAGTACGGCATGCCGGTTCTCTATTTGTTCCTGTACGGCAAAGGTACGGCAGGCGTCATAGCATGGCTGCCGTGCATGGCCGCTTGCGTCATAAGCGGCGCTGCCTTGGCGGCGCTGCTTCCGACCTGGGCACGTTCCAGGACCTCTGGAAACAGTTAAAATGGCCATCAAGCTGCTGCGGCTTCTGGCGTCGCTGCTGCTGTTGAAGGGCTTTCAGATGAGGTCGCGGCTACAGCGGCAGCCAGCAACATGAGCAGGGGGGGCCACGTCCGGCTCGGGCTTTGCGAGCTCCCTGCGCCCCGGACATCACCACTGTCGTACCACGGTTACTTTAGGCCAACAACCTTAGCAGGTTTGAAGCAAAAACTCGGGGCTCTTTGTGCCAAAGGAGGCGTTAGCGTTTCTACATGCGAACACGGCACAGGGCGTTGGGATACGCGCCCTTTTGGTTCGGTTTTACGTTCGAGAATGCGAGAGCGCTCGGGAATGGAGGGAGAGGCAACGTGCCGAGCACGTGCGTATGAGCTTGCGGCTGGAAAGCGCTTGAATTGTATAGGAGGCATTTGCGCTGTGAGAGCTCTCATGGGACTGTACATTCGTCATCGTCGCAGTAGTGCAGGAACAAAGTGTGGCCAACTTCTTGCAAACGCTCTGCGGCAAAACAAGCATGAGGTTGCAAGGGAGGAGACGATGTAGGTAGGCGACCCTAACTACCGGTACGTGGTCTGGCCATGCAGCTGTCGAAACTGTGAGGTTGTACGGAAGATTGCGGTTGTGCGGAATTGTGTATCTTTGATGAATTACGCATCCTCGTTGTGCGCATTGGGTTCCCCGCAAGTGGGTGAAATCCCGGCTTCATTACAGATAGTGCTGCGATGTTGTTCCGTAGGAGAGAGTTGCTGCCATTCTCACATCCGTGATTCACATCCGTGATTTCCTATTGTTCCGCCGCCCAGCTGGGAGGCTTGCGTCCAACTGCAGACTGTTGTCTCTGTGCTTGCTGCATTGACACGCTACAGGCCCGCGTGCCTTGGCCAGTTTCCTAACGTACTTGGTTCTGCTCTGAATTCGGATGGGCTTTGTGTTGTTACCGGTGTCTTATCCTATTATTGCTGGGATGCTGCTTCGGTGCTTTCGTTGCCCGCATGAAAGAAGGGAACGCCCTGCATTGTGTGGTAGATCTGGTTACAGCAGTCTTGGGGATTCGTACATGGCCTGAGGTCCGGAGCGTCGCGAGAATACGTTTATTAGGCACCGGTATGCGTGTTAGCAAACTGGCCGAGAGTGTAAGGGACATGTGGGCACACGTGCGTGTTTCAAAAACTGGCCGCGAAGAAGAACATATCGTTGTGAGGGGTGGCTGTGTGCTGGTATGCTTTGAGAGGGCACAGGAAGTGTTGACAGGCCACGTGGGGGTGGAGTATTATGTCGCCAGACGTGGTATGGCTGTGTTGCATGGATTGCTTTGCGTCTGCAGGGCGCAGGCATGCTTGTTGGGTGGGGGCATGATTGATTGGGCATTGCCGGTGAGGCCTTGAGCACCAGGGTTGTGGTGACTAGATAGCATGGGTCTGGATGGTGGGGGCGAGCTCGACACTAATTACGATTGGTAGGAAAGGGAGTTGAATTTGAGAGGAAAAGGACATGGGATATGTTTGCTTAGTTGTTGTGCTTTGGGAGAGATTGCCAGTTGGATGTGTGATGCAGTTCAACCTGTTACCTCGTTTACGGTATGGGCTGTTCGTTTGTTGGTCTGCTCGGTGTAAGGGCACCGGTAGCTGGTGGCATGTCCGGGTGTCCTGACCGGCAGTGCGACATACGACTGGTTGGTGTTGAAGTTAAGCGGGTTGGCTGTTGGGTTGTTGTTGACTGGCTGCTTGCGATGCGGTGGCCGCGCAGGACTCCGTACAGCGGCATCCTGCGTCCTTGCTGCTGATTAGGATTTATGAGGGTCTGTTTCAGAGAGGTTGCGACGGCCTTACGGCTTAGCCCTTACGGTACGGCCTTATGGCTTGTTAGCCCTTCCATGCGTGAAGGATAGTCGAGGCTTTGCTCGTGAGAAGGAATACAGCCCAGAAGGGGGGCAACTGCCGTGTTACCGGTATCTCCACTGCAAACGGTATGGGTTGGCCATGGCAATAAGGCCACCTGGCACAAAAGACAACGGGTTGGCTTGCCATGGGCCCGCGCAATCTAGCTTTTACAGAGCCAGGATCATAGTTGAGCGTAGCCACATGGACATGTGGCTATCTGGTTGGACGCTTACGAGCGTATGCCCTACATTGATTCTTCCGTTGCATACTCGCCCGATGACCATTAAGAATTCACACTGTCGCGTCTGCATGAGTTGGCGCTAAGCAAGAAAGCCCGAACGGGCCTAACCAACTGGCAGTCACGTACCGTACGATACGACGGAAAGGTATTATAACCGTCAGGTGCAGCCTCTGTATGTTGCTGAGGTTTGCGAGAACGCAGTGCCTTGTTATTTCAACCTGCGTAACGTCACGTGCTGGTCCTAACTAAAGGCCATGTCAAAGCACAACAGGTTGACTGTAAGCTTACGTTGCTGGCACTGCCAAAGACTAGGTTTGAAGGTTTTCTGACATTCCTTTAATCCTTTTGCCTACTTCGGTCTAGAGTTATCGGGCTCCAGGTCAGGCACCGAGAGCTTAAGTAATACACAGTGATCGCTGAATGTTCCGCTTCATTACATCTACGTAAGAGTGAAACGGAATTTGGGCCCATTCTTCCTTCCCTGATTCGATGGCCCTTCAAGTCGGAGGTTGGGGCTACAACTGAAGAGCGCGCGGGGACACGACCCTAACCGTTAGACCCATGGGAAGCAGCTCTTTCCTATACTAGTTTACTGTTGAAACCGTGCAATTTGTGCATACCTGAAGCCAGCGGCGCCTGCGACTGCCACCTCGTGCCATCCCGCTCCTAAATACGTTGCGGATTGCGAGGCACACCCATACTACGCAACTAATCGCCGCAAGCTATGTCGTCATATACCTATCAGTTTCTCGGCAGCAAGCGTGGCGAGCAGGGCGGCCCTTCTCCAGCAACTGCTGCTTTCGAATTGCAGCTACCAGTATCCCGCCCATCCAACGGGAACCGCCTCCATGAATCCTCATCTTATGGCGGCCTCGACCCTCTCGAGGACGTCAACCAGCGAGAGACCTTCCACGACAAAGACTTGCTGTTGCCTTCCGAGGCCTTCCGCAAGCTGCGTCGCCGCACGTGCTGCGGCATCGACGTCACGTGGCTCTCGGACCGCCTCCCGCCTCGCTGGACCCTGTGGTGGAAGTCGCAGCCACCCGGCAAGCAGCGCGCCCTAACCGCCGGCTGCGGTTGCGTCGCCCTCCTGCTGCTCTTCCTCCTCATCTTCCTACCCATCAACAGCTCGATTGAGGCTCATAAAGCCTACGTCTACTCCTTGAGCATCCCATCGCCATCCCAGCCGCCGCAGCCGCCCAATCCGCCGCCGCTTCCCTCGCCGCCGTCGCCTCCACCACCGCCGCCACCCCCAGCGCCACCCAACCCCCCGAGTCCACCCCCGCCCCAGCCTCCGTCTCCTTTTCCCCCGCCGCCGCCGCCCTCGCCCACCCTGCTCTGCAACTACACGGCCCTCGGGCTTCCCGACGTCGCACGGCCCCTCCACTACGACCTCCAACTGGATATCTACTTCAACCCCCACCCCGATGCTGCCGGCTCCACTGCCGACAGCGCCGAAAGCGACGGTGGCGGCGGAAGTGGTAGCGGCAGCAGCGACGGTGGCGGCGGCGGCACGGCGATCTGCGGCTCCGACGAGTGCGTTGCCGGTTTCGTCAACATCAGTGTCGTCCTGGCGCGGCCAACGCAGTGTCTGGTGCTGCATGCGGCGGCGGGAATGGACATCCGTAGCGTGTCGTACAGCCGGGGGAGCCAGCAGTGGCATGGTAGGAGTGGGAGCGGGGGAGGGGGTGGGAGAGGGGGAGAGGGGATTGGCCCTGGGCGAACGGCCAGGCAGGGTAGGGGTGAAAGGTAGCGGTAGGTATGTAAGGCCTAAGACAGCTAAAGGATATGTCCTGACCCTGCCCAACGGTGGGGACAGGGTGCGCGGTGAAGGGAACGGCATCATTGCGCGTGTCCCCGGTGGAGGACCGCCGCCGCCTCGATCTCCACAACGCACCCTGTTACCTCCACTGCCTCCTCCGTCCGCCCGCGCATGCACCCCCCACACGGCGCCTGCTTGTGCAACAATCTGCCCCCAACACCCGCCCCGGCCCCCAACACCCGCCCCGGCCCGCAGGCACTGTCCGCTCCGTCAACCCGGCCTCGCAGCAGGTGGTCCTGCACTTCGAGCACCCGCTGTCCGCCTCCCATGCCGGTCACCTGCTGCTGGCGTTCAGCTACCCGCTGAGGGAGGGGCTGGACGGGCTGTACAAGAGCGTGTACACGGGTGGGTGGGTCAGGGGGGGTTGGAGGGCGCGGTGGTGCGGTGGTGGGGTGGAGGGCGGTGCTACCTCTGTTGTTGAATAACCCCATGCACACTACCGGCATTCCCCCTCGCAGACGGGGCCGGCACGCACGCGCTGGTGTCCTCGCAGTTTGAGAGCTCGTCGGCACGCAAGGCCTTCCCGTGCTTTGACGAGCCCCACCTCAAGGTAGGCACGACGTACGGCGGCCTGCCTTCAGCGGTAGCCGTTTGCTTCATTCCCTCTTGGCAACCCCTCTTTCTCCCCAAAGTCCTGACAGTTCCATCCTGCTTAGTTTAGCCCTCTTGCCATGCCGGCTTGTATCCTTTACACTTTTTATGCTTCTAACCAGACAGCAGCCGCCCCCTGTTCCCCCCCGTTCCCTCTCCCACTCCCCTCCCGAACCCCTTCCACACACCCCTTCCGCACCCCTCCTCTCAGGCCACCTTCACCACCACCCTCATCACGCCGCGCGGCAGCAGCACCCCTCCCGCCGGCAGTGACGCAGGGTCGGCTGACCCCCAGAGCCCCCCCTCGCCCCAGCAGCAGCCCCCCGAGCCCTGGGCAGTGCTCTCCAACACGCATGCAGCCAGCCAGACCACCCTGCCTGGCAGCGGCCGCCTGCGCACTACCTTCCAGCCCACCCCCGTCATGAGCACCTACCTACTGGTGGTGGTGGTGGGCCGCCTGCAGAGTCGCACTCGGGACTGCGAGGAGGTGCCGGTGCAGCTGCGGGTGTGGGCCACCCCGGAAAAGTGAGGCGGGGGGTTGAAGGGGAGCAAGGAAGGGGGCCGGGGGGTTAGGGGTTCGGGTTTGGGAAGGATGCCGGGGGGTTGTGTGGTTTGACGTACGCTTGGCTTGGCGCTTGGCTTTCGGGGGCTTTTCGTTACGTTACTGGGGCGGCAGGTGACTTGACCCCCGCTGACCGTTGACTGACCCATGGGTCGGCCCATGCGCAGGTCGCACCTCCTCAGCACCGCCCAGCAAGTGGGTTGCTCCGCTCTCGCCACCTTCACCGCCGCCTTTAACCTGAGCTATCCCTTGCCTAAACTGGACCTGGCGGGACTGCCCAACTTTGCAGCGGGTGCCATGGAGAACTTTGGCTGCATCACCTTCAGGTGCGAAGTCAGCAGTCATCTCCTTACTGAGATGTTTCAACTGTCGTTACTGAAGCCCTGGTCGTTACTGGGGTGGTCTTTGGAGTGGTTTCGGGCCGTCTCGCGATCGCCTGGGGTTGTTGCCACCCACCCCCGTTTTGCCTCTAGTTGCCGATTGCGAGCTGGGTTTATACTGGTTTTGCCACGCGTGGTAGTGAGTGGTGGTGGGGGTAAAAGGGAAGAATGCAACCGGTGTTACTGGTCGTGCTGGTGGTGGTGGTGGTGCTGCTGCTGCTGCTGCTGCTGCTGCGCAGGGAGGCTGCCTTGCTGGTGGACCCGGCAGCGGACGACATCAGCACGACGCTATGGATAGCCACGATGGTGAGCCACGAGATCTCACACCAGTGGTAAGTAGTGTGCGCGGTGACGAGCGTGAGTGGGTGACGTTAGGTGGTGGATGAGGAGAACGACCCATGGGTCGGTTACGAACTGGAAGCCTGAAACCCATTGACACGGCTCCTAATAATCTTTTCCGGATTGGCGTGTACAACTTCCAAGAGTGGTTGGGCATGGTCCGCTTTGCCCTCCCGAACACCGTACACCTACACTGCCATGCATGTGTGTCTTTTCCCCTGCCACAGGTTTGGCAATATGGTGACGATGGCAGATTGGCGCGAACTCTGGCTCAACGAGGGCTTTGCCAGCTACCTGGAACTGCTCGGCGCTAACGCCTTCGCGCCGCAGTACGGATACTGGCAACTGTCGTACACGGACCTTGTGGCCCCAGCCTTGTCGTACGATGTACTGCCGTACATCCATCCGTTGAGTGACACGGCACGAGAGATCCAGTCACTTTCAGACATTGAAAGCTATTTCGACACAGTCAGCTATCAAAAGGTAAAAGAAGGCAGGAGGAGAGTGAACGTCGCCGGAACGCATATAAATGCCAGAAGCAGTTCGGAGTAAAACTCTTTCCAGTGCACTTCACTTCAGTACTGCACTCAATGCCGACCTGGTCTCCTTCCTTACCTCCCCTGCTGCTCCCCGGGAATGCCTGCTGCCTCCTCAGGGCGGCGCCGTGCTGCGCATGCTGCGAGCCGTCCTGAACCCCCACAAGCTGAGCAGCGGCGACACGCCAGTCATGCGTCGCCACCACCACCATCACCGCCGCCTCCTATCATCATCACCGCCACAAAAGTCGCCCCCTCCCCACCGGCCACCGCCTCCCCCGCACTCCTCCTCAAGACCGCCTCCTCCCAAGTCCCATCCGCCGTCCCGCCAGCTGCAGCCCTCACCGCCGCCATCACCGCCCACCCATTCCCCCTCTCCCGCCCCAGTCCTGTTGCCCACCTACCCTCCGTCGCGCTCTAGCCCACCGCCGCTGCAGGCGTCCGCGTCAACGCCTGGGGATGATGCCACGGCATCACCTGATCCTAGTACAGCTGACTCCAAAACAGCGGATGCAGCAGCGGCGGCAGCAGCAGCAGCAGCCGAGCAGAGCTCACTGCGTGCGGAGTTTGATGCAGATCCGCTGTTCCGGGCGCTGCGGGTGTATTTGAAGGAGCATTTGTACGACAGCACGACTGCGGAGATGCTGTGGGATACGGTGTCCTCTGAAACAGGTAGAACGGGAGTAGCCCTAGTAGGACAGGGCTGGGGTGTTGGATTGTGAATGGAGGGGCAAGGGCAAGCTACGTTACGGGAGTACCTCAAGGGATGCTGGCAGTTCCTTTGATACACCCTGAAGTGATGAGAATCTTATTGCTCGTACGTGGCACTCGTGTTGTTTCTTGCGGCCCCTTCTTCCATCCGCAGGTCTAAACGTGTCGTACTGGATGCACAGTTGGACGTACAACTCCAACTACCCTGTCGTACAAGTTGGCCTTTCTTCAACTCCTCCCAACGGCACAACCGTCATCGTACAGTCTGCTGATGGGGATAACGGTAGCAACGACGACAGCGCCAGCGGTGGCCCCCCTGCTGGCGCTGCCGCCGCAGCTGGGAGGGATAACACCTCCTCGGCGACATCTTGGTATCTAAATGTACGACAGATGCCGATTGCGGTTTCCAGCCCGATGAGCCCCAGCAACGTCAGCAACAGCAGCAGTGGCAATGGTAATGAAGGCGGTTCGGTGGCAGTCCCCAAGTGGTGGATACCCCTTAGCTTCCGGCTTCCGGTGGGTACCCGAGGGTATGCTAGGATGAAGCCAAGGGTGAAACTGGATGATGCCGATTTGGTGCGCCGCCTCTGCTCCCCACGGCACGTCTTGGCTGTTGGCTCTTCGCTGCTGCTGCGCCTTTGTCCCTTCTCAACGCCGTTTTGTTTACTTCATCACTCCTTGCACTCTGCCGCTGTGTTGACACTGCTTACACACCTGTTAACACGTGTTTTCCGACTCGTGGCGTGTTTTCTTCACTTTGCTGGCCCATCAGGGTGCCACAGAAATGAAGTGGGCGGCTTTTGACTCGCGAAGAGCCGCAGTGCCCCTCACCACCTACGGACCGCCAGTCAACTCCTCTTCTCCTACTGCTCCTGCTGCTGCTGCTTCCACTGCTCCTGCTGCCGCACCACCACCGTACATTGTAGTAAACCCCGGGCGCTACGGCTACTACCGAGTGAACTACGATGCGGACATCTGGACAGCGCTGTCGGTTGCAGCGGCCGACTCCTCCGCCATTCCTGCCGTCGACCTGGCAGGTTTGTCAGTCGGTCGGTGACACCTGGCAACTGTGACAGTCTGGTGCCTTACCTCTACTCGTGCCCCCTCCCGCTCAACCACTGCCCTCATCCCCATCGCCTTGCCCTCACTTATGGTTTGGTTGTTCTCAAAACTGTAACCTCTAACCCCACATCCAGGCATGCTGGACGACTCCTGGCAGCTCAGTCGGCTGGGACAGCTGGGGCCGCAGGTGTTCATGCGGCTCACGGCGGCACTGGGGGCGAGACTGCTGGTGGGTGGGTGGAGCTGCCGCACGTTCATGGCGGTTTAACAGCATGACTCAGTATGATTCTGATTTTTATATGATATTATGTTATGATCTGCCTACCTGCCGTACCCTTGCAGCCCGAGTACGAGCCCTGGGCGGTGGCGCTGTCCGGGCTGCATGCCTGGCAGCGCCTGCTGGATACCGCGAGCCAGCTTGGGGAGGTGGACACATCACCAAACACCGGTGGCAGCAGCAGTAGCAGCAACGATGGTAGCAGCAGCGGCAGCAGCAGTGCGAACAGCAGTGATGGCAGCAGTGGCACGACAGCTAGCAGGGCCGTGCGTGGGGGCAGTTACTACCGTGCATGCGCTCGTAGCTTGGGGTCGTTCACCCGGGGCCGACTGACAGGTATGGTAGGGAGTGTGCGAGTGGGGGGGGGGATGATCGGGGGATACATGTGGGGGAGTTGAGAAGCACAACAGCGAAAGGTTAGTACCACAATAAGGTCCTAGCCGGAATTGAGAAGTGAGCGTGACCTTTTCCTAGTTCAGCTGCCGTGACCTTTTCCTAGTTTCAGCTGCCGGAATGGGCCAGGCGCTCTGCCTTTTCTAGTTGTTACCAGCCACCTCTTTTCCGGGGGCTTCTCCCTGCCTTCCTTTCCTTCGTGCTTTCGCGCTTTCCCTTGCAGCCCCTCTCCTGGCGAACCTGACGCTTCCTGCGAGCAACCTATCCTCCTCCTCCGCCGCCTCTTCGAGCGATGCGCCCAACGTCGTCGCCCGAGGGCTGACCTTCACCGTCAGCACCGACGCACCCCTGGACGCCGCACGACTGCAGCTACGGCTGCTGCGCCCACTGGCGCTCACAGCCGCCGCTCGGGCTGTGGTTTCCGCGCTCGACAACACCACCCAGCTGCGGCTGCTGCGGCAGAAGGAGCAACCCTTCAAGTGAGAAAGAGGGAGGGAGTGGGGGAAGTGGGGGGCTGCTGCCCGCTGTGCAGCGGCGCGACGCGGCGGTGTGGTGTGCTGCTGGCGGCCGTACGGCGGGAGGCACGCATATTAACTTGTATGATGACCCAGCTGCCTGTAGGCAACGAGCGCGGCCCCCGCCATGTGCCACATGTGCTGCCGTACGCATACCGTACATGTGCCCCATGTGCCGCCGTGCGTGTGTGCCCGTCCATGTGCTGCTGCGCGCAGGGAGGCTGACAACCTGCGCCCCAGCCTGGACGAGCCCTCCACCGCGCACCCCGACGTGCGGCGGGCGGTGTACGCCATCAACGTGATGGCGAACAGCTCCGAGGCGTGGGCCACCACTCGGGAGCTGTACTGGCGGGTGGGGGCGGCGGGGGGGGGGATAAGAGGGTGGGGGCATGGGAGGAGGGTGGCGGTGAGTTACGGGTACTGGGGAATGGGGTCTGACGGGTTCTCCGCTGTCGGTATCTTTCTTTGCCTTCTACAGCATCTGCATGTCACCGTCCTGCTACCCCGTCCTGCCTCCTTCCCTGCCTCCACCCTGCCTCCCCCTTCCCTGCCTACCCCCGCCTCCCCCCTCCCCGCCCCTACACAGGAGTCCGACGCCACGGAGCGCTCCCGCCTGCTGTCGGCGCTGGCGCAGGCCCCAGGTGCCTGGGGCGCCCGCCGCGCCCTGGAGCTCACCCTGCTGCCCGGGTTCCCGCTGCAGGACGTGGGGTCGCTGCTGGAGGCGGTGGGTTGCTGGGGAGGGTGATGGGGTGCTGTTGGGGTGCTATGTTGGTTCATACACACACCCAACGCGGCCACCCAACCAGTCGTTTCTGCATGGGCTGCTCAGCCTTGTCTTTCCAGTACAACTTATTAACCCTTTCATACTAGTTCTTATAGGGCAGCTTGACCGTATGTCCTTTATGTAAAGCATCTCCTCTCCGTTAATGAACATTAATACTAACATCGATGACCGCAGGTTGGCACTCGAGGCGGAGTAGCGTTGTACGAGACGTGGACGTTCGTACGGCAACACGCAGGTCAGCTGCTAGCTCGGTACGGCAGCAACGGTACGGACGCCGTCAGCGGCGCGAGCTACAGCCTGGGTCGCGCGTTGAAGGCCGTGTTCGGGGGCTTTGTGGAGGACAGTCGCGCGCAGGAGGTTACGGTAAGTGACAACTGGAGCGTGGCGGCGGGTTGTGGGTCTCGATGGGGGCTACCATGCGTCCTCTCGTTATACTGGTTACGCAGCCCCACACGCCCCTTGGTAACATCCTGCCGATTGTTTTATTTGCCGACAGGCTTGGGCCGCCAAGTATCCTGGGCTATTGGACAGTGGCATTGGAACGTTTGTACGGCAGCGTATAGAGTACAACAAACAATGGCTGGCTGGACCGGCCATCGGGCTCTGTGATTGGCTACAACAGCAGCAGCAGCAGTGGCGGTAGGCTTAGCACACGCATGTTATACAGTGTGCTATAAGTAGCAGTTGAGGCAGTAGCAGTGATGGCTGATACACTTGGTTGAGCCGTTGTGCGTTGGAAGTAAGGGATATAGCGGAAGCACTGTACGGCGGGTGGGGGTCGCACTGCATTGTACATACGCATGGCGTTCGCGTGTTTCCTTTCACGGGTTTCAGGCAGGTGCATGCAGGCGAGCCCTGAGATGGTGTGTAGATACCGGTAGTGCAGGCGCAGGGGACCTTCCAGAGCACTGATATGCACCGGTGTAGTAATGTGGTAGGTCTGGCTGGGGTAACAAGTAGCTAAGGGCTATCGTTAGGGGCTGTCGTTTAGGGGCATGTCATGGACTGAGAGAGGAATTAGAACAACAGTTGCAGGTGCATATGAACATCTACGTGAAACAAAAACACTTGGATTGGCTTTATCATCATGCCTAACCTAGTGATGAGTGGCAACCGACCGTACATGTTCGTACAGAGACGGATGACGAGGAGTTGAGCGGGATTGTGTTTTGTGCATAAAGCAGGAGTTTGTGCTTCCATCCTTGGTGTCAAACCTCTCCTTGCGCAAGTGGCGCGAATGGGAGCCAAGCAAGAGATTGTGCTGATGCACGGCAACATGCACAAGAGGTGAATGGCGATTGTAACCTGTGGCTCGGCGACGTTGCTCAAAAGCCAAACACCTGAGTAGCTCCGCACCCCAAACTACCGGTATCGGTACCCGGGGTTACCTTCATGCAAATCTCACCAGCGGCAAGAACCGCCGTGACGGGGAGTGCCGGTACCTAATTACCCTTGGCCCCCTCCCTGCCTTTCGAGAGGAGCCCACAGTCAAACATATGTATGAATATAACCCGACGCTCGACACCGCACAGCCCCCACTTGTGCCTTGCTGCTGCCAATTTACATAGCATAGCAGTTGTGTTCAGAGATGCGCCGATGGTGGACGGTACACAGCTTCGCAGTCCATGCGTGGTGTGTTTTTGTGGGGCCAGGGTTTCCTTACAACACTAAGGAATACTCACTGTATTTTCTTGTGCAAAATGGACTCGTGGAGTCCTGAACAAGTCGTTGGGAGCTACCGGTAGTCCCCGCTGGCAATCGCACCACCTCGTTGAACAGCGGTAATAACATAGCAACACAGCGTCCGAAGGCTTCCCGGCAAGTTAACTTCAATCACACTCCCCCACCGCGCCCCACCCTCGCGTTGTAATCCAAAGCAATCTTCAAAAAGCCTTCCCAGGCAATTAAAGGCGGTGATCCAGCTATTTCTTCTGTCAAGGCGCGCCATACCTTTGTAGACCATTTAACCTTTTAGAAGCCGTAACCCCAAAAGATTACAATCCCAGTACAATATCCTGTAGTGATAATGCAGCAGTAGTAGTAAACCAGGCTCCGTGCCCCTTCTGACCGTAACTTGCTCGTCCTACCCACGACCGCGCCATCCCAACCCCCCTCCAATAACTTCCAGCCACACACCCTGCTCACAGCCACTTCACTCTTCCACCTGCCACTGCTTCCGCCTGCCCCACCCCTCCTGCTCGCCGCAACCGCCACAAGTGCCGCAGCCGGCACTTGCTACTGCCGTGGTCGAGCACGCCCCTTACTGCAACTGCCACTGCCGCCATTTTGCTACTGCCGCCACTGCTACTGCCGTGATCGAGACGGCGGTGGCGGCGGTCTGGACAGCCGTGTCAGGGAATCCTTGATTGCCGTACGGAAGGCCTCCTGGTGCATTAGGAACGCGCTGACGTGGCCCCCCGACACCATCCGCAGCTCGCTGCCCTCCCAGTAGCGGTGCAGCTGCTCCACACTCTGGGTGCTGACGTAGGCGTCGTCGCGAGCAGCGATAATGACTGCGGCGTCGGTGCGACGCGGCCTGTTGAAAGCGCGTGGAATGGCGGCCTTTGAAACAGCCGATAAGGCGCTATGTGCGAAGTTAAAGAATGTCTGGGCAGGAAACCAGGAGAAGCGAAGGCTCAAGCATGCCTCGGGTCACACCCCTTGTTCCTCCACTCGTGACACTCATACACACACGTTGTATGCTTGTGCTTGCGGTTCACATGCGAACCTATCCCAACTGCTTGCTCTTGTTTCCGCTAAACTACACACACAAGTCCTTAAAACACACACATGCACGCAACGCACGCAGCACGCACCGCACACAGCGCACGCACCGCGGGTATCGTGTGATGTCGGTGTAGGTCTCCAGCACACGCTTCAACCGCATCACCGTATCCGGATTGTCTAGCCGCCGGTCATCCGACCGAAGCTGCTTCACCGCGCGACCCAGATCACCCAGCAGCCTTCGCCCCAGCGGCGTCCCGCCACCACCACCGCCTGCCTCCCCTCCTCCCGCTACTTGGGGAGCGCCCGAGGAGGCGGAATTGTGTGGGCGGGGCTGCTGTGGGTGGTGATGGTGGTGGTGATGTTGGTGGTGGTGGTGATGTGCGTGGGAGTGGGAGTGGGGATGGCGGGCTTCGGAGGCATGCCGGCTGCTAGGATCGGCGATGATTCCGGAGAAAGGTCCGCCGCACTCCCGCTGCTCCTGCTGCTCCGGCTGCTGCTGTTGGTGCTGGTTATGCCCAAATGGAGGAGAGGGGTTGCCGTGTGTCTGATTCGCAGCACCACCACCACCACCATCATTGCCTTGGGTGCTGCTACTGCTACTGCTGCTCCCGCTGCTGCTGCCGCTGCTCCCCCCCGCGCGCAGAGCCGCCCCAGCCAGGCCCATGTACACATCCATCACGCTCACGAGCGGTTGCGGCAGACCCTTCAACAGCCCCCCTCCTGCAGCAGCTCCTTCTCCTCCTCCTCGACTGCGGCTCTCGCCATCACCGCCGCTGGTGCTGGTGCTGGTGCTGCTGCTTGCACCGCGCCGTCTCCCATCTGCCGCCGCCCCTGTCTCCGCCTCTCCTGAAGATGGTAAGGAGAAGGAAGAAGACGAGGTTGAAGACAAGGACGGCGGTGACCCCGCCGCTTCGCTGCCTCCGCTGTTGCTACTGCTGCCTCCGCTGCTGCTCGCCGCTTCCGCCAAGTGCCGTTTCTCCCCCCGCACCTCCAAATCCGCGAGCGCATACGTCGCCTCCCGCATGAGCGACACCGACTCAAACGCCGCCGCCGCTGCTGCTGCGTCTGCATCTGCGCTGTCTCCGCCGCCGCTCCCGCTGCTGATGCCTACCGAGGGGGAAGGTGCTGCTGCTGCGCCTGCTGCTGTTGTTGGGTATGCAGCCGAGGCAGCGGCGGCGGCGGAGGAGGAGGAAGGCACGGAGGAGGCCTGACGGACAGGCAACTTGATGGTGATGGCCCTTCCTGCGCTCATAACCACCTGCGTGATCTGGTTGTCATTCTCGTCGACCTCCTTCAGCAGCGGCTCCCAGGCCATCACCGCCTGCAGTGGAGCGAGGCGGCATGACCATGTACGGCTCATCAAATACGATGCAAGTACCGAGGTGAATAGGAGATACAGGCTCGGCAAGCGGTTAGCAAGTGGCATGCAGCTGACACGGAGGACACGACGCGGCTGCAAGTTGGGTGGGTTGCAGGCATGATGAACGTTTAGCCGTTTCTACTCGTCTCCCGGCTTGTCTCGTCACTTGTCAGTTCGACACGCAAGGCGCACGCCCCTGCTTGCCTTCACCCCTCTCTGCCTGCCGCGCTGCCGGTGATGGACTATCGCGTCCTGTGCCCACTCGCACACAAGCCATTGCTGAGTCAACGCCAACCCGCTACCTCCTTGAACGCATACTGCTTTGGTGCTGCCGCCGAACCGCGCCGAGCCGTTACCACCGACCCATGACGACCCGCGCCGACCCACGGGTCACCCCGCACCCTCACCCGCATGGCTCCATCGCAGTACGCCACCGCTGCCGAGCGCGGCGCCAGCAGCGGCGTCACCGCCACGTCCCCCGGGTACAGCCCGGCTGTCATGCAGGCGTGCACGCCGCCCATGGACAAACCACACATGCCTGGGCCCGGGGGCGGCGGCGGCGGCGGTGTTGGTGGTGTTGGTGGTGGTAGGTGGTGGTAGGGAGTCAGCAAGGGCGGGGGCAGCGGTGAAGAAAGGAAAAGCGGGGTGGGGTAAGAGCACACAGAGGGAGCGGGGGCGGATCCGCGGGGAGGAGGGATGAAGCACGGGGCACTTATTTAGAGGGGATATTAACACAACAGGCAGCTTTGCATGTCGCCCTTGCCCCGTGTCGACGCCCTCACGCGCCCTCCTCAACCGCCCAGCCAGCAACCTCCTTTATCCTCAGCAGCCCTCTGTACCTCACCAACCGGACCCCCTTCACCACCCGCACCTACCCAGCGGCCCGTACCCCTCCTCCCGCAGCCAGTGCAGCAGGTTGAGGCTCTCCGCGATGGTGGCCCAGCCCAGCGTGAGCAAGTCCGACACGCGCAGCAGTTTGGAACCGCGCTGGGCGGCGGGCCGCCGAGCGCCGTAGAAGGGGCTCTCCAGGACGAGCGTGCAGATGTTCTGTTTGGTGGGGGGTGTGTCAGGGGTCAGGGGTGAATAGGATGGAGTTGGGATGGAGGTAGTTGTAGGGGTAGAGGTAGAGAGGCTGGGTAAAGAGCAAACGCTATGGATTAGCAGCAGCGATGCATGGGTCGATGGGGTGCGGAAAGTGCTGATTGGGTTGAGTTCAGCCGCGCAAGGAAACACTGACGATGCGACCGGTCCGGGTAAGACGTGCGGGAGTGGTAAGCGGGTGGCAACGCCTGGCCGGTGTCAGGGTGCTGAGGTGAAGTGCGGGTCTCTTGGTTCTGTCAAGCAACTTGTTCGCAGCACCCCAGCCCACCCCAGGTACCCACTACTCACGTCCTTAAGCAGAGGGAAGCCCAGTCGCAGCCGCCGACCAAAGGTTTGATCGCCCGTCGCCGCCAAGTGCACCACACAGGCGGGGCCCTCCGCAACCGCTGAAGCCGTTGCTGCTGCTGCTGCCGTCCCCGCATACAAGTGCTGCTGCAACAGCTGCTGCTCCTGCGCGGTTGCGTCAGCAGACCCTAGACCTGGCCAGCGCAGCCGAGACTGTTGCTGATGATGATGAATCTGCTGCGGCGTCGATGGAAAGTACGGCAGTGCTGCTCCCTCCTCAAGGCCGCTGATGGAGGTTTCGGAACGGAAGGGCCTTATGTGCGCTGGAACTAGCAGCTGAACGCGGCCGGTGCGGCTCTCGGGCGGGAGCGCGTCGAAGACGCGTTGGAGGCAGGGCGTTCTGGGGAGTATTGGGAGGAGCGAAGGCAAACAAGGAGTAGCAGTTGCGGGGAATGGTACTTAGGAATTCCTGATGAACGGACGATGTGCGGGCCCGCAGCGGGTCGGGGTTGAGGTGATGCTGCTGAAGGAGGTAGAGCACGGTGTTCTGCGGAATTGATCGTGTGCAGGTTACCTGAAGGTGCCTTCGTACAAGAGGTAATCGGTGCCATCCCGATTTCCTCGCTCAATTAGTCGCCATGACAGCTGCAGGATACCAGAGATCAGCAGCGTCCGTTACACCAGTTACAGACTTCCTTCTCTTACTGAGACGCTGCTCATGTAGCAGATAGTTGAGCTACCTTAATGCTGGAAGGTGGGCCCTGAATCAGATGGCGCAGGTCCTCCTCATAATTCACCACGCTGAGATTACCCCATCCCGCGGGAAAGAAAGGCCCATTCAGGGCACCAATGCGCGCGTATAAGTGGTCTAAAGGGGCTGCTGACGCAGCAGTCGCCGCAGCAGTGGCTGCACTCAGGTTTGATAGCACGCCTTGCAAATCAAGTTTAGTGGCCGATGAAGATACGGCACGGAATAGGGCCTCGACGTAACGCGCGGACATCCTCGATTGAGAATGCCCGCGCCAGCTAACCAAGTCACGTGAGCAGTAAGATTCAGTTAATGTGCAACGCTTTTAGATATGGCTACAAGACAATACTTGCACAGAATCGAGGCGTTAAGCGTGCGGTATGCCCCATCACATGCTGTACGACGGATTTTGCAAAACAACCCGCGATACGGGGCTGGTGAAGAAACTCGTTTTCTCTTTACCTCCAGGGGTGTTGGATGGGGCTTTGCGACCTTTCAGGGGTGGAGTGCAGTACTATACCGGCCAGCACTCACTGATATCCTTACTGATCTGCAACAACCTGCACGGCATGGGCCAGTTCCAATCGGTTTCTCGCTTCCTAACATCCTTTCCACTTACCGGATTAGCGGTCTTCGTCTCAGACAGGACGTCCGCGCAGACATGGCGACGGACGGGAGATACAAGCCTGGGGCCGGGTCGTTGAGTTTTTCCGCAGACAATTCGCATGCGGCACCATGTCTCTCCGACGCCAACGTAGTTCGTATTCGACCTAGTCAGTTCCCAGTAGGTCGTGCTTATCGAGGATGCGATGGGTTTGCCAGAAGCCTTGGTTTTGGCGCTTTGAGCAGGTATGCTAATGCCTCAGTAGGTGAAATGCAGGTGAAGGTGTTCCCTGGCGGGCATTGGCATGGAAACATGTGGACGGATATTGTATGGTGGGTGTACATGGGTGCCGCCGATACCGGTAGCAGCAATCCAGCCCGTTCTTGGTTTTATGTGTTTGAGATATGAGCCATACGGCGTGCCACATGTGTTTGCACGCGCCGCTGCCATGACACGCATGTCATACCTGGCGTGCTTTACAGTACGTGAAGTACGGGACGACCAGTCAAGTGCTGGTTTACGCTACTTTGCAAGAGCTTGGCATGCTGGATGCCTCTGTTTCCGTTATACTGACTACTCGACTTTTAGTAGAATGACCTTACCGTTTTTAGCACCACTTTCACTTGGATGCTCAACTCATACCCCTTGAACTGGCGAAGTACCCCGGCAGCGAATAAGGGAATAGAATGAAAGGCTTTATGTCTCAACTTGCCAGCGGGGCGGTGGGCAAAAATTTGCAAGAGGGCCTCGGCACGCTCGCAAACAAGGCGCAAGGTATCGCGCAAGGATTGGCGCACGGTGCTGCAAAGCCAAACAGCTCCGGTAGGGCACCACTTGCGTGACAGTTTTTGTTTACAGGGCTTCGGTTCTATCGCAACGATCGTGCTGGCTGTCGCGCAACTCATCCTGCAAATCAGGAAGCTGTTTACTTGCAGTCATTGGTCGTCAACTATGACCTTCTTCGGTTCATCTCTACTTTCTGCATTGAGCTAGGCGTTAGTTTGGAAGCTGCACGATGTTGTCATGTTGCCGTTGCAGGGGCCTCGAGCGGTAATCCTGCACAAGCTGCACATCCACGTAGTTTAGCACCGAAGGAATCTACTCAAGTGGACTCCCAACTAAAACTCCAGGTACTCGCGTCTTTCTTTCAGTACATGCCTTGCACACCGTTTTCCTTTGCCTTCTTGACAGGCCTAATGCCATTATCGTGAATTTCAGTTGTGCGTACTGATTTATGGGACCAGAGGTTCTAGGGATGTAAGCAGCCAAACACAAGCAACTGAGCTGCGGGTGTAGCAGCTCTCCGCGCCAAGCAACTGCCCTTCCCGCTTTCTGGTGATAACCACACAGTCCCCTCGCCGGTCAGCATGTATCAATCAACTGCACGTTTGGTTGCTAACTGTCATCCAATATTTTCCATGGACAGGAGCCATGTGGGGCAGGCGAGGAGGCGAACATGCTGCGACAACAGATTGTGCAGCTGCAGGTAATTCCACATGCTTGGCTTAGCCCTAATCTTGGTATGCAGAGTTCTCCACTGGCATATCTACCCGCCCATCCCTACAAACCATCAACCTACGCCGAGGCACGCCACTGGCGCAATAGCAACCAAACCAACCGCGCCCATCTACCCTTGCCAGCCTTGTCAAGTTGCGATGCACATGTACCGCCTTCCTCCCTTCCTCCCTCCCTCCTCCCCCGAATGCGCTCACTGCATGAGTCGGGATATGGGATTGGGATTTGTTGTTTCACTTTTATATAATTTTTTCCCTCCTCCCCCCCTCCCTGCAGGTCAAGAACGGCATGCTGCAGTCGGAGCTGGAGGAGGCACGCAGCCACGCGGAGGAGGCTGCCCGGCTGCGTGGCGAGGTGAGCTCGCTGGAGACCAAGCTGCTGTATGCGCTCAAGGGGGCCAAGGCCATGGAACCGCTGCTGCCCACGGTGAGCGAGGAGAGAGGGCAGGGAGGAGTAGGGAACTAGGGATGGATAGGCCGCACTTTGCTGGGGCAGGGGCAGGGAGGGGGGCTGGCGATGGCGCTTTGTGGATGCTTGCTATGTCTACGAAGCCGCCGTGTCCAGCACAGATCCGGTGTTCTCCCGGGGTTAGGCTGGGTCGTGTTCTGAGCCACCGCTTTGTGCATCCGTGTCACGCGCCCAACACATGGCACGGCATGGTATGGCATGGCACAGCGAGTATCTCGTACCCTGTACTTTCCTCTCCTGCACCAGGTCACGAAGGCGCAGCTGGAGCGGATCGACCAGCTGACGCAGATGCTGGCGGAGCGGGACGGTCAGGCGGCGGGCCTGCGCGCGGACAACACCCGGCTGAGGTACGCGGGGTGCGGAGGGGTGAAGTGGTATGCAGTCCCAGCGTTGCGTTTTTGGCACCCTATCTACCGCGGTAACTAAACTCAGCCACCGCCGGGCCATCCACCAACACTTCAACGACGCACACCATGTACCAAACTACCCTGTTGCTCCCTGTTAAAGCCATGCCCACGCCCGCACTGCCCGGCACCACTCCAGGTGCAAGGTGGAGGACCTCATGACCAGCATGGCCTCCGCAGCTCGCCAGGCGCAGCGGACCCAGGAGGACCTCTGGGCGCAGCTGGCGGCGGCGCAGCAGGAGGCGCAGCGGCTGCGAGGAGGTGCCGGCGGCGGTGGTGGCAGCGGCAGCGCCGCGAGTGATGGCAGCGGCGGCGATGTTGGGGCGCTTCGCGCAGAGCTGCAGCATGCACGTGACGTCATTACCGAGCTTGAGGCAGAGACGGAGGAGCTGAGGGCAGCAGCAGCGGCGGCGGCTAGCGCCCCGGGGCCCCGCAGCCCCGGGGCTGCCTCCGCCAGCGCTGAGGCTCTGGAGTGGCGCGTAGCGGAACTGGAGGAGCAGCTGGAGGAGGCGAACGAGAAGCTGAAGGCGGCGGAGAGGAAGGTGCTGAGGTCGCCGTCGCGGGGCGGCGCAGCACCGCCGTCGCCAGCGGCGGCAGCGGCAGCTCCCGCCGCAGTTTCCGCAGTTGCGGAGTTGGAGGCCAAGGTGGAGCAGCTCATGGAGGCTTTGGAATCCGAGAGGCAGAAGACGGCGCAGGCCGCCGCTGCAGCAGCCGCTTCGACGGAGGCGGCGCGCGAGAGCGAGACCGCCGTACAGGATTTGCAGAAGCGCGTGGCGATGCTGGGCGTGGAGGGCCGCACGCTGGCGGCGGCACGTGACGCTGCGGAGAAACGCGCCCAAGCGCTTGAAACACAGCTTTGCGCGCTTCGGACTGAGCATGAAAAGGCATCGGCGGAGGCTACCGCAGCGGCGTCGGCGGCGGCAGAAGCGTCTCTTGCGGCGTTGCAGTCCCAGCTTGACGCCATGTCCGTTCGTGCTGCCGAGCAAGAGAAGGCACTGGCCGATGCAAAGGCGACAGCAGCAGCAGCGGCAGAGGCGTCTCTCACAGCACTACAATCCCAGCTCGACGCCGTGACCGCTCGCGCCGCCGAGCAAGAGAAAGCACTGGCGGAATCTAAAGCAGCGGCAGCATCACCGTCAGACGCCTCCGTCGCAACGTTGCAAACACAGCTCGACACCATGTCCGCGCGCGCTGCCGTACTCGAGCAAGAGCTGACGGCAGCGGTGCAGAGGGCGGCGGAGCTGCAGCAGCAGCTCCAAGACGCCTCCTTCAGGGCAGCGGCGGCGGAGGACCGTGCCGAGCAAGGGGCCGCACGGGAGGCGGCGGCGCGGGCTGAGGCGGCGGAGGCGAAGAGCCGTACGGAGGCGACGGCGGCGCAGCTGGCGGAGGCGCAGAAGGCGGCGGCGTCAGCGGAGCAGCGGGCGCGGGAGCTGGCGGCGGACCTGGTGGTGACGCAGCGGAAGCTGGAGACAGCAACGGAGCGCATTGTGCTGTACACCGGTGGGTGGGTGGTGACTGGCTGGCTAGATTGGCAAGGAAGCGTGTGGGCTGGAAGCGGGAGGCATGCTAGGTGCCGGCTGTATGGCTTGGAGCGACTTGGGCTCCCTCGCCGTCGGCAAAACCCTCAATGACATGAGTGTTGAAAGGTCCTCCTTGCACACAGAGCATTACATTCGGTGCCGGTGCCAGTCGGTGCCCGTCTGTGTGTCAACGAGTTATCAAGCACCGGTTCCCCATCCCCGCATCCCCCCTCGCCATACAGAGCGCGAGCACGAGGCCGAGCAGATCGTTGCCAACTACGGGGCCGCGGAGGCTCGCTACGAGGAGGCGCAGGAGGAGATGGAGCGGCTGCGGGAGGCATTGGTGCTTGCGCAGGAGGAGGCGCAGGTGCTGGCGCAGGAAACGGAGCGAAGCCAGGAGCAGGTGTGTGCGTGGGTGGCGGTTGCGTGGGGGATGGGGGTATAGGCCTTTCACCTGCCTATCCACCTAGGCTCTGAAACGCTGCGTACAACGCTGCGGTGCATTTTGCCGGTCGTGCATTCGTTTTCCCTCGTCCCGCCCGCCAGGCGCAGCTGGCGCACGATGCGATGGCGAAGCTCCGGACGCGTCTCGACCGAATGAATGAGCGGCGAGCTGAGATGGATGCTCAGATACACGAGCTACAGGACAAGGTACGAGAGGTTGGGAGGATACGTTCCGTCTCTCTTGTTTGTAATATGCGTGTAACATGCAAAAGCCGTTACATTAGCCTAGCTTGGCTCTCGTTGCGTTTTGCCACTTGTCGTACATCGCCGCCGTACATCCTATTTGGATAAATGCCCACTTCTGTTCTGTTGTCAGTGTTCCGTAAAGGCGGACCTTGGGTTTCAAGGCCCTTTACTGCGGACTTGCGTTACAATGCGCCAATCGTGCCATGTGTGTTGCTTGTTGTATCCAGTTCTCACATGCGTTCTCGTCATGTTGCTTGTCGTACCGGTATGCAAGTCTCGTCCTCTTGACGCAGCTCCGTCCTCTTTGTACCGCCTCGTGGTGTGTTGCTACCCCCCAGTTGGCAACAGCACAAGCGGAACTTGAGGCCGCGCGGCGCCAGACAGGAGGAAGACCGGAGGCTGCATCAGAGCCACCGAAACTAGCACTTGCTGCAGAAGCGGTTAAGAAAGCTGCAACGTCCCCGGGCGATGTGAAGGACGCAGCTGCAGGATCAGACGCAGTTGTTGGGGAGGCCTCGCAGGCTGTTCAGGGTGTGGATCCTGCAGGTGAGCCTGAGGCCGGAACCGCAGGGGAGGAGAGCCGGAGGGACGAGACTGCATGCGCCTCGACCGACACAGAGGGCTTGCCTGGGGCTGAGGTTGCTGCAGCATCCACAGACACGGCGGGGCTTCCGAGGCCGGACAACCCGGCCGTGTCAACGGACACGGAAGGCCTACCGAGGCCTGAGATTTCCACTGTCTCAACTGACACAGAAGGCTTGCCAAAGCCGGAGAATCCTGCGGTTTCTCCAGATACGGAGGGCTTGCCGAGGCCCGAAAACCCAGCTGCCTCGACCGATACACAGGACCTCCAGCCCTCACCTACGGTTGTTGAAGAGGACCCGCTAGTGCCCTCCCAGCCGCACGTGGCAGCGCCGATGCCGCCAACAGCCTGTGCAGTACCCTCCTTCCCGTCATCATCGGATGCAACGGCCGCAGCAGCAGCAGCGATCGAAACGGAGGCGGCGGTTTCGGAGCTTGAGCTCCAGCATCAGCAACAGCTGGTTTCGGAGCTCATGTCCCAACTGGCCAGCCTGCAGGTGTCTTTGGAGCTCATGTCACGACAGCTGCAGGAGCGGGATGCGGAGGTGGCGCAGCTGCGGGCCGCAGCCGAGGCGACGGCGGCTGTGGTGAGCACAGCAACGGGTGGCGCGTCGGCCAAGGTGGCTGCCGCTGGCATTAGGGGAATGGTAACGGCGGCGGATGAGCGTGCAGGCGAGGCAGCAACGGAAGCGGCAGTAATGGGAACGGCGGGCGCAGAAAAGGATGAGCGTGAGGCCGATGCTGCTGGGCCAGCTGCGGAGGAGGGCGACGGTTGGGATGAAGCCGATGAGGAGTGGGACTCCTGGGGCTCAGACAGCAAGCCAGCCGCAGCACCAGCCGCGGTAGCCCAACCGCAACCCCTGCAGCCACTCTCGCCGCCGCCGTCCACTTCCGCCACCTCCCAACCTCCGGAAGAGACTTCCACAGCCATGCCTCGTGACGCCTCCGCCGCTGTTGCTGCCGTACCGGCGGCGGCGCCGTCTCCTTCAGGTGACGACAACGGCGGCTCCCTGGCGGCCGCTGAGGCCAGGCTGGCGGCATACGAGTCGGAGCTGTCGCTGCTGCAGGGCACCATCCGGCAGCTGCTGGGCTGCTGGAGCGGTGCGACGGCGGCAGCGGCGACCACATCCTCCGCCAGCGGCAGCGGCAATGACGCCGGCGGCAGCGATGGTCGCGTTGAGATGGGCATTCATGGGCAGAAGAGCAGTGGTACTGGTTGCGAGACGGTCAGCTCCGCGGTTGCTGCCGTGCCGGCAGCCGGCGGGAGGCTCCAAGGGGAGGAGGAGGCGGTGCTGGGAGGTACTGTGGTTGCGTTGCTGGAGCAGCTGCAGGTGCGGTTCCGGGAGGCAGCGGCGGTACGGCAGGAGCTGGCGGAGGCGGAGGCGGAGTTGCAGCGGTTGCGGAGCAGCTGTCGGGGCAGCGGTGGAGGTGGCGTCGGCGGCAGTGAAGGCGATGCGGAGCAGCGGATGGAGGAGATGGCGCATGAGATGACACGGCTGATGGAGGTGAGCCGTTGCTTTGTGGCTGCTTTGCGGGTGAGGCGCAAGACGTGTAATCTCCAGACGTGAGGACCTGGACCGAGCATTCGGACCTCGGTTGTTTTGACTCAATGTGGATTGAGAGGGGCTGCTGTAGGGACCTGAGCAGCCTGACGTCATGTCATGCGCTCATGCCTCATTGTTGTCGTACTTACGTTTGCGGGCGGTCTTCGCAGGATTTGTCTTCCGCGGAGCACCGGGCGCAGGCGGCGGAGGCTGCTGCCGCCGCCGCTGCTTCTTGGCGGCAGCAACTGGAGGCTCAGCTCCAGCGCTCTGACGAGGCAGCTGCAGCGGCGGAGGCGGCGACGCGACAAATGGGCGAGGAGCTGCAAGTCGCCGTCGCAGCGGCGGCGGAGGCGGCTGAGCGAACGGCGGAATCGAGCAAGGAGCTGGAGAAGTGCCGTACGGAACTGGCGGCGGCGAGGACGGCGGCGGCGAGGACGGCGGCGGCGGAGGCGGCTGAGCAGTCGGCGAAGGTCAGCAGGGAGCTCGAGGAGTGCCGTATCGAGCTGGCGGAGGCGAGGAGGGAAGCAGGGGCGGCGCTGATGGAGGTAAAGGAAGCGCTTGCAGCTGCGGAGGAAAAGGCAGCTGGAGCAGCTGCCGCTGCAACGGAAGCGGAAGCGCGTGTGAAGGAGCTTGAGACGCAACTGGCCGCCGCTGTTACTTCGCCGTCGCCGTCGGCGGCGGCTACCTCCAATGCAGCAGACGCAGCAGCTTCAGCCGGCGCCAGCGCCCCGGGTTCACCCTCCCAGCAATCAGCCGCCTCCCCCAGTTCCATCGCACCCGAACACATGGGCCTCATGCGGCAGATTGCCGCCGCCGCTCAGACCTTCTCGCCGGTGTTTAACGCGGTCAAGGCCTCCCACGGCTGCGTAGAGGACTTATCGAACAAGGTTTCGGAGCTCGAGATCCTCGCGGCAACCTTGGATGGCGCCGTCAGCAGGGCCGCCGCCGCCGCCGCTGCCTCGTCCTCAACGACGGCGGCGGGGGGACCCTCTGCTGCCGCCACCGGCACCGCCGAAGCGACCGCTGCCGTGGATGCGGCCTCCTACCAGCAACAGCTACAGCAGCTGCAGGCGAGTGTTGCCAAAGCCGCGGACAAGCACGCTCGGCAGTTTGCGGCGCTGGAGCAGGAGCACTCGCAAGCGCTCGCGGCGGCACAAGCGCAGCAAGCGACGGCGGTTGCGGCGGCGGAAGCGCGTGTCCGTGAGCTGGAGTCTCAGCTGGCGGCGGCGCGGACCGACGCGGCGGCGGCAGCGGAGCGAGTAGCGGCAGCGCAGGCGGCGGAGGCGGAGGCCCGGCGTCTAGCGCAGGACATTGAACGGGGCTGGGGCGAGCGAGTGGAGAGGTAAGCAGTGCCGGTCGCATCGGGCTTTGTCTTTTCCATACGTTGTGTTGATGTGTTCCCATTGCAGAATTCCTCTCGTTACCGGTACCTTCCCGTGCTCCAGCTGCATCACCTCCCGCGGAGCTACACCCATGTGCAGCAAGCAGCAGCAACACCCTGTGCGCTTGCCTCCTGTAACCCCACCCACCTGAGCTACCCCCCGCCTTTTACCACCCCACCTGCAACCGCCACTGCTCCTGTTCCCCCTACCTGCCCCCCTCCTCGTGCCATTATCATGCAACACATTGGCCTTCTTCTCCTTCTTTACCCACGCTGCTCTTGTCCCACCTACGCGCCCCCCGCTCGCCCCCATCCGATCCCAGGCTTCAGAAGATCAACAAGAAGCGTGCTGCCGAGGTGGACGAGTTGCGTGCGGAGGCTGCGGGGCTGGCTGAGCGGGCGGGGGCGCTGGGGCAGCGGGTGGGCGAGCTGGAGGCGGAGCTGGCGGCGGCGGGCAGGTGGGGGCCGGGGGGATGGAGGTTTGGGGGCTAAACGGGGCGGGCAGGTGAGGGCTGGATGATGAGGTGGTGAGGTTGGAGGAGGTGAGGGCTGAATGAGGAGGTGAGGACTTAGGGAACTGGGAGGTGAGGGCTTGGAGGAGGTGTTAAGTTAGGGGTAGGTGACCGCTTGGGAGGTGACGAGGCGAGAGGAGGTGACCCGCTTGGGTTGACCATTGGAGCTTATCGCGCATTCAGAGCTGAGCTTCTTCTTCACTAGATTCCTGCTCCCCTCTTCCATGGCTCCATGGCTCGCAGACAGCTGCAAGCGGAGGCGGAGGCGGCTTCCCGGATGCGGCAGCAACTCGAGTCTGCTGCAGCTGCGCGGGACGGTGTGGGAGCTGAGGTGGCAGACCTCGCGGAGAGGCTGGCGGCAGCGGAGGCGGCGCGGGCGGCGGTGGAGGCGGAGGTGGCGGCAGCGGAGGAGCGCGCGGCGGAGGCGGCGACTCGGCTGGCGGCGTCGGAGGCTGACCGCTCGAAACTGGCTGATCAGGTGGGTGGTGCTGTCGAGGGGTGTCGAGGGAGAGACAGAGGGGGGAAGAGGGGGATGAGCACGTCAAGGAGAGAGTCGGCTGTAAACGCCGCAGCAGTCCAAGTGCGCTCCGCTGCCTGGCCGCCACCGTTTCAGTTTTCACCGCCCGTCACCGCCACCTCTTTCCCTCACTGCACCAACCCCTACCCCCTCGTGCCATTGCTACCCCATAACTTGACAACTATTACCCCCACAACTGTTATCCGCGAACTTAACCCTCTGACTCTGTTGCCCCTCCCTCCCTGGTGGCCCGCCCCAGCTGGTGCTGCTCCACTCGCTGCGAGAGGAGCGCGCCGCCGCACTGGCTGCGCTGGCGGAGGCGCGCGAGGCGGCGGCGGGGCGCGAGGCGCTGGTGGCGCGGTGCGAGGCGGCGGAGGCGGCGGCCTTCCGGTCGTCGGAGGACCTGCGCAGCGTGACGGCCATGATGGGTAACCTGGAGGCCCGGCTGCAGCAGGTGCGGGGGAGTGGGGTGTGGAGCGGAGGGTGTGTATCACACAGTTTACACGCCTCGACGCGGAATGGCATGATGCAAGTGCGGTGAATTGAACATGGTAGTCTTTTTGCTCCTCCTGTGCTGGCGTTTTATCCTAAACGCCCTGAATGCGCGCTTAGCTTCACCCTAAACGTATGCAATGTGCGCGCTCTCCTGCTGTGCATGCGCCCTGCTCCCACTCCTGCTGCAGGTGGAGGACGAGAACGAGGCTTTGCTTGCGGAGCTGGATGAGGAGCGGCGCCGGGGGGCGGTGGCGGGCCGGGGGGTGTGGGGCTCGGCAGCAGCAGCAGCGGCAGCGGCGACAGGAGGAGGAGAAGGATCTGGAGGAGGCGGAGGAGGAGCAGGGGGCGAGCACCCAGCGCTAGGGCAGCACTCCAGGGACGGCAGGTGGGTCCTCGGTCTCCAAGTTGAGGCGGAGGAGGGAATGAGGAAGATACGGGCGTGAGTGCCGGTTCTGCTTGGCTAGTTTGCTCGGCAGCATTCTTGCCCCGAGCTTGCCAGGAGCTTGGTGGCTTTGCCGCCGCTGCCGCTGTCGCGCCCCTGTGAAGTCCCTGTGTCTTATGTCCTGTGTTACCCACATCGCTCCTCGCAGGGCCCAAGATGCAGGCACCAGCGGCCGCCACCATCCACCCTCCGAGGCCCTGCCCGGCCACCCCGGCCCTCACCCGCACCCACACCCGCACCACAGCGACCACCACCCGGCCCCCCATGTGCCGCTGACCACCACCCCCTCGGTTTCGGAGGAGCTGGAGGTGCTGCGAGAGGCGGTGGCTGCAGCCCTGCAGCGCTCCGAGGCGGCGGAGGCGGAGGCGGCGGCGGCCGGCAGCGCACTGGCGCTCACTCGGCGGCAGGCGGAGGCGGAGCGGGAGGCGCTGCGGGCGGAGATGAGGGCGGAGGCGGACAGGCGCCTGGCTGAGACGGTGGGTGGGTGGGTGCAGAGGAGAAACGAAGTGGGAAGTCAAACCGTCCTTCGACCCAGCTTCCTAGTCCCGACGCCTTGCCCGGCCCTGTGCGGCTGCTGTGGTGCGCTCCTAGGCGCTTCTCTGTAGCCGTACTCTGTACACTCTATCGCCACTGGTACAGCCGATTGAACTCTCCGCCCCACTCCGCCACCCCCTGTCCCCCACCTGCCAGGCTGCTCTGCACTCTCAGCTGCTGACCCGCTCGGAGGCTCTGGAGGAGGAGCTTCGAGCCGTGCGGGGGGAGCTGGCCGCCAGGGAGCAGGCGCTAGCTGAGCTGCATGTGAGGAGTGACCCACGGGTCTGTCATTGCTTGGGGCGTTGCCCTGTTGGGTCGGCTCATGCTGTCTTGCGCACTTTGGGTTACCACATCCGTTGCATGCATGGCGTGACCCATGACCTCCATGAGACAAACACTGCCCGGGCTGGCCTTCGTTCCTCGCTTCCCTAGCCCTTCCTTGCATGGGTAGTTACGGTGCCTAGGGACATTGGTTGCTGCGCTCGTCTGTCGCATCCTTGCTCCTCTCACGCCGTCCCCCTGCCGCCGCACCCTGCTCCCCTCTGAACTCCCCGGTCCCTTCCCTCAGGAGGAGATGCAGGGGCTACGGGACAAGAGCAGGGCGATGCTGGAGGAGAAGGACGCCGAGGCGGATGCCCTCAAGGCGCAGCTCCGGCAGGCTCGGGCGGCGGCAGCAGCCGGAGGCAGCATACCGCTAAACACCTCGGGCGGCTTTTCGACAGCCGTCGCAGCAGCCAACGGGATGCCTCGCTCTTCCTCCGCTCTTTCGGCAACAACAACAAGCACTGGAGGAGCGAGGTTGAACAACGGAGGAGCCATGTCGCTGGGCATTCCGACGTCGACGGCGGCGCGGGATGCGGAAGCTGCTGCTCCGTCACTGTTTGGTGGCTTGGCGGCGACGGCGGCGGATGCACCGGCGGGCCCTACTGCGGGAGGGTGGCAGGCGGCTGATGCGGGCGCGGTGTCGTCGCTGCGATCTCGCATTGCAGCTCTAGAGCAGGAGGTGGAGCAGTACAAGTGAGTACCGGCACCTGTGTCGTGCACATGCAGCTGTGCACAATACTTGCAATGTGGGGAGACCGCTGCATCCCTGGAAGCATCCAGGAACCTCCTCAACCTGCCTCCCGTGAACCATTCTATTGCGATATACCGGTACGGCAATACCCCCACCTCACCCCTCTCCACTCCACTGCTCCATTGGGTCTTCTTCTTCTTCTCCACCCCACCCCACCCCACTTCCCTCCACTCCACCCCTCCAGGCATGCCTACGAGGACGCGGAGCAGACCCACCACCTGCGCGACACCGCGCAGGCCGCCCTGCGCAGCGAGCTGCTGCGGCTGCAGGCCCAGGCCCAGCTGGGCGACCAGGATCTGCAGTACCTGCGCATAGCCATCATCAGCTTCTTCGAGAGCGGCTCGCTGCCCCGAGAGGGACCCGTCTTTCAGGTGCTGTCCCGGCTGCTGAGGTTCACGCCTGAGGAGGTGGCGAGCATTGCGGCGGCGGCCAGCCAGCATGCGCAGAGAGGTAAGCGTGTGGGGAGTGGCGGTGTGGGGGGTGGGGGGGCTGGCGCAGGGGGAGGTGCGGGGATGGGGATGGGGATGATGGGCATGGGTGGGGTCGCGGAGGGGCTGGGGGCGGCGTTGTCGGGGCTCGGAGGTGGGAGTGGGAGTGCGGTGGTGGCGCCGGCGCTGGGGTTGCTGGCGTCGATGACGTCCAAGGTGACGTCAGCGGTGGCGGGTCCGTTTGGGGCCCTGGGTGGAGGTGGGGGAGGCGGTGGGGGAGGAGGCGGAGGTGCGGGTGGAGGTACCGGTATGAGATGAGGGGAGCGCATGTCACCGCAGTAGCGCGAACGGGTCCGGTAGTGGGGTCAGAGATACACCAGAACCAGAGGTAGTGGGGAGGGCGCGAAGCACATGGAAGGTTAGAGATGCTGAGTTGTGCTGATCATGCATGGTTGGTGGTAGGCGCGTTTCTTGGTATAGGAGTTGTACGCGGTGTGCGGTGGGCTGCGGGGTAGGTGGCCAGGTGCAGTTGGAAGCAGTTGTCGTTGCGGTTGTGGGAGGTGGTTACCAGATCTTCTTCTCTGTGCCGGGCCTGTTGCTTTTAGCAACCTAGCAACTGACGTCGTTGTTAACGGAATGAGGGTATTAGGGTTGGTTAGCAACCACCATGGAATAGCGTTATGAAGGAACCGGGGAGAGCGGTAGTAATGGGGTCGGATGCATTGCTAGGCTCTCTCTTTCAGACGATTAGCGGTAGCACAAGACGTTTGCGTTTGTGATCCCCATCGTTCATCTGAGTTGGGAGCACGCTCAGGTTTACAAGCCATTCAGACTGACTGACGTTTATCTCGGACATGACTTCCGGAAGTGTGTCAGTTGTTACGCAGCGATGCTTGGGTCATGAGAGTTTTGTGTTTTAGAGCGGGTATAGTGACAAGTCCGACAATAGGTGGGACTTTGTGCCTGTAGTACAATGCACACTGTGCACGGGCGCTTGGCAAGAACCTCTTAACATGTTAGGGTTACTCGGTAGAGCGCAGCAGAAGGCGAAGGGCCAGGGGCTACAGCGCCTTAGAAAGCAGCAAGGCGGCATAGTGGTTCTAGTCGTAGGGTGGGTGGGTTACCGCTAGTATAACCAATCTACTTATAACATACGGTGTTTTGTCCCTATGTCGTACGTGTTGTGGTCCGGACTTTTCATGCACGTGAGATTGAGCCATGGCATCGCGCGTGCGGTCATGTTATGAGGCTGGTTGCCCTCGAGCTTTCCCTGGGACCCATCAGCAATGTCATCTGTTTATGGTAGTGTAGGGTTACCGGTACTATCTAGGCTTGTTAGGGTGTTAGCATTGCGTTGCTATGGTTGGCTGTTTTCCTGGCTAGGTGCGTGGTTCCGGCAGTGGTGGGAATGTTGGCCAGCAGACAACATCTCAAGGATGTTGCTGAGAAGCAAGGGCAAAACTGGCATAGCCGCGTAGCCAACATACTGGTTCATTAATTACTGGTTGTCCTCCTGTTCAGGCAAAGGGAAGTATAAAATTACCGTAAAAGAAGGCACTCCTACAGAGCCACTCTACATCTCCAGAAGATGCTTAAAGACACGTTGCCGGTCCGGCGTCATCGTGGCCGGCAGGGCCACACATCAGGGCGCTAGCAATGACGAAAGCATAGCTTTTTAATGCGTTGCAGCAAGTAGTACCTCCAGGCTGGTAAGCAGGATGCACCGATTGCTCAGCTAAACGGCACTTTGCACACGAGCCAGGTGCGCAACGGCGTCATGGTAGCACCCAGCTGGTTGTAGTACACGAAAATGTGCCACAACAACGCGAGAGAATGCGGAATGCAGAGATAGTGGTTACAAGCATGAGGATCGTAAGGCCCAGGGGAGGCAGGAGGCTCATGGACCGCTGCAAAAGCCATTCGCATAGGACGGAAAGCAATCAGTAGGCCGGGTGGAGTACTCCTTGGCAGGGTTACAGCAAACGTTTAGGTATAGTGTCCAGTATTATATACAAATGCTTTGCCTGCTATCACCAAGACGTTGACCTTCTCAAGCTGCGAATATCGTTTCATATGGCCAGGGTACGTACTTGGCTCGCAACAGGTATGGAACGAACAAAAGGGCTTGTCTTGTGTAGCCAGTCCTGATTTTGCCGGTAAAGATCAGGTGTAGCGATGCCGCGACTACTCGCACTACTAATGGAAGGTATGCACGCTGCACGGCTGCGCGCGGCTGTACGACTTCTTGGAACCAGCTGGCAGCTACATCATAGCAAGCCTGTCAGAAACAATTACCCAATTCCTATTTTAAAATCCTGCTTGGTATATTTATTTCGGGTGGAACAGGAGCAGCGCAGTAAAGTTATCCTACGGCGTAGACCTCATCATTAGCCACGGTCGCCTTGTTGTGGCAAGTAGCTTGAAGTGTCGTCGCAGATGGATGTTGATATACGTATCAACGGCTGTGAAGTAAGTCCTTTCTCATGCAAGGATTGATGGTTGCGCATGCCTTCCAAGCGCATGCACGTCACCCTCAACTTGCGCGCAGTAAAGGCATGTCATGTTATATTCTTGAGCCTCACAATTTCGCTTCTCCTTGCAACGCATGATTTCAGATGCCAATCGGTGTCCCTGAAATTTGTCCATCTTCCATTTCCCTCGTCCAGGGCATACCCCGTATGGATGTTGTAGGCCATGCCGACCCCTACGTCATCCTCGTCATAACAGCACCTGACGGTAAGCAACAGTTCCGGTACAAGACCGAAGTTGACTACAACACAGCGGATCCTTGCTGGGACGAGGAGATAAGCCTGCGCAACGTACCGCCGGGTACCCGTTGCTTTTTCCAGGTGATTCAGGCCCCAGCATGCCCTACGCATAGTCAGCATACTGGTGTTCGGCGGCCTGGTGTTAGGCGGGCTGGTGTTTGTCCTGTGCCATCCACACACTCGGTATCAGTCGGGCCGCATCCATTAACAGTGAAACCGCACCGCAAACGCGGATTGCACAATTCTTGCACCCGATTCAATAGATACCACTACATAAGCAAGCGAACCAGTTCCTGCAGGCCCACTCTATCAACAATGAGTACCGAACTCACACTACCCTGTACTCAGATCATAGACAAGGATCAACTTGTACGGCACGACGACATCGGCACTTGTGAGCTGCTTATCCAGCCGGACGCCTGCCACGAGGTGAAGGGCTGCGACAACACCAGCAACGCCGCATGCAGCACCAAGAGCAACAGCAGCAGCAGAAGAAGCAGTAGCAGCAGCGGAAGCTGCGCTCTCGGCCGTTTGTCAGTAAGCGGGGCAGCGGCAACGGTAACGCAATCAACGGCAGCGGTGGGGACGGCAACGGTGGTGGCCGCAGCAACAGCAGCAGCCTGGGAACAGAAGCAGGGCTCCGGGAGTGGCGGCGAGGGGAACTGTTGGAACCTGCGGTTGCCCATTCGGCCTGCGAAGTCAGTGTCATCGCGAGCGGGCCTTTTGCTGCTGACGGTGAGCTTGCGCTTGCGTAGCTGTTACCCTTGGGATCCCTCCTGGGTGGTTATGGAACGGGTAGAAGGCCTAACGGCATGTCGGACGTGGCATGGATGGAGGGCCAGCATGCCGCTTTGAGGTTGGGATCAGGTGCTTATGACGCGCGTGCGTTGGAAGGGGACGCCAAGCTAGCTGCTCGAGGCTTGCCTTGTTGCCTACCTGCAGCTACCGGTAACATGACCCATGGAACTGAGTCGCCGCTCTTCTCCGTACCTTGCGACGGCGTCCAGGCACCTCATCGGCAGAGCTCCTCCGCAGCGTGTCAGCGGTGCGCTCTGCGTCACGGCTGCCTTAGCCTCCCTCTCATCAGGCCCTTGTTTTTCTCCGCATCTCCCCAATCCGTCACCCCATACTACCCCCTTCATCCTACAATCTTTCGCACTGTGAACTTGAGCGGCACTCCTAACCTCCAATTGCGCAGGTGCGCTGTCAGCCAGCCAACCGGCCCCAGGGACCCCTGGAGCACTGCGGTCCTGTCCGGTTCCGAGTGTCTGTGTCGACCGTGGCAGGTAGGTACTGACCCGGCATGACCCGTGGGTCACACCACGCAACTTCCTATGCATGGACGTCGGACATCAAGGCTCGCACTCCGCATCATGCCTTCCAACAGTGCTTTACTTCTCTCATTGGCGGTGAAGGCAATCCCTACAGTCTCACTCTCATACCCTGTCAACAGTTCTTCCTATTTACCCTCCTGCCATGCGGGGCATGCCCCTGGCCTGAAGGTGTCCTGACTGGGCACACCGATGAGGACGGCTGGCTGGCTTACGCGGCTTACAAGCTGAGGCTGGCTGGTGTACGGAAGTTCTTTTCGGAAGGCGCCACGCAACACTGGAACGAAAAGTACGACAAGGCCCGAATGGTGAGGAGGTTGCATGGGAGCCATGTGATGCAGGACATGTTTCCTGGAGTTGTATTCGTTTCTGTACGCTTCCGTGCGGCGTTGTAGGGTGGCCAAAATGCGCAGCTGTTACCAGGCATCTCTGGTTCATCCATAGATAGCGCTATGGAAGCAGAAAACATCCATAGGGCTCTGTTAATTTGTCTGTCTGTCGTGCCATAATGCACACATGTGGCATTAGGTGCCATGCCACAAGCCGACATGTGTGCCTCCCCTTGAACCGCACGCACGTCCATCCCTTTCCGTACATCTCGGATCTCCAACGCCGCAGATCTTCCACAGTTCAACCATGATGGCGGCGGTGCAAGCCCAACACGCTGTCCTTTACGCAGACAACGGCCAAGCGGTGGGCTGTCGCCCGCATCGGACTCCGTTAGACGCCCGTTTCCACGGCTTAGCCTTTCGCGACTTTTCCTTGTGCCATGGTCGATACACCTGGGTTGCTCCTAGCCGTTTCATAAGCAAAAGAGGCTTCATAAGTAAGCGCTCGTGCCGCCTCATGCGTCCTGGTCCATGACTCATGGACAAAGCTGCCTCGTCCATCCACAACAACCCATCCACACCCCACCACCCATAACAATCCGACAGCCCACGCAACCACTGACCAAAACCAAAACCAAAACCAACCAACCAACCCCCCACAGAAGTTCCGCGGGACCCTCCGCTGCGGCGGCGACCTGGTGTCGCTGCTGCACGGCGGCGTGCGGGCGGCGCAGCGGCGCTACTACACCTACTGCCTGTTGGAGGACGGCAGCATGTGCTTCAGTGAGACCGGCGCCGCCTTCTTCTCCGACTTTATGTCCAAGCACGCCATGCATGCGGGCTGCGCGGACAAGGTACGACAGGGCAAACGCCCGGGTTGGTACGGCACCTGCAACGGCTACCTGGTCCATGGATGCCAGCGTGAGCTTGCCCACAATCTTTTGCTATCGGTGGAGGGAGATGTTACTTTGATAGTAACAGTTAACATTATGAAGTAAAGGTTTCAATTGCAGACTCAGATTTCAGCGTGTGCATCGTTCATTCACTTCCTCTCCCCCTCCCTCCTCTGGCCTCCCGCCTCCCAGGTGGTCTTTGCGGGCGAGTTCTGTCTGCTCCCGCCCGGCATGCCGCCTGTGTTCCCACACCCTGCCGCCTCCACCTCCTCCTCGCCCTCCACACACACGCCCCCTCCGGCCGTGATCACAGCCGCACAAGCAGCGGCTGATGCGGCGGCGGCTACAGCGGCCCTGCCCTCCGCTGCCAGCAACTCCAGGTGCCGTAGCCCCGCCCCCACTGACGGCAGCAGCAGCAGCAGCAGCACCACCACCACCGCCAACGGTGCACCCTCCTCTACCACCACCAACGGCGCCTCCACCACCTCCGGCGGATGGACCCTGGTGATCGACAACAACTCGGGCACCTACGCGCCGACGGAGGCGCTGCTGCCTGCACTCAAGGGCCTTCTGGAGTACAACTTCCCCGGCTTGCAGGTGGAGGTTGTGGGTGCGGGGGAGAAAGCGCGGTTGGAGGCATACCACGCGCGGATACCCAGCCGCGTCAAGGCTTGCTGACGACGTGCCGGGTATGTTGGGGGGTGGTTGGGGGCCTGGGTACGAGGCGCTGTAGGTATATGCCACCGTAGTATATGGCACTTACCTGTCTAGGCAGAGGTACGGCGGTCGCAGACGAAGGAGGAGATTGCAGAGATTTTTGCGCGGCTTTCACGACGACTGGGGTCCCAAAATGCTGTTGCTGCTGTCTGCAGCGACGATGACGACGCCGAAGCGTGATAAGACGTGTTTGCTTGATCGCACACATGGACGTACGGCGGCGGGAGCTTGCTACACTTTCGGAGGGACTCTTCGCTCGTGACAATCCAGATGCAATCCCACTTGTGACCAAACAGAACCTTAGTTTGAGCATAATGGTGGGCATAGTAACGAGCCCTGGATGCCAAGGGATGTCTTGCGCCAGTTAGATGGCACTTACTGTCTAGGCACCTTTCCATTGGTGGTGCTACTGCTGCTGCTGCTTTTAGTGTAGTATGGTGGAGAATATGGATTTTTGTGATTTTGTGAGCTGGATGTGTTGCGTGTCTGGTTTTACTTATTAGGGCGTGTTCACATGTGCGCGAATCGGGGTGAATCGGGGTGGATTGGCAGTCGGATTGGCGCCAATCCGACCTGAATCCCAATCGGGGTCTGGGGGGGCCGATTCGAGTAGGATTAACCAAGATTGATTGAGATTCGACTTATACGCGAAGCTTTTCAGTTGCAAATAAGAAAGATAGCAATCACAAAACATCCTCATTAAAGTAATATGTTAATTTGCCAGAAAGTTGCACAGCGACATTTCGCGACCATCGGGCAGGTATGTCCCTGGTGACCAGGCGATGCCACATTAGTTTAAAACAGTGATAATTGCAATTAAATCTTGATGTCTACCGGTCTGGAACGGTTAGAAGGGGCGACGGACAAGGAATCCGTGGGTTGGTTTACTCTCCTTCGGATTCGTTGTGAACGCGATTTGGGAATCACTTGCGAAGCTAACTATGAATCCTAACACGAATCCTGTTACATGTGAACACACCCTTAGCGCGGCGTAAGGGAGAAGCTGGAACTGCGGGAAACCCTTTTGCGCGGGCTGCGGGTGCTCAACAGGAGCGCCTGCGCCTGCGGCTGTCGTACTCGGGGCCTCACGTGCTGAAAGCATGTACGTAAAGTACGTGATACGTGTACTGCAGGCTATCGTTTTGTGCTTTTACGAACAAACGCTGTGACTCCTGTGAGCCACTCCTTTCTTGCCCAGGTGTGGGCGAGCGTAGACCAGTTCTAGTTTTTAACTTAGCTCGGCTTGCAGGTAGGCAGGTAGGCACTGCGTATAATGGAATAGCTGGGTGGTAGTGACCTTACACAATAGCGGGTGTTGGTGGCCTCCCGAGAAGAGCCCTTCAGCGCACAAATGAACTACTGGTGATCGCTGTGTGCGATTCCTTGGAAGGACGGGTGGCTAGCTTGCTTGTGGTACTCGAGCTGTGATCCTCGAAAGCGTGTATTGCAGACGTATAGGCGTAGATTTACTGCTTGCTGATACGCTGGTAATTACGGTAGCGTGTTTTGGTGCGTAGATGTGCATGGGGCCAGTTTGGCGGCGGGTAAGGGGTTGTGCTGGCTGTTCTCTCTAAGACATGACATGGGACAGCTGCAGGGGAGAGGCAGGGATTGGGCGAACATGGTTGACGCTGGCGGGTAGCTGGAGGGCCGGCCATAGGCCAGTGCCTTAGGCATGCTACTTCCCTCTCTCTTGTACAAGCGCCCATGTAGGTGTTACTGTCATGGGTAAATGTTGAAACAGGCCTGCCCAATTCCGGTACATGGCAACACGTAATTGTACGGCATTCTTTGCCTGGCAAGGCTATAGTGAAAGGTTCCTAGTGCCCAGCATCTTCACAACAAATTGACACCTTAGTTTGCAAGAAGGCAAGGATAAGTGTAGAGAAGTAAGAGAAGCTTAGCTGCGCCATAAGGTGCTAGCAATGGCCGAGCTGCCGCGATTCTCCGCGCCGCATCCGCTCGGCCTCCCCGCAAACCGCTATTCACATCCTGTGCGCGTCCTTGGGAAGGGAGCTTTCGGCGAGGTATGGTGTACCAGACTGTAATGGACACAAGTCCTAACAACCCAAGCTCATTCCTTCGTGCTAGTTATACATCTGATGTATGCAAGCGTGGTTACTGCATGGATGTTTGGATTGTAGTTTGTATGCTGTCGTCGTCACGTGCCTCGCCAGTTAGGGCCCGTTAATACATGACTCGCCATCTACCCTGCAAGACGCGCAGGGTGACACTGACCCTGTGACCTACTGCGCAGTACTGAAATGGTATTTCGCTTCGATTATTTTCTTTCTTCATGTGCAAAGGTGTACCTATGCTTCATCCGGAAGGAACACCCCAACGGTGTTCAGTATGAACCGGTTGCCGTCAAGATATACCAGGTAACAGCAGTAACATACTGCGAGGATTGTGACGCACGAGTTAAAGGGCGTAGGTTGGGATGTCGCCATGCCAACCCCTTGGCATTGGATGCAATGTGCTTTCGGGATACTCCCCACTGCTTACTCGCAATACTCAAAGGGGGTTTAGACTACACTGAAAGGAAAAATGATGAGCCAATGTGCGGCGATGTGACTGATGCTGCGAGTCATCGTCTAAAGACAACCCCACATTCCCCTCCTCCCCAGCCCATCCAGCCGGGCAATGAGCGCATGCTTGAAATGCTGCGCCGGGAGGTGGAGTGCCAGGGCAGTCTTCACCACCCGCACGTGATCAGCCTTCGGGAGGTAAGAAGGACCTGGCAGGTGTCACCTACCCCTTTGGTGTACCCTCTAATAACTTATCACCGTCATACACCTGCATCATCACGCGCCCCTTCCTGCCCTCTTCCCCAGCAGCCCCTCTCGCACCCCTGAGCCCCCTCAATACTTCACCCGCCTACACACATTCCAACACCCTGGCTTGCTCCCTCCTCGCTGCAATAAGACTGTAAACCATATACCGTATGCAACGCTACAGTAATACGGTATGCAACCTTCTTGCAACGTGCTGCAGGTGGGTATCACGGGTGTTGCCGACCGCATCTATCTCAACCTGGAGTTTGCGGACAGCGGTACGCTGAAGCAGCTGCTTGCCGCGCGCGGCGGGAGGCTGACGGAGGGCGAGGCGCGCTGGTACACGCAGCAGCTCGTGTACGGCATGGCGTACTGCCACGCGCAGGGCGTATTCAACCGGTGTGGGCGGGGGAAAGGGGGCTGATGGATGGATGATGATGCGCATGTGCTGTGTTGCTTTTGGACGGTCTCCGAACTCATTGCGTTGAGCTTTGTTGCCTGCAGTGCGTTCCTGCGGCTCTGGTTGCCATACCCTCATGTCTTTCAATAGCGCATCCGGTCACATTAATACCCTACCCGTTTGGTTTCCGCCTCACCTGCTGGGGTGTACCGGTACGTCCTGCCAGGGACATCAAGCCGGACAACCTGCTGCTGCACCGCGGCGGACTCACCTGGCCCCTGCTCAAGGTGCGCGACCTCCCGAGCGAAGGGGGCAAGTCGGGGACCTGCTAGGTGTGTTGCCTGGCGCGGCGGGAGATGAAACCTGTTGGGAATGCCGGAGAAATTCGGAACGGTTGGGACCTGTCTTGAATAGATCACGTGGTGGAAAGGGATGTACCGGAATGCTGCAGTGCTAGGGTATGCCGTAGTACGGCATGCTGTGGGGAAACGAAAGCTGAAGGAAAACACAAGCAAGAAGCGTCTCCCTTGAGCCCCGCTTGACCCATGGGTCGCCTCCTTGTTCATCACTTTACTCACTCCAGCTCATTACCACACTCGTAAAGTACGTAACGTACGGCATGCTGGCAGCTCTGGATGAGGGAAGCTAGATAGCAGCCAGTGCAATGCGTGTTGCTTGTATCGCTACCGGCATCCCGAAGCTGTTGCTGTTGTCGCTGGATGTTGCTGCTGCTGCAGGTTTCGGACTTTGGATTGTGCAAGAGCACGGGTCACTCCGCCCCGCACTCGCTGGTGGGCTCACTGCATTACATGGCACCAGGTGGGCGGCAATCCCGCTCAGGGAAGGGCTTATTGGGAAGGTGAAGGGAGGCAGCGCTGAACATGCGAAGGAAGGTTTTTGAAGGGATTCTCTGAACATATCGCAAAAGGATCTTGTCGCTGTTGGGGTTACGAAAAGAAGAGAGCGAGAAAGTACCGCCGGTAATCAGTTCCAATGTTCCACCCATGTGACGGCAGCAACGGGGAGCAGCACTCATTTCCGGGCTCTGGGCTGTCATGCAGGGCATACATGTGGCTAGGGCTCTTGAAAGCTACGGCTCTGAAAGCTAGGGCTAATAAAATCATTTAAACGTGCTGCACTAGCCACATGCTTTTGCGTACCGGTATTATTGAGGTGTAGCCAGCAGCTCACCCGGGGCATCTCCTTATATTTTCTAATGAGAGGTATTGCTGCGGGTGTGCATCAGCTGTCTGTACCGCCGTTCCCATACCCTTGTAGAGGTGATCATCCGCGTCGTCAGCAGCAGCGGCAATGGCGACAATGAGAAGTATGATGGCAGGAAGGTGGATGGTGAGTTGATGATGCCGGCATCCGGCTAATGTGCATTGTAGGTTTGTAGCTAAGCCTGCTGTGGCAACGATGTGGGTGGAAAGGGCTAGCTACATACTTAGCCTAAGTAAACCTTAAAGGAAGACCTGCTGTCACCTACTTCCTATGTGGCTGGTGGGCCCCTCGAACTCCGCATCTCCGTCGACCTTGCCTGGTATCGATCGCCGATCACTGCTGCGTTTCCTTCTCCTGCCTCCCGCCTATGGACCCCTATTCTTCAGCTCCTAACCGTTCCTGAACCCATATCACCTCATCCCCACCCTTCACTCCCCTCCTCCCCCCCAAACGTCCTCGTTGACCCTATCCTAACCCTTAATCCTGAGTTCCTGACCCTTGACCCCTGCTGACCTCCCACAGTGTTCTCGTGCGGTATCGTTCTCTACCAAATGATATTCGGTGCGCTGCCCTTCAACCGGGCACCGGACGGCAGGCCACTGGAATACAAGTACCGGGAAGACCGAGAGACCTTCCTGGATAACATGCGGCTTGACCGCTGGACGCAGCTCATCCCGCGCTCCGTCCTCGCGCCGCCGCCGGCACCTGCTGGTGGTGGTGGTGGTGGTCAGGATGAGGCCCTGCAGAAGCAGGGTGGGCAGCAGCAGCCACAACAACAACAACAGCTGCCGCCGGTGCATCTAAACCCAGCGCTGATTGACTTGTTGTCCGGCATGCTTCGATACGATGCGGCGCAGCGCATGACGTTGCGGGATGTGATGATGCATCCCTGGTACTGCTACGGCTTGCCGGCAGAGTACCATGCCATGCTGCTCAAGGTGAGTTGGTTGGTGTACGGCGGTTGACTGTACGAATGCGTTGTTAGATGGCCTGTACGGCCAGTTTATCGACCCGTTTCAACTTGTATGACAGCAGTACGGTATTAGCTTTTTAGGTTAAAAATGTGCGGCATTAATAGTTGACCACTCTCATCAGAGCCTCTTGCGCATGCCACCCAGCTACCGCCGCCACCGGTGCGTGTACCCATCCCTGTCAGTTGTTACAAGCTCTAATAAGGCTCGTAAGGCCCAGATGAGCCACGAGGCTCATGGACGGAAGGTGCGTGTTGTCTGCTAACTCGAAGCTAACATGCTCTTGTCATCGTACACCACTAGGCGGGCACGGAGGCGAGGCCAGCAGGGGAGGTGCGGCGGTCACAGACGAAGGAGGAGATTGCAGAGATCTTTGCGCGGCTTTCACGACGACTGGGGTCCCAAAATGCTGCTGCTGCTGCTGCTGTCTGCAGCGACGATGACGACGCCGAAGCGTACTAAGACGTGTTTGCTTGATCGCACACATGGATGTACGGCGGCGGGATCTTGCTACACTTTCGGAGGGTCTCTTTGCTCGTGACAACCCAGATGCAATCCCACTTGTGACCAAACAGAACCTTAGTTAATGGTGGGCATAGTAACGGGCCTTGGATGCCAAGGGATGTCTTACGCTATTACGTTATATTAGTCAGCAGGTAGAATGCGATACTTTCAAGGTGGAGAATATACAGGTACACCTGGACACAATAGAGTAGCACCCAATACTTACGTGCCACCAAAAAGTCTGCAAAGACAAATGAAACATGGTATTATCTCGTTACGTTGAGATAGGAACGCATGGTTGGAACTGATATAATGCAGGAAGGTGGTGATAGTGACGATGCCTTGCTGGGTGTGTCCTGCTAAACTATGAATATGAAACTGAATGAGTATTGCTCGTCGATTGTTGAGCAGGTGTTGTTATTAGCCAGTGATATACAAGTGGGCAGGGCGGGACTTGTAGGTGGCCGTGAGCCCTGCAACTACTAGTACGATGGGATGGAGACTAGGAGTGGTAGTTTGTAACGGCGGGTACACGCTGCTATTACGTGTTTTCCGTTTGCATTGCGTGTTTGCCCGTACGGTGCGTTTTGTTGACGCAACCATGCGCCAATCATACGCCACGGCGTTGCGGTTACAATGACTGATGGTCACTTAAATGGATGTTGGATTGTAAAGACTGCTGCAACCGTTATGGCTGTAACATTCATGCCGATTGTTCTGGACACAAGGTGGTATGTTGGTGGGTTGGTATGAAGGGCGGTTTTTAGCCGGTATGTAGGATATTGACCAGAACGTATGTATCTTTTCTGGTGTGTGGTATCAAAGTCCCTCAGCCCTAGGCTGCTGGGTACCGAACATGCTGCTAGATAGCACGTTGCTTTGCTATATTGCTAGGAATGAGGAACTGCACGAAGGTTTGTGTTGTCTTTCTGCATGTGTCCCATGTTTATCATATGAAACACTGCTCCTATACACGAGTCAGTTGGTATGTACGGCGGATCGTTCTGATCTGTTCTGTTAATTGGCATAACCGTGTCACTGACGATACAACAAGTCCATCTAATACTCGCATTGTTGCCACGACAGTGGAAATTAGTGAAATTTATACAAATACTTTACGTCTCCTAACAACTGGAGTGTCGGAGTTCCTTAGCATGCAAAGAAATACACTGTGGGACCGGCCATCAAGGAATTAGGCGAGTCCGTACGTACGTGATCCAACAGGGCGTGCGTCCGTCTCTTGAATGAAACCATAAGCCAGCAGGGCAGCTATGTCCAGCAGCCCACAAGACATCCCACTCACTACTCTCCATAACGGCAACCGTACTCCTGCTTCTCCCAAAGCACGGCCGCCGGGCATGATCAACGATTGATTTACAAACAGACACTTACAAACTGAGAAACCATTGACAGCAGCTCATCCCGCTATTCCATGACGCACCGCCAACCTGCGAAAGGGTTTATGGCACCAAGGCTGGCGTATGGTTGCAACAAAACCAAATATTGTTTCGCAACAAAAAGCAGTTGAATACAGCCAACACGGGCCCCAACTGGCAAAACGGCCCTGCGCACAACCATTAGTAAGCAAAACGGATAACCAACAGGAAACTTCAGCTCGCAACAAAAATATACCTAGCACAAGCGCAAACATTGATGTTCCTGTGGCTAGGCGTCGCGGGCTCAGCTGGCCACTCACAATTACCTGTCCCCACGTTTCTTTATACACTCCAGCGTTGTTATGCGAGTCATAGCTAAAACCCACTTAGGACATTAAATCGGCCCAAGCAGGGGGCAAAGCAGGCGAGGACTTGCGGCAATGCGCTTTTAGGTTGCTGACACCTTGCTTACGACAGCAAATCGTGTACAGTCCCTCAACTTGTCACACATCTGGGCTTGCAACCTGCCGAACGCCATACGCCATATTGGACCTGATTGGACATCCATTTAGTATACTAAAAACTCAAAACTGCCAACTGCCAATTACGTCGCACATAGAGGGCCAGTACTACCGTAGCAACGAACAATCCTTCACGAAGTTCCTCAATCCCTGGCCACATGACATTGCCTTAAGGCAACAGTCAATTATTAGGGGTCTAGCCAATACCTATCTGCCTGACCGCAATGTATCCATATCATCGCAACGTCATATTATTAGTAGCATCCCTCTAAGGCCTCTATCACACACGCTCCTACGATCGACATGCACTCACCTCTCTCATAACCATTCCGACCTGACACGGTACAGCCATTTATCGGGCTGATTAGAAGCAACCATCCGTCGTTTCTCACAGTTCAAGCCTCCTTTCCTCCTACCCGAAGTATGTACTAATCGTTTCCGTTGTTGACATCATCTCCATTCCCTTCGTCATGCCCCTCCGTGATAGGAACCAGCCGAGGCACACGATTGCGGTGCTTCCTCGCAAACTGCAAGTAAGCTCGACTGGACCGGAAACGCCGCCACCTCGCACTGTGCATGAACCGCCGCAAGGCCTCGGCTTGATTGTCGTCGGCCGTCGACATTTGCGCGAGCTGTTCGTACGGCACCCAGGAACTGTACGGCAGCTCGCCAAACCGTCCTCCTCCTGTCGGTTGTCGCCAACGGACACGCATGAGGATGGCCAAGCCGGGCGCATTCGGAGCGGACCCCAATGCCACGTCGTCTACCGTCAAAACCTCCATTGGCTGCTGTTGCTGCTGCTGCTGTGGTGGTGGTGGTATTGAACGCTGTTGCTGTGGCTGCAGCGCAGCAGGCTGCAGTGTTTGCAGCGCGGCCTGCCGTTGGCGGTTCCCCCTGCTGTCATTCGCAGCGCCACCACCGACGCCACCAGCGGCAGCATTAGCAGCGTCGGCAGCACCGGTAGCTGTGCCGGCATCCGTAGCAGCAGCTACTGCCGCAATCACGGCCGGCCGCCAACGAGAGATTGCAGCGCCCGTGCCCCCACCGTCGCTGCTTCTACCATCCGCGGCAGCCCGCCGCCGTCCCGTCACCGCAACAGCGTAGCCACCGTTAACTGTGACTGCACCGAGGCGGCCGCCGGCACTGGCAGGAATGGTGATGCCGGGGCCAACGTTGCCGCCACCGCTGCTGCTGCTGCCTCCAAAGGTCATGACCCGAGAAGCCGAGCTGCCGGCACCAGTAGTAGCAGTTCCGTAGGAGGGTGTGGCAGAAGCGGAGGGCGACGGCTGCTGGATTAGAGCGGCTCGGAGTGCTGTTGCTGCTGCGGTGAAGGCGGCCATGTCCTTGTCATTGCGGTTAGGGCTGCCGTTATTACAGTTGTTGCTCGCCGTACCGGCGCCATCTGCACTTGCGGCGTTACTGCTCCTCAGGGCGTCGCTGCTGGAGACGCCATCATAACGGGTGGTACCGCCACTGTTGTTGTTGCTGGTGCTGCCGCAGCCATTGTCTCCGTGACTGCTATTATTGCTCGAGGATGACCAGGCTAGCCTACCGCTGCTGTTTGCCCCAGACCCGGCAGCAGCAGCAGCAGCGGTACTACCACCGCCCCCAGCAGCTGCACCTTCTGCATCCGCAGCCGTGAAGGGCTCAACAACCGTGAAAGCATCGCCCAACGGAGGCTCGAACCCTGAACCTCGCGACGAATGGTCCTCAGAAATACACCGCCTCGGCCGCCGGCTAGCCGCGGCAAGGGCAGCATCCGGCGCAAGCACTGACAGGTCCTCCGCTCGGCTGGCAGTGGCCGGGCGGTCGGGGAAAGCCGCGTCCGACATCTCACTTAACCCCGGGAGCGGCAACGCGGCCACACTTCGCAACTTCGGACGCGGTGGTGTCGGATGACGGAGCTGCAGCAGGCTCATCGCCATCCCCTGTGTGGCGTTTGGAACAGGCGCGAGTGGGTATGAGAGGAGTGTCGGCTGCAGTGCTTGCGCCGCAGGATCTTCTCGGACTGGGGAGAGGGGATGTACCACCGTCACGGGCTCAGGCTGGGTCTCCTGGCTTTGCTGCTGCTGTTGCAGCTGTAGCAGTTGAACAGCTTCATCCAGCAGTTGACCCTGTTGTCGTCCTGCTTGCTCCTGCTGCTGCTGTGGAGTCACGGGCGGGTACGGAAAGCGTGGCGGCATGGGCAGCAAGCTCCTTGGCGACGGCAGGGAGCTGCCAGGCGCTTCAGGGCCCAGGGGATCTGCCGCTTCCGACCCGTCACAGTGCCGCTGTTGCCGCTGCTGCAGGTCGGCGGGAAGCAGCACACCTAGGGCGGGGTGCGCGGCTGCCCGCGTGCGTGAAGAGACGGGTGCGGCCCATGCTTCTGGCGCGCGCTCCAATGCAGAGGTGGGCATCCCTGGTTGCCCTCCCACATCCGCATGCAACCTCGGGCTCGAGCGGCCCCCGTTCCGTTCGGCGGTTGCCGGGGTCGATGCGCTTCCCGTGGATGAAGCTGACGAGAGCCTTGACGGCGGGCATCGCGGGTTGTAGCCTTCCTGGGGACTGTTGCCGCGCTCGGGTGTGTTATCGGGGTGCACTCGGGGCGAGGGCAGTCGCTTACCCAGGGATGTTAGCGACGCTCGAGGAGATCGAGGTGATGCGGGTTTGACCGACTGGGAAGAAGTCCTCCTGGATGCCGCTGCCACGTCTGCTTCACCAGCACCCCCACCTCCACCTCCACCGCCGCCGCCAGCATGGTTGCTATTGCCATGACCGCTGCCGCTGCGGCTGCCCGCGGCACTGCTTGCAGACTTGAAGGACCCGCCGGGGCTGCTGCTGCTGCTGCTGCTGCGCCGACCGCCTATCACAGCAGTTGCAAGGCTGCCAAGGGCCGCCGCCGTTGCAGCTGCCAGACCCGAACCCCATCCTGCAGGCTTCAATCCAGCAGCAGGACCTACCCCCGACGCATCAGCAGCAGCACTGTCACCGGGACTGGGTGGCAGAGCCCGCAGTGCTGCATCGACCGTGGGCGCTGCCTCTGCCTCTGCGGCCTGGGCAGCAATGCTTCCAGCTGCCGGAGATGCCGACGCAGGATAAAAAGGCCCCCGCTGCTGCTGCTGGAGTTGCTGCTGCTGTTCGTCGGATTCACGGGAGGCATCTCGGCGTTCTGCAGTTGTGTCCTGCTGCCGCAGGGACACGGCCTCAAAGGACGGCCTGGCTGAAGACAGGGAACGTACCGAAGAGCAGCCCGAGATGCTGGTGCTGCCGTCTGCCTCAACGACCACCTCATCCGGAGGGCTGTCCAGGTCCATGTCGACTGCTGCTGCTGCTGTGTCAGCCATCCAACCCGCAGCAGAGGGGGCGTCTGCAGCGGTGGCAGCCCTTGGGGATGCGGGCGCTGCATTGCCTCCTTCTCTGCCACTGTTGGCGTTGACAGCTCTGGGCCGTGGGTTCACGAAGAGGGTAGCCTGGTCAGGAGCAAGAGCTCCGAGAGTGCCGCAAGTGTCCGCAGCAGCTGCCTCCAGAAGCCTCCGGCGCTTGCGCCGTTGTTGTGCCACGAAGAGCGCGAGTGCTGCCGCTGCGACTGCCGTACCGGCCAGGACGGCACCTAGAATGGCTGGGAGGCCAGGAGCTTTGGAAGCGCCGCTGCCGCTGCCGCCGCTGCTGTTGCTGCCACCGTCTGCGGAGCTGCTAGCGACCGGCGCAAGTGGCGGAGGGCTCTGCGGGTCGGAACACGCGGAAGCAGTTGTCAAAACGCCTTTCTTGCAAAGCAGAGTTCCCGCTGACGATGAGTATGCCAACCACGGGTCGAAGTCAGCAATGGTGATGTCTCAATGCTGTTGTTACAAGGCCCCATAAGTTGTGTTATTGTTTTGGCTTTCCTCCAACAGGCAATTATGGGAACGGTGTCACTAGGCGGGTACCAGTACAGGACACGCCCCTTCAGTGTACAACGGACAAAAACAGGTAGCTGCAACCAAGCGCCGTCAGTTCCGCTCACTCACCAGTGCTCCAGGACCGGGGGCCAAGCTGCAGGCGGAGCCGACCAGCACCGACAAGCCCGCGGCCGTCCCCGAGGAAGCGCACGCGGCAGCCAGCGACTTAGCGCCCTCAGCCGTGAGGGGTACCTCGTACGACACCTGGACCTGCATGCACGAAAGGCCGTTGGGGTTGTTGAGGTCGTTGCTTGTTGGTATGCCTGCTGTAGGAGTGAGGTTGGGAGGAGGGGGGCAACGTCAAGGTCCAGGTATTGGGAATCCGCCTTCGTCAATTGCCTTACCGCCGTCGATACGCTGATTTGGTCCACTGTTGGCGCACACATCAGCAATGCCCCCGAGGCCGTTTCCGTTGTGTCGGTCGTGTCTTGGGCGGCCTGCCATGCGCGCATGCTAGCGTACATATCGCTCTTCACGGATGGCGTTTGACTGCTGCTGCTGCTGACTGGGATGCTGACCCCAAAACTCACGGATGCGGTGCCAGTAGTGCTGCTGCTGCTGCTTGAACATGCTGCAGCAACATGTTTCTCCTCGGCAGCGTTATTGCTGCTACCTGCGCCGGTACCGCCGCCAGCAGCACTGTCACCGCCGCTGTACTTTACATAATCGTAGCTCACGCTCACGCTGTCGCTATCGGCCTCGACAATTGCATTTGTCGCGGATTCGGCGGAGGCTGTTAATTGGCGAGAAGAGGCGCGGAGGACGCTGTGGCTTCGGCCCAACAGCCGGCGGCTGCCAGTACCGCCACCACCACTGTCAGTAGTGGAACTACTGCCACCGGTTGCTTCAGTAGCAGTAGCAGCACCACTGCTGGCGGTGGGTGGCGGCATGGCGGGGGCAGGAGGCGGCGGGCTGCTGCTGCTGGCAAAGTCAGTGCAAGTTGCGTCAGTGCTGTTTACTGAGCTGAACGGCAGTCGAGAACGGAACTCCGCTTCGAGCGAAGAAAGGAAGGCGGCACTGCACACCTGTGCGGACAACCAACACACAAGACACCGCACCGTCAACACAGCATTGTAGTTAGCACCGCAGTGCCCAAGGGCCCACGTGCTCATAACCGGAGCGATCGGAGTAACATAACCTGAGCAATCGCAGTTCAGAAACACGGTTCCTTTCGTTCGAACCGCTGGCTCTTGATGTCCTTTGGCCTATCGATGGCCCCACCGCCTAGGCTGCTCCACAGCCCTGTGCGCCTCGTGAAACACGCACCTGGACACTCGTTGTGCCCTGTGACGCCGGCACCAGCAACAGCGGGACAAGGACATCAAAGGCAACCGCGCGGACTTCCTTCGCGCTGGGAAACAGCGACGCCAACGCCACCGCATCCGTAAGCTCTACGCCCTGCAGTACGGCCGTCTTGTTGACCGTCAAGATGCCGTACGGCTCTCCAGACTGGTCTATGAGATCCTGTGGTATCCCCAAATCTATACCGAGTGAGGATTGAGGTGGGGGTGCAGGTGATGGTGATGGTGGTGGCAGCAGCGGCGGCAACGGCGGCGGCTGCAAGGGGCTCGGTGCAGCTGGCTGGGGCTGCGGCTGTGGCAGGGACGGAGGTGGAGGCGACGGTGGAATTTGAAGCGATGTGGGAGGTGGTGGAAGCGACTGTGGAAGGGGCGGCTGTGGTGGGGACGGTTGTGGGGGCGAGCGCGGGCTAGGGAGGGTCGACGGAGGCGGCGGCGAGAGCGGGCTAGAGATGGGCGACGGAGGAGACGGAGAGGGCGGGCTTGGAAGGGGCGACGCAGGCGGTAGCGAGGGTGGGCTTGGAAGGGGCGACAGAGGAGACGGGGAGGGCGGGCTCGGAAGGGGCGACGGAGGCGGCGGCGAGGGTGGGTTTGGAAGGGGCGACGGAGGTAACAGAGATGGCGGGTTTGGAAGTGACGGCGAAGGCGGTGGCGACGGCGGGCTTGGAAGGGGCGACGGCGGACCAGGAAGGGGCGACGGAGGAGACGGAGAGGGCGGGCTCGGAAGGGGTGAGGGAGGCGGCGGCGAGGGCGGGATTGGAAGGGGCGACGGAGGTGATAGCGAGGGTGGGCTTGGGAGGGGTGACGGAGGAGACGGAGAGGGTGGGCTTGAAAGGGGCGAGGGAGGCGGCAACGACGGCAGGTTTGGAAGGGGCGACGGAGGTGGTAGCGAGGGTGGGCTTGGAAGGGGCGAGGGAGGCGGTAGCGACGGCGGGCTTGGAAGGGGTGAACGAGGGGGTAGCGAGGGTAGGCTTGGAAGGGGCGACGGAGGCGGGGGCGAGGGTGGGCTTGGAAGGGGCGACGGAGGCGGCGAAGAGGGCGGGCTTGGAAGGGGCGACGGAGGAGACGGGGGGGGCGGGCTCGGAAGGGGCGAGGGAGGCGGTAGCGAGGGCGGGCTTGGAAGGGGCGAGGGAGGCGGTTGCGAGGATGGGCTTGGAAGGGGCGACGGAGGGGGTAGCATGGGCGGGCTAGGGATGGGCGACGTAGGCGGTAGCGACGGCGGGTTTGGAAGGGGCGACGGAGGCGGCGGCGAGGGTGGGTTTGGAAGGGGCGACGGAGGTAACAGAGAGGGCGGGTTTGGAAGTGACGGCGGAGGCGGTGGCGGCGGCGGGCTTGGAGGGGGCGACGGCGGACCAGGAAGGGGCGACGGAGGAGACGGAAAGGGCGGGCTCGGAAGGGGTGAGAGAGGCGGTAGCGAGGGCGGGTTTGGAAGGGGCGACGGAGGTGGTAGCGAGGGTGGGCTTGGGAGGGGCGACGGAGGGGACGGGGAGGGTGGGCTTGGAAGGGGCGACGTAGGCGGTAGGGAGGGTGGGTTTGGAAGGGGCGACGGCGGGCTTGGAGGGGGCGACGGCGGACCAGGAAGGGGCGACGGAGGAGACGGAAAGGGCGGGCTCGGAAGGGGTGAGAGAGGCGGTAGCGAGGGCGGGTTTGGAAGGGGCGACGGAGGTGGTAGCGAGGGTGGGCTTGGGAGGGGCGACGGAGGGGACGGGGAGGGTGGGCTTGGAAGGGGCGACGTAGGCGGTAGGGAGGGTGGGTTTGGAAGGGGCGACGGCGGACTAGGAAGGGGTGACGGAGGAGACGGAGAGGGCGGGCTTGAAAATGGCGAGGGAGGCGGCAACGACGGCAGGTTTGGAAGGGGCGACGGAGGTGGTAGCGAGGGTGGGCTTGGAAGGGGCGAGGGAGGCGGTAGCGAGGGCGGGCTTGGAAGGGGCGACGAAGGAGACGGGGAGGGTGGGCTTGGAAGGGGCGAGGGAGGCGGTAGCGACGGCGGTCTTGGAAGGGGCGACGGAGGCGGTAGCGAGGGTGGGCTTGGAAGGGGCGACGGAGGCGGCGGAGAGGGCGGGCTCGGAAGGGGCGAGGGAGGCGGTAGCGAGGGTGGGCTTGGAAGGGGCGAGGGAGGCGGTAGCAAGGGCGGGCTTGGAAGGGGCGAGGGAGGCGGTAGCGAGGGCGGGCTTGGAAGAGGCAAGGGAGGTGGTAGCGAGGGTGGGCTTGGAAGGGGCGACGGAGGAGACGGGGAGGGCGGGCTCGGAAGGGGCGAGGGAGGCGGTAGCGAGGGTGGGCTTGGAAGGGGCGACGGAGGAGACGGGGAGGGCGGGCTCGGAATGGGCGAGGGAGGCGGTATCGAGGGCGGGCTCGGAAGGGGCGAGGGAGGCGGTAGCGAGGGCGGGCTTGGAAGGGGCGAGGGAGGCGGTATCGAGGGCGGGCTCGGAAGGGGCGAGGGAGGCGGTAGCGAGGGCGGGCTTGGAAGGGGCGAGGGAGGCGGTAGCGAGGGCGGGCTTGGAATGGGCGAGGGAGGCGGTAGCGAGGGCGGGCTTGGAATGGGCGAGGGAGGCGGTAGTGAGGGTGGGCTTGGAAGGGGCGAGGGAGGCGGTAGTGAGGGTGGGCTGGGAAGGGGCGAGGGAGGCGGTAGTGAGGGTGGGCTGGGAAGGGGGGACGGAGGAGAGGGCGACGGCGGAATTGGAAGGGGCGACGGAGGCGGTAGCGAGGGTGGGCTTGGAAGGGGCGAGGGAGGCGGTAGTGAGGGTGGGCTGGGAAGGGGGGACGGAGGAGAGGGCGACGGCGGACTTGGAAGGGGCGACGGAGGAGACGGAGAGGGCGGGCTCGGAAGGGGCGAGGGCGGGCTTGAAAGGGGCGACGGCGGCCTAGGCGACGGCGGGCTGGGGAGGGGCGACGGAGGTGGCGGGGAACTAGGCAGCGGAGGCGGGAATCGCGCGACGGGATATGGTGGATTTGGGGATGGCGGCGATGGGGGAAGCTGGGGCGTAGGAGGGTCGGTTGAGTATGCCGCAAACCCTACCAAGCGGACCGCGTCGATAACAGTACTGCCAGAAATCTTGAAGCGGACCGCCGTCGCCGGGCCTATGCTGTTGCTGTTGGTTATATTGCACGTGAACCAGTGCGGCTGCTCGGCTGTGGTTGTTCCTAGACAGCTGGAGACGGGGTCCGGGGAGCAGCCAACCTGCGGTGTGGTGAAGGAGAAGCCCAACCCAATAATGATTACGTCAACATCTCGGTGCATTCAAGTGTGCGTCATGTGGCATAACGTTTGACACTTCACTCACCGCATCCCGCCACAACGCACCTCGCAAGCATGCAAGGTGTGGCCCCTAGCCGCCCAGCCCAGCCCAGCAGCTCTGGAGCTCCCCTCCCCCCAGCAGCCCACCTAGCCGCCCCATCACCCACCTAATCCGCCCGCTTACCGGGTCTTGTGGCACCCCGCCACCTCTTCTCCCTATTGGCTTGCCCTAACTTGCAACTACCAAGAGAACGGTTTGGTTTCCCTCGGAACCCCTCCCGCCTGCTTCCAGCACCCCTGTCTCTACGCCCACCTTTGTTCCGCCGCTCTGCAGCTCCCCCGTCCCCAGGTACACGTTGTCCGTGACCACCTCAGAGGCGCTGCTGACCACCATGACGCCCACCTGCGGGTGGGAGCAAGCGCGTTTTAGGTGGTGACAGTGTGTCACCGCCCAACGCCGCTTCTCAACCTGGCGCCATGTGCTAAGTCTGCACATGCAGAAGCGCTGCCGCAGCCAAGCACCATGTGCGCACATGTGCCGGTACGCCTGATGCATGGACGTTGCTGTTTGCCGTGTTCAACAGACACTACCGGTATCCGGTACGGCACAAAGCGAACGTGGCATGGCCGCTGGGCTTTAACGCTGCAGCTCTGCAACAGTACAATGCGGTACGAGCACTGGTGCCTTACCTGCGTGACGTACACCGCTGAGGTAAAGGTGAAGCGAACAGTGGCATCCGCGTTGCGCGTGGAGGGGTCGCCGCTCGCCAGGCTCCAAACGACACGCTGGTCTGCGGCTGAACTTGGGGGCCCTGAAAGGCACTGCAAGCCTTTGAAGTCTGGAGCCCCGACGAGGGATGAGTAGTTCGCTGCCGTAAGGTTCTTCGGTGCTGGGCTGGACGCTGCTGATGTTGCATACTGCACCAGTTCCCCTGCCGTACAGTTAGCCCGTTGGGCATGGAAGCCTGGTAGTAGCCCGAGGAGAAGGACGAAGACCACAGACAGCAGCAGGTGCCGCAACAGCATCGAGGAATGATGCCGCCGATGGGGTCGTCGGTCGCTATTAAAGCGCTTTTGGAGATGCGGCTGCTGGTGGTGGCAAGCTGGCCCCTTGATACCACCATGTTTCAGGTGCAACCTGCGGCAAGTTTGCAGAATTGACCGTACATCACGCATCAACCTTACCGCTGCCATGAGAGCACGTCCCACGTACCAGTCCTGGCAGAAGCTGTTCGTCGTGTCAGGCAAGCCTCCAAATTCTGGTTCACTGAGCGCCGCTTGCAGCGCCGTAAGCAGAAGCCACTGCAGCTCGGCGCACTGCCCTGGCCGCAGCCAAAAGCTGCGGCCACTTTACGTGTTAACCTGGTCAGCAAGAGTGCTCACATGCTCAGCGTTATGCCAACCAGCGTTCGCGTTGCTATGCTGGAGCTGTAGGTTTTTTAAACACACACAATTTGCGTCTAAAGCTTATGATAGACTGTAAAACGTTTAAGCTAGCCAAGTAAGGAATAAGCCAGGGATTAAAAACAATCTGAACTCTTGCAAGTATCGCATTCTTAAGGGTAGGCTCATGTTGCGAACGCTTGACCTAGCACTGCCATAAATACTTCATGCCAGAACCAGCACACTTATGGCACGTAGTTGTACACAGCTGGGCTTGGCAACTTGTACTGCTCAGTCTGACAAATGAAGTCACAAGGGATGCGCCACGCGCGCTTAGGCACTGTACCAGTTGATTATGAGTTCCTTGCTCTAAAGTCTGGCGTTGTACTTCAGCGCAATCACGGTATACTAAGAAGACCGATTCCATGCGCAACCGCAGATCTCAGGTTGTTTCAACTTTGCATGGCTTCGCTACGCATGTTCAGTAATTACCAAGGTACTGATGTGCTGCTGAAACTGCGCATGGTGCAACCAATGCAGCGAACGACCGTACAACCTACCTTACCTGAAGCCAAGGGAACCTGGGGCACAGGACGAGGAACTGTGAGTTTTGCACGAAGACTAGCTTTGATCAACCACCAAAAACGTAATGGGCCCTTCTCCATGCCTTTCACGTCTTTGCTCGTCCTGACGTGTCGTTAGAGTGCAGTAGGCTAGGTTCATAACTTTGTCCCTGGTGAGCACGCCTAACAAACAAGATACGGTCGAGATGGTAGTAGTCCCTTGGAAGGGTCGTTTCATGCAAGCTGCCTACAGAACTACACTTTTCCTTGCAAGTTGCCATGGCAACGTGCATTATCATTCAAGCATCAAAAGCCCCTCCTGCTAGCACGAGAGCAATGGCGTTCATACTCTAAAGCCAGACCTACCTTTTGGGTTCGTCGGTAGGTGCCACTGGCTAGAGTGCGAAACTACCGGTATACTGACTTCAACAGCGCATCGCCCCTAGCGCTTTCTAACTAAGAGGTTACAATATGGGAGTCTGGACCGTAGTGATAGAGTCGCCGCGCCAGATCCTCTCCTTGACGGTCCGCCCAACTCTCATGGGACATGGCAACCTAAGCTCCGTCACTCAGTCCGGACCCTGATCGTGCCTTCCAAAATGGTGTCTTCGGGCCCAAAACCGCGGTGCTATGGCTGCAATTAACGCGCACCACCGCCAAGTCAGTGCAACATCTTTGACCAAAAGCGCACGCATCACGCATTGGGACAAGTTCTTCTATAACAATAGCAAGATATAAATAAGCTTAAGGGCTTAAAAACCTGAATCCACGTTGCACTACTAATATTTGCAGCTGGTAAAATGGGCAACTGGGCTTGCTTCTGTATGACACGTAAGGCGTGTCTCAGTGAAATTTTTCCTCGCCTCTAGCGTTGGCAAGTCGTTCCGGACGACGGGCCCCTGAGTCCTGTTGCTCCGAAGACAAGGGCAGGGAAATCGTTGTGCAAGGCAATTATTTCACAAGTACCACCGCTAGACCCCTGTTATTGGTTTGTTAACAAAATAGAGAAAACGTGCACAGGTGTTGCCGTCCTGCCGGCACAGAAGTGTCCATCAACGAATGCGGGGTTGCTAACTGGCTAAGGCGACGACATCTACGGCCTCTTAGTGAACACAATATAAAATGGCGAACACAGCGCATCCTCCGGTGAACCCTCTATCGAACCTCCCTGGCTATACTTTCCAAAAGGCTCTCGGGACAGGAGCATTTGGTTCGGTGCTTCTGTACAGGAGGCAGTTATCCGCGGGCGGCCCATTTGAGGTATAGCTTTTACCCAGGTTGGCCTGGGTCGCCGAAACTGCCCGTTGTAAATGCCGACAAAGAGCGCGTTGCTGCATATTCCAGGATGTGGCGGTGAAGGTTATATCTAGAGAGGAATGCGCGGACTTCAACCTGGTGTCTCGGGAGGTGCACAGTCACCGCCAGCTGGTGCATCGTAAGTCGCTCAATTCGCCCATCGCAGCCCACCTGCCCTGCTGCGCCTCATCCAAACTAACCTGTGCTGCTGTGTCGCATCCTGTCGCCTCCCCTTTTCCTACTCGTCTCAACCTGTGCTCCTGACAGGCCAACTGGCCTGCTAACATGTCCGCCCTGAACGCCCCCGCGTTTCCCAGCTCGCCCCGCGGCTTCCCCACCTGCTGTTTCCCACTCCCTCGCTCCCAACATTTCCCTTGCAGCTCACGTTATCCGCTTTAAGCGGCTCGGTCTAACTCCGGACAGGCGCTTCCTGTACATGGTGCGTACGGTGAACTGCGTACGACAGACCCCGCAGCGTGTACGGCACCTGGAAAGGCTGTGCTCGTACGTCGTCTGCCTGCATTGCATTGCACACGCCCTTCCACATCGCACCCTCCCCCCCATCCTCACTCATCCCCCGCATCGCCATCTGCATCAGCATTTGAAATGAAGAGCATCACCCTCACCCCAAACCCAGATCGCGTGCGGAGGCTCTCCAACACGCCGCCCACCTGTTTGCCATTGCAAGCCACATGGCATATAAAGTATTAACTTAACCGTCACGCTTCACGCCTCGTATCCCCACGTTGCGTTGCCCTAACTTGTGCCTTCTTTCCTGTGGTTTACTTGGTCCACGTCTTCGACCCCATCCCTCTTTGACCCCATCCCTCTTCCCACGCTTTCTCCACAGGCGATGGAGTACGCGGACAGGGGTGACCTGCTGGATTACCTGAGGCGGCGGGGGCGCTTCCGGGAGCACGAGGCGCGATGGTGGGTGCGACACGACACGACATTACATGTCCGTACATGTGTCAGCCTGGAGACCGCTTCCGCGTCCCTTGCCCGCTCACCATACGGCACTGGTCAACTGAGCCATACAAATAGTATTACACAGGATACACACTACGTTTGCGCTTCCGCTGCACACACTTCTGCTGCACACACGTCCGCTGCCGGTATAAGTTCGCTGCATTCCGACATCTCGACCTTCACCTCCCGACCACCCTCCTCCCCACATGGTGCAACCCCCATCGATGGAGCCTACATATGTCCTACGGTTCGTTAGGCTCTCCTCCTTACCCCACTTTTACCCCACTCCTTACCCCACCCACGTCTCCCCGCCCCGGCCCCTCCAGGTTTTTCCAGCAGCTGGTGTTCGGGCTGGACTACTGCCACCAGCGCGGGGTGGTCAACCGCGACCTCAAACCGGAAAACCTGCTGCTAAAGCGCACGCCGGATGCACGACAGGTGGGGAAGGGAGGGGTGGGAGTGGGGGGGTGTGGGGGTCAAACCATAGGAAAGGACAGGTTAGGGGTGGGGTGGGGGTGGAAATTGAAGCAACGGAAGGCGGGGAAGGGTGGGGAGCTAATCACGCGTTGCCAAAGACCCACTGTCTGTTGCGTCATGCTCAGCGGCCCCTCCAGCCCGGCCGGGGGTCATCAGGCACCAAGCCGCTAGGAGGACATCCCGGGGGAGGGAGGGGGCCGAAAGGGGGGGAGGCATGCATGCGGGTGCCTGAGGGGAGGGAAAGACGCGGGGCCAGACGAGGGAAAGCCCAACTGTAGTACTGCTGCACAGTAGATGGCAAGGTGCCTCATAGACATGTGTCGTACCCACATCATGCGGCCAGTTTTCCCAAACCACACACCTGTCTCCCCATGCCATGCATGCCATGACATGCGTCGTACAACCCGCCTCTACCCCCCCCCCCCTCAGGAGCTGACGCAGGGCGACCTGGAGCACCCGTTTAACTTGCACCTCAAGATCGCGGACTTCGGGCTGTCCAAGGAGGGGGTGCACTCGCTGCCCAAGAGCCGCGTGGGCACCGTCACCTACATGGCGCCCGAGGTGCTGCGCGCGGGGCCCAGCCGCAGATACGACGGACACAAAGCGGGTGGGTGCGGGTGCGGATGGGTAGCCGAAGGAGGCAGCGGTGGCAGCGGCTGCGGGAAGCGGGAAGCGCAAGCAGCGGGGGAAGTTTAGGGGGTGCTCTGCTGGGTCCGGGCGTGGCAGCGGCGTGGCAGCGGAAGCAGCGCAAGGGCTGGGGTTTGGGCGTTCAGAGAGGGAGGTTGCGATCGAAGGAGGGAGTGCACCTTGATCGGCTCCTCCTGAGCACCCGAGGCCTCACAACGCACCCTCCTCTTCCTCTTCCGCCTCCTGGCCCACCCCCCTGCCCCCTTTTGCCCCTCTCCTCACCTTAACCCTCACCCTCGCTCCTCACCCTCGCTCCTCACCCTCGCTCCTCACCCCCTCTACCCCCTCACCCAGACATTTGGTCAGCCGGAATCGTGCTCTACGTCATGCTCTTCGCGCGCGCGCCCTTCGACGACCCCCTCGCCACCACGGATAAGGCCCGCCGCGACGCCACCATGCAGCAAATCCTGCGCGGCGAGTGGACTGCCCCCGCCTCCGTCCCCGTCTCCCCCGAGTGTCTCGACCTCCTCCGCGGCATCCTCGCTGCGGACCCAACCGTCCGACTGACCCTAGCGCAAATCATGGCTCACCCCTGGTTCTCCGTGGGCCTCCCGCCGGCAGCGCTGACCATGAATACCGTGCTTGTACGGCAGCAAACGCAGCAACCGCCGCCGTACGAGCAGAGCGTGGAGGAGGTGAATGCCGTACTGCTGGAGGCGCAGCGGAAGGCGGGAGGTGGAGGGGCGGGGGGCGGCGTGGGGGACATGTCGGACTCGGGTTTCATGACCATGGTGGGTTGGGAGGTGGGGAGTGTGTATCGGGGGAGGGTGGACAAATAAAAGTGTAGAGGTGGGGAGGTGGGGAGTGGAGGGGGTAAAGACAAAGAAGCCATGAAGCCCAAGTCTCCGGTGCCTGCTGGGTGTGGGTGTGGGTGTTATCTGGGTGTGGTCTGGGGCTAGTGGGGCTGGGGTGGGTTCGGGGGTGCGGGTGGGGGGTGGGGGTGTTGCTTTTGGCGGGGCGTGCTAGCTGCATGCATGCATGTTTGGGTTGGGAAGCAATGGCCGTCGTTGCCTGGGCATGGTCCCCAACTCCCCGTGCATGCACTCCCTTGACGCACGCAATGTTGACTGCACAACAGCACACGCCTGCAGCCACTACGACTAACCCCATAATCACCCTTTTCACCCCTCCCGCAACTCCTCCCGTCCCGTCCCCCCTGCTGTCCCGTCCCTTTTGCTGCCGCCAGATCGAGGACGAGTTGGAAGAGGAGCAGCGGCGCGGTAACGCGCCGTTCATGGTGGATCCGTACCCGGGCCAGGCAGCCGGACAGGCTGGCGGAAGGCAGGCAGCGGGACAGGCGGCAGCGGCAGCGGCTCGTAGGTAATGAAACGGAAAGCGCTGCGGGGCCGCGGTGAGGAGCAAACAGGGGCATTCTTAAGCGCCCGCAGCACGGGGGCGGGGCTACGGTGAAGTAAGAAGACGGGGGGGGCCGCTGGGCAGATGAAGCGCATGGAGCGGCTGCTGGTGCCAGGGCGCTGCTGCTGCTGCGGGGCGGGGCGGGGCGGGGGGGATATTAGATGACATGCATGCATGCGGGTGTAGCCGAAGGTGCACCCGGCTGTTAGGGTGCTCTTTTTGGAGCCCTCATGGGATGCATGGGGCCCTTTGGGGTGCTCTTTGGGGTGCTTTTTTTCTTCTGAGGGGATTCAAGGGCGGGTGCCAAGCAGGGTCTTGGTTGCTTGCGTCATTGCGTGCGTGCTTTGTGTGGAGGGGGAGGGGGCCTTAGGAATTCGAGGGCTGTGTGTGTGTTTAACAAAACCGGCCGCTGTGTGTGTCGATTTGGGTATCACCATGTTGTCTCGGAAATACCTTTTTAGGAGGATGCCGGAGGGTCATGGTTTCCTGTGGTCGTCAAAGTCGACATTTGCTATGTGGGCTCAACAGCAGATTTAAGCATCATCAGACCATCACCTGCATCAATCCGGGCACAATAACCGTACGAGTGCCGCTTGCAGAGCTGCTGCCCACCCGCGTGCCATGTATGCTGGAAGGAAGAGAGGCTTTGCGCTGGAAGGAGGAGAGGCTGACGTGTCCTCGCGCGCTTTTAATACTTTTTGTTAGGCGGCTTCTACTATGTCTGATCCGCTGTTGTAGACGCATCACAAGCACCCGAAGTAATGCCACACAAGTGCTATGTTGGTTGGTGGCCGCCGGAGTGTTTTCCTGACTGTGTTCCTTAGGGGCTATGCGGCACAGGAGGCTGGAACGTTTTAGAAACACAACACGCAATATACGCAAAAAGGCATGCGCGACGCTTAACAACCCAGGCGCGCGGGTTGGGTGTCGGGCCGCAAGGCATGTTCGTATCAACGAAGAATGCAATGGGAAGGGCAGCTGCTGCAGTGCCCATCTTGGGCAGCTGACAGTGTCGCGAGGCGGCGGCAAAGTGGCTATGGGGGCTGCAGAGGTGCCCTGAAGACGGTATTGTGGTACGCTTGGAGTTTGGAGGTTGGTCTTTTCTTGTCGGCGATTAAGCCGTGTTGTTTGGTGCGTGCTTACGGCGCATGTGTGCATGGCAGGAGGCCTGCTGTAGAAGTCGGCGTATGGAGAAGGGGGTGCGCCATGTCGGGGTTGGGGGTCGTGTGCGGCGAAGGGTCTGTCTAGTGACTGTGCCGTACCCCATTGCGGGCTGTCCCGGCACGGCCATGCTCGGAGTGCAGGGGACTCCGCCCGCTCAAGGGATTTGAAGGGAAGGAAAGAAAGGGGGTTAACTACCATGCAGAATGCGGAAGGCGGCTACTTTTACCTCGTATGCCCCTAGGAGGGATTCCGCGGTGTCATGGCGTTCTTCCGCGCTGGGCCAAGCAACCGCCGGTAGCTGGATCAGGAGAAGTTGGCAGTAAAACCAAAGCGACAGCGCGATAAGTGGAGATAATTACGCTGCGCTTTGTGTGCATGAGTTTGAATTAACAGAAGGCGTTTTGCGTGGGGCGTCAGCGGCTTGCGGTTGCGGCGTCTTGCCGCGGGTCACTGGGTCGCAATCGTCGCTCAGTACACATACTCAATACGTTCCATTTTTTACACTTCACGCAGTGACAAATTCCTACATTTTTAGCGCATGACCACAAAATGTAACGATGGCTGAGCCACTTGACCCGCTTGCAGGAGAGCCGTTTCTTAGGAAGGTCCGCGAATTAGGTTCGGGGTCGTTCGGACACGTCAGTTTATACCACAGGCACTTGTATGGAGTTCCTCCAGAGGAAGTAGCGATAAAATGTTTACCCGTCCGAGTAGTCGACTACACCATGGTCAGGAGGGAGGTCCGCAGCCATTGCTCGCTAAACCACCGTAAGTGATTCGGTGTTGTCTGGCAAACAACATAGCTTCGGCGCTCAGAATTAGCGATCGGACTTGAGCAGTCATGCAATCACTACACGTTGGCGCTGAGCCAATCCTCAACCATGCCTATCCATAACAGTCAGGCATTACAAGTAAGCTGTAGGCTTTGTCACCTACCTGACTTGCCGTGTTTGCCCTGACCAGCCCACGTCATTCTCTTCAAGCGGCTGGGCCTGACGCCGGATAGGCGCTATCTGTACATGGTGAGAAGCGCCCTGCAGTCTGCAATTTGGGCTCCTTCCTGGGGAAGGGTGAGGGGAATGACCTGAAGCCCCGGAGGGAGTCCTTGGCCTTGAGAGGCTCATGGGGAACAGAACTGATGGTTGTAGGAAACACCAGGCCCAGGCCCCGTCCCCTTCCAGCTAGTCAGCAGCTCGCACATCACAAACCACATGATGTGCCCATGGACACAAACCACATGGACAGGAGCTGCGGGAACGAATCAGACGCACGCACTCGGTTGGGGTTCTCTACACACGTGCCACTGCAGAAGTCTTCTCTTTGGTTTTGTGCCCTGCTCTTCCTCGCTCTCCCTGCTCTTTGGTTTCGCTCCCTGCTCTTCCTCACCCCTTGATCTTACACGGAAAGAGAAATCTATGCCCCCGCCCCTCTTTCTCCCGCGCCCCCCACCAGATGATGGAGTATGCTGACAGCGGGGACCTGTTTAGGTACATCCAAAAGCACCCCAGGCTGCTGGAGGGCGATGCGCGCTGGTTCTTCCAACAGGTGTGTGTAGTTGTATGTCGTACAGTACGCTTGTCGCATGAGCTTTGTCGTACGGTGCCGGTTTGCCGTACTCGGCCAGTAATGCCGTACACACTATGCAGAATACTCCGACTTGATAGGTTGCCATAGCGTGCTATTGTACGACCTAGACTAGGCCATACTCGTGTGCCGGTACCTGTGGTACGCAACCGCTTTGTAAACGGCACCTTCCTCCTTTGTCATAATACCGGCAGCTACGGCACCCGACTCCAACACCCTACCTCGTCTATCCCAAAATCCGGTAGCTTACTCCGATCCCCTTCCTCGCCCTGCCTCCCTCCCTCCCTCTCTCCCTCCCTCTCTCCCTCCCTCTCTCCCTCCCTCTCTCCCTCCCTCTCTCCCTCCCTCTCTCCCTCCCTCTCTCCTTACCTTTGCCCTCCCTGCCCCTCCCTCTAACCCACCCCCAACCCCCCCCACCCCTCTCACCTCCCCACCCCTCTCACCCCCCCACCCCAGATCATCCTGGCTCTGGACTACTGCCACCGGCGCGGTGTGGTCAACCGCGACCTCAAGCTGGAGAACCTGCTGCTGCGGTCCGCTGGGGAGCAGCCGCTGCCGCCGGGGCAGATGGAGCCGCCGCGCAGCCTGCACATCAAGGTGGCAGGTGGGGCCGCTAACCGCTACTAACGGGATTAACGGTAATATGCGGTGTTGGGGCTGGGCGTCGTCAGTGCCGCATATTGTGGTGTGGGGGGGCACTGCGAGGAGGTGGCGGAGGAGGAGGGGGGAAAGCAGGCAGTCCGCGGCGGGTGTCACTGGGGGTGCTCCAACTGGCGAAAGCAAAGCTCAGGATGTCGGTGAGGGGTTAAACAAGCTGAGCAGCTGAGCAGAGGCGGTGCTGCCTGTTGGTGACGAGACCAAGGCGGGTTGTGACCTGGCCGCCTCGGTTACCGGTTGCCTCGCCCCGCTGCCTGCCACCCTGCTGCCTGCCCCTCTGCTGCTCACCTCCCCTGCTGTCCTCCCCTGCAGACTTTGGGCTGTGCAAGACGGCTGTGACTTCCCTGCCTAAGTCACGCGTGGGGACGCTGTACTACATGGCTCCAGGTAGGTAGGCGCATGTGGAGGTTGTGGGCCCAATCTTGGCCAGGCGACCGGGGCCCATGGAGGTGGCTTGCGGAAAGCAAGGGTGGAGGGCATGGATGTGGTTCGGTCCGGCTGTCAAGAGGGATGTACAATGGGGTGTGAACCGCATCAAGGTGCATGGCTTGCATGCATGCATACGCGTGTTAATGGATGCAGAAGCGAGGTGGGTAAAGATGGCGTATACCGCATACATGAACACATACAGAGCAAGCAGGGAGTAAGGGAGGACACGAGCAAGGGAGGGGCTAAGAAGGCATACGTTTCGCACGTTTGTGTGAGTGCGGGTGCCGCGCCCCAGCACCGGCTTGGAACACCTACCGGCACCTGTGTGTACCTGTGTGCGGTCGCTCGCATTCGCGCTTGCCTCTTTTGCAAGCGACTTGGGAGAGCCGGTTACCGCCTGGCTGTGTCCCTCCCTAACCCCCGATCAACTAACACGGTCAGTTAGATGTTTCCTCTTTACCCCCCTAACCCCGATGGCCCGGCCCCGGTGACCCATGGGTCCGTCCCGCCCCCCCCATCAGAGGTGCTCAAGGCCAGCGCTGATCGGCCATACGACGCGCGCCTCAGTGACATCTGGTCTGTGGGCTGGTGAGGACGGCCTGCTAATGGGGGACACGTAGGGGATGTCTGGGCAGTGGGGGATACAACGGTGTCAACGGCCGATCTTTGGGTTGGCCCTTGTGGGGAGTGTGGGAAGTGTTGAGGTGGTGGTGCTTTAAGGGCTGTAGAGGTGGACTATTGGCCGGAGAGTGTCTTGCCCTCCGCTGCAACGATGGCTTATTTGCATACATGGTGAACCACGGTCCGGTAAACCTGGCTGCTTGACCTATGCAGGCCATGTTGCTTACTTGCTCCATGCCGACAACCCACGCTGACATGCACCGCATTCCCCCACTGTAGCCCGTTAGTTTTCTCTTTTTACCCCCCTCCCCCCGACGGTTTCCCCGATTCCCTTGCGCCCGCAAAACCGCACCCCCCTTGCAACCCCCGCCGCGTACCGCACCTTCAATCGTACGACCTCCGCAGCATCCTCTACGTGCTGCTGTTCAAGGCGTATCCGGTGAGTCATATTCGGGACTGGGGCCCGGGTTCCGGCATCTAACCCCATGAGCTAATGCCTTGACCTGCTTAGCCCTGCACCCTCCACCCTGCATCCTCAAACCTTGCATCCTCAAGCCCTGAATCCTCAAACCCTGCTGCTGCATCCTCGCCCCTTGCTATCCCCAACCCGGCCCCTGCATCCCCCATTCCCCTTGACGCCCCTTCCCTGCCCCTGCGCCCCCTGCCGCGCAGTTCGGCACCATCAGCGACCGGGACAACCGCGCCCAACGCGACGCCATCGTTCGCCGCATCGCGGCAGCGGAGTGGCACATACCCCCGCACGTGATGGTCAGCTCCGCGTGCAGAGACCTGCTGGCGCGCATACTGGTGCCGGATCCAGCAAAGGTACGACATGGGGGTGTACGACATGGGATGTACGATCTGGGGGTTGTACGACATGGGGATGTACGATCTGGGGTTGTACGACATGGGGGTGTACGGCGGGTTGCTCGACATGGGGTACGACATGGGGATGTACGGCGGGTTGTACGAACACTGGGGTAGCAAGTACCGGTAGCCGGGCCTCCCTGCCGTCTGGCACTTGGCAAAAGCAGCACATTTATCAACTCCCCGCGTCTCCCCCTCACCCCCATCTCACCTCCTTCCCCACGTGCCACCTCCTCACCTCCTCCCCCTCCCCCCACACATTGGAATTCTGTTTCCCCCCCAGCGCATCACCATGTCCGGCATCCTGGCTCACCCCTGGTTCCGCGAGGAGCTGCCCCCGGGGGCGCTGGACTTCAACACGGCGCTGGTGGAGGAGCAGGCGGCGGACCCGCCCAGGTGGGGGGGCGTGGGGGTTAGGCAAACTGAGCCTCGGAAACACTGACCCTGACCGTAGTATAGGTTTGGGGGGGTAGTCAGGGGGGAGGAAACATAAATGATATGTGCAGCAACGAGTCCCAATCCCATATCCCGAGAGGGGATTAGATAAACTGAGAGGGGAGGGGGCGGCGGCGGAGGGAGGGAGGAATTAGAATAGGAGTGAAGCACCATGGGAATTCCAGTCCCATGGCCCGACTGGGAGGGGGAGGGAAAGGGGAAGACCGAGCTGGTGACGAGGGTGGCAACCTCCCGCGTCACCTCGTCCTACTGCCGCCTCCTCACCTGGCCCCGCCACAGGTGCAAGCTGACTGTCGAGGAGATTGATTCCAGTTCACCGCCTCCCCTCTCACCGCCTGCTCCCACCCGCTTCCTCCCCCCTCCCCTCCCGTCGTGAGTGTCTCTTTATTTTTTACCCCTCCCTCACCCCCGCCGCCCCGCCGCAGGTGCGAGCAGACGCTGGAGGAGATCGACGCCATCCTGCGGCTGGCGGAGGAGGCCATGCACCCGCCCTCCCTGCCGCGGGACCTGCTGCCCCCGGCGGCCGATGTGGGCGACAGCGGCATCGACGGGGAGATCGACGAGCTGCACGCGGAGCACCCCAGCTTGTTCGACGAAGCGGGGGAGCGGTGATGCAGGGGGGAAGCGGGGGGGGGGCGGGGGGGCGTGGGATGCCTGGGTGTATTCATTACTCATGCGGCACCTGTGTGTGTGTGCGTGTGTGGCGGCAGCAACAGCAGCAGCAGCAGGGTGCATGCTGCATGCATGCGGCCAGCTGGCTCATGCAGGGTGCTTATCTGGCTTATCTGGCTTACATGGCTTATGTTAACGCGGTATGGTTTGTAATGTGATGTGATTTGTGTTTGAAGTTTGGCAATTTGCGTGGCTGGGCTAGGAGAGCTGTGGGGAAGGGGAGGAGTGAGGAACAGGGGGACGGGGTAGCTAGCGCACGGGAAGGAGCCGAAGGACTGGATGGGCGTGTTGTTGGTCTTCCACTTTGGTGGGTTGCGTCAAGGTGTGGATTGCTCGCGAAGGCGGCTCTTGCGGGTGTGATGCTTGGAGGTATGAGTACGAGGTATGGCTGATGACTTCATCTGATGGTTCCCCTGTTGGGAGGGGGAGACGACGACGTGGTGCATGGCGTATACTGGTACAGAAGGAATGGAGCGAGGAAGAGGAGCGATGCATGTGTCGCGATCATTTGACTTTAGTTGGAAAAGGGGGAGGGAGGGCCGCTGGAGGTAAGCCGCACGGAGGATGGAGCATCAGTGCATCAGGTATGGCGGTGTGATGTGTCGTAAGACATGAGATGTACAAGGTAGCTGCAGGGCGATGCTTCTGAGGGCAAGGTACCGACTACCGGTAGCCATGGAGTGTGAGGTGGATGGCGGGGTTCAGGGCAGGTCTGTGCTGGGTTCCCGACCCAGGGCCTTGGGCTTGCAGGCAGGGTGCAGGCGGCGAGGGTGGCGGCAAGGCGTGCGTAGCGGCAGGGGCAGCTGATGAACGGTAGCAGTACAAGTAACAACGTGTGAGTTGCGCAACTGTACTGTCAAGAGCTGTCGACGGATGGGAGGAGGGAGGATGTAAAGAGGGAGCAACAGGCTGGTCGTGTGACAAGGCTGGCAGTGTGTTAAGAAAACTGGCCGCGAGTAGGAACGTACTGGGAGGTCGGAAGATGAAGTCCCCACAGAACCGCCGCAGGAGCCGAGGAATATGGTAGCGTATGTACATGTCAGTAGCGTGTGCATGCATGACAATGCGTGTACTGAGTTATCCTATTGGCAGGAAAGCAGGCAAGCATCATCCTCCCTCTGTGCCGTGGCCAGCATTTGCGAAGCGAACACGGACGGTAGACGCCATGTGTGCGTGTAAAGGGGTTTCAAGCCAATGCGCCATTAATGGCCTGGAAACAGCCTTCTTATTTGTTGGAGACGTCAGCCAAAGGCACATTACGCCATGAAGACATGAGGATTGGAAGGGAAAGGGAAGGAACAACGAAGACCTCAGCAGACCCCCCGCCTGTGCCGTACTTCAGGACCCGCGGGACCCTTTTGCAGGGAAAGGTGCCAAACAAATAACCACGTTCTTGTATTTCATTTAGGCTAAGAAAGTGCATACGCAACCTCCGTCGGCGACGCTTGTTTGCACCTCGTCAAGCGCTAGGGGCTAGTTAGGAACCAGGAAGGAAAGCCATAGCGTGGTTCCCTCCTTAAACCCATTACCAAAAGCAATTCACGTATATACTATAGTTGCATTGGACGGACGTTTGTGTGCTTGCGTTGTAGCAAATAGCCGCTGCTCATGTCCACCGCTTTCGCCTTCCCCTACTTCTATAACTATCCGCCATACTTTACGTAAGAAATTGGTTCGTTCAAGAGTATGGAGTATTATAGCAGCTGAGTGCTCTTGTGCCCATGGCAGGCTGCAGCCAGTTAAGGAGACGCGGGACAAGCAAGTTGCGCTTTGGTGTTCGCTTATCCTAAGCTACTGTCAGCACACAAAGGCAAGATGGTTTCACTAGCGAAGCGTATCTACATGACTTTGGGGTGCATCATCCTGGCCCTGTCACACACAACCCTTCCAACCCCAACACACGTTACCCCGCTCCCTTCCCCTGCTGCGTAGACCTTCATCCTAGACACGCAGGCTGACTCGCAGCTCTTTGTAAACAACAGCATCAACAGTGGGTCCGTGTTCCGCTTCCCTTGCAACTGTCTGACGCACCACGCCGTGTGTAGGAGTAAGAGCCTGCTGCAGTAGGGATGTTGCTGACGTTCCGTGGCATGCAGGGAAGCTAAACAGCGAAGCACGGATAGCCATCCTAGATGAGCTAGTAGCGCAAGGTACGAACTAGTTCTTGTTGTTGTGTACGGCAAAGCCGGGGCTTGGCCCCAGGGTGTACTGAGCGTGGGGCGGTGTGCTTCCACTCCATGTGTGCTTCCTGCAGCGCATTCCTGCCCTTCCAGACAACGGCGTCCATCGCACAAAGCAACGCTGTCTTGTCCGCTTCTCCTGTGCCTCATACCGGTATCGGCCATTCCATTCACACACCATCAGGGCGGGCGGAGTGGCTGGACAAGGGCAAAACACAATGCCTCATCCTGTGGAAGCGGGTAAGCGTAGAGGCAGGGCAAGCAGTGGGATAGGTAGCGCACGTTGTGCCCCTTGGCGACTACTGCATCGGAAGATAAGCAGGAAGAATGACGCTAATGTCCACAGTCCAATAGAATGTGGCGTTGTGGTTGGTTGTGCCTTGCATGAATACCCTCAATAGGTCCAATTGGATGATCCACAGTCGATCGAAATTCGATAGTTTTGGCTCCGGCTCGCAGGTCGATGAGTGGGCAGCAGTGCTGATGGATTTCGTACGGACGTACGGCCTTTCGGGATCCGTCATGACCCTGGACGAGCTGACGGGAGGAGACGACGTGCGTGGGACAGGTGGGACCGGACTGCCGAAAGGCCCGGCATTGCCCGCGATCCGAAAGCCACCACCGGCTTATCGCCTTCACTTGACAACAGTGTGCTAGGACGAATCCCTTACGAGTCCCCTCTGACACCGTGCATAGTGTTTCAGCGTAAGCTTGCATAAGCTTGCACAACAGGGCCTCCTGACGTGCACCTCTCTTCCTTGCAGAGCTGTTTGGGGCTCACAGGGAGGTGGTGGTGCGGGCGCTTCGGCTGCTGGAGACGCAGGGGAAGCTGAGGTGAGGAGAAGGGGCAGCAGCGGGCGTGTGATTTTAGGGCATGGCAGCTGCATAGGAGGGCTCGTCTAAGACAGGCTCGGCAAAGCGCAGCGTAGGCAGAGGCAACAAGGGCGACGCGGCGACCCATACGGCCTGACCCATGGGTCCAAACCCGCACCTTGGGAGGCACTCTGTGCTTATCTGCTAGTGGCATCAAGCCTTGCGGTCAGGCCGGCATGTTTTGTTAATCGGCATCCAAGTTTTGAAGTTACAGTCGTTTCCTGCTCGCTTGGCCCCGTTTGCAGCACATTCAAGGGAGCAACACCGGAGGAGGTTGGAGTCAAGTTTACGTAGCACAGACAGCAGGTTTGGCCAGTTTACGGTTTGCTGGGGCTATGGCTGCCCGGGCCTGAAGGAGAGGACGCGATGGGGCAAGGGGCTGGCGGGTAGGGAGAGGACGCGTCGGGATGGCCGCCGGGAGGGTCCGATGGGCTTGGTGGAGGCAGGGTTTGTAACAGGCAACTGCTGGCGTGAAGGAGAAGTCTGGGGGCGTGGTGGCCTACGTGGGTTCCTTGGGGCATGTTAACCGAGACGACTTGGCATTTCAAGCACTCCTTTCAGCGAATTTCTCATGAAGACACGGGGTTGGCCTTCAAGGGCTCATAAGAGCCCGGCAAGAAGCTATCCATGCCGTAACCCAGCCCATATTGCCCAAACCGACAACTGACTATCGTCCAGTTTGTCTTGACCATATCGATGGCTGTCGCCCAATGCTTTACAGTACACGGTACGACGTGCAAGTGCGCGCCTTGGACGTAGACTAGTAAAGTTTACTTCAGAAGTCTGGGGAAAGTGGGGCAAGGAAGGTGCAGGCAGTCCACTGCGCAGCTCAGCAGCCATCCCTGTGTTACCAGCCCCATTCTCGGCAACATACAACGTCGTAACCCTATATGGCCCAGAGGACAACGTATACGCTGTTTAGGCGGTAGCGAGCTCAGTAACTGAAGGTTGCGTGACCTGTTACTTGCACGCAAGACATGCATATGCTATTTTGGTTTTGATATAATGTTAGCGGGCTATTAGCGGCAGTATCTGGCAATAGGAGACGGGTTGGCATAGTGAGGTAGGCCTGGGCATAAAGCAAAGACGCTGGAAGAAGCGGGCGCTTTATGCTGCGATGTGTCGCAAACAGAAGATGTTTAGCAAGCTAGATGCCCGATGCCCATTTATGCAGATATACAGAAGGCCGTACGGCATGCACGGAGAGAAGTTTTCTTTCCCTTCCAAGGACTTCTCTTGTGTGCACCGGTCAGTCGATAGGGGGTGTTGACGACCTGCCAGTTTTATAGGTGGATTCGTTTTTTCTGGAGTGGCAAAGTCGAACGTGTGATTGTTCAGACAAGTAGGCTAGGCCGCAGCCATGGCTGCCATCGACGCTCTTTCCAGTGAGCTCGCCTTTAAGGCCCATGTGGATGCGGCCTCCCGTGACTATGTGTGCGAGCCGCACCTTGGTGAGGTTCCTTTTGGCCTAGGAAAGAACTTTACTCAGGAGTAACAATCTTGACTCGGATACTGCAGAGTATCGCACCGTAGCTGGTGTCAGCGGTCCTCTGGTGGTGGTGGATTGCGTCAAGGTGCGGAAAAGGGGCAAACTTGGTGGATCCATAGTCGAAATGGTTCCTTCAGCGTTTTTACTTGCCAGCGCAGAAGCCAAAGTACGCCGAAATCGTGGAGCTTCGCCTGGGCGATGGCTCTCTGCGCCGCGGTCAGGTGCTGGAGGTGGACGGCAACCGCGCGGTGGTGCAGGTGTTCGAGGGTACCTCTGGCATTGACAACCGGAAGACCACGCTGGAGTTCACCGGCGAGGTGCGGTTGCTTAAATATATATCTTTCACGTAACATGTGCTTTACTTAGCCCCCCTGTAAATTGCAGGTGTTGAAGACGCCTGTGTCGCGTGACATGCTTGGGCGTGTGTTCAACGGGTCCGGCAAGCCCATCGATGGCGGGTAAGCTATGTATGCGTGACGGTTGCATGCGAGGCCGTTATATGCCCCAAAACACATCTAATCCGCAAGTACCCTGCCCCACCCTGTCCCGTCCCAGCCCGCCCATTCTGGCTGAGTCCTTCCTGGATATCACCGGCGCCTCCATCAACCCCGCCGAGCGCACCTACCCCGAGGAGATGATCCAGACGGGTATTTCCACGATCGACGTCATGAACTCCATTGCCCGTGGCCAGAAGATTCCCCTCTTCTCGGCTGCAGGTGGGGCCAGCGGTGCAATGCAGGATGCGTGCGAGAGCTTAACGTTGCGATAAAAGAGGAGGGGGGACTATGTAGAGCATGCATTACGGAATATGGCATAGCGCGGCTAGGCAAACTAGTGACCCGCTTCACCAAACCCTGCCTCATGCAAGCGGCACACACGCTCCTTACACACTCATTAGGATCAACCTTGGCTTGTAAACATGTATTCGGAAACTCGTGCCCTGGGCTTCACTACCGCTACCCTCTAACCCTGCAAACTGCGCATCCTTGCAGGTCTGCCGCACAACGATATTGCTGCGCAGATTTGCCGCCAAGCTGGTCTGGTGAAGCTGCCAGCAGGCCAGAAGAAGCACGGGCATGGCGGGAGCGCGGAGGGCGCGGAGGACGAGTCCTTCGCCATTGTCTTCGCGGCTATGGGTGTGAACATGGAGACGGCGCACTTCTTCAAGCAGGTGAGGAAGGGGCCACGCAAGTCCTCTCCCTTGTCCACAGACTGGCGCCACTAGGGACGCTCCAGTTGGCGAAACGCGTTAGGTTTAATACTAGAAGGATTGGCTGAAGCGTCAAAGCCTCAACCGCCTCACCTTGCTGAGGAGTTCAAGTCACTCTAGGGCAGCATCAGCACGGTGCATGCGCGCCGCAGTGACATTTGTTGCCTAGCAGGACAGCAGAGCTTGCGGAGAGCAAACCTATCGTAGCCTGTTGCTGGGGTGTGTCGCACGACGCTAAGGCAGCTGTCCGTGGGCTGGAGTAGGGCCAAGCCTCACACACCCTGCCGCTGGTGCCCTGTTAGTGCGAATCCCACTGCAGACTTGGGAAGTGGTTTAACTGTTATGGGAAGTGGGCAAGACTACCAATGGGCTCCCGGTCGTTGGTCTGGGCGTTGGAACAACGCCCAGATGGCTGTCTGGAGAGCCATGTGCTGCCGTCACGCGTGTCCATTTACACGCTGCGCCACGCTGTGCCGCATGCCCCTTCACTCCATTTCCCATGCAAATGGGCAGTCCCCTCTTTCACCAATTCACCCACCATACTCCCACGCACGTGCTCCTCGCCCTTCAACCGCCCGTTGTTTCACCCCCTTGACAGGACTTCGAGGAGAACGGCTCCCTGGAGCGCACCGTGCTGTTCCTGAACTTGGCCAACGACCCCACCATCGAGCGCATCATCACGCCCCGCATTGCGCTCACCACCGCCGAGTACCTAGCCTACGAGTGCGGCTACCACGTGCTGGTCATCCTGACGGACATGTCGTCGTACGCGGATGCGCTGCGTGAGGTGTCGGCGGCGCGTGAGGAGGTGCCCGGTCGCCGTGGCTACCCCGGTAAGTCGTGTTGGGCGGTGGCGGGCGGGCAGGTTTTCACGCGAAGGGACTTGGGGCTGGAAGGGTCATACACGCACTAAGGGGTGGAGGTAGATCACCAGCACCAGCCTGGCCGTGATTCTAGCCATGGGGCCTTACAGCGCCGCACGCTTCATGCTAGTCTCGTCTCTTGCGGTTCCGTGCATCCTCTACTTGACGCCTCTACCTGCGTCACAACCCCGCAGGCTACATGTACACGGATTTGGCTACCATCTACGAGCGCGCCGGGCGTATCGAGGGCCGCAAGGGCTCCATCACGCAGCTGCCCATCTTGACCATGCCCAACGACGACATCACTCACCCCATCCCCGATCTGACGGGCTACATCACGGAGGGGCAGATCTACATTGATCGCCAGCTGCACAACCGCCAAATCTACCCGCCCATCAACGTGCTGCCGTCGCTGTCGCGTCTGATGAAGTCCGCTATCGGCGATGGCATGACGCGCAAGTGGGTATTGGGTCTTGGGCTGGTCGGGTTGGTGGTCCTTCTTGGCACGATCACCTCTTTTCCGCCAATGCTCTCGCTGCCGTTCGTTGCCGCTCTGGGTGCTATTGGCAAACACACCAGCGCTTCACCTGCAACCCTAACACGTCCCTCGAGGAGCAGCGCTATTTAGGGTGTTGAAACCCTAGCACTCCCACACCCCTAACCTCCCCTCCCCTTCCCGCTTGCAGGGACCACTCGGAGGTGTCCAACCAGCTGTACGCCAACTACGCCATCGGCAAGGATGTGGCGGCCATGAAGGCCGTGGTGGGTGAGGAGGCGCTGTCGTCCGAGGACCTGCTGTACCTGGAGTTCCTGGAGAAGTTCGAGAAGAAGTTCGTGGCACAGGTGGGGGGGGGAGGGTAAAGAGGAAGAAATTCCGCAGTGGGCTGGATATAGCATTGTTTGTAACATAGGGGGAGTGGGAGAGCAGGTTGGTGATGCAATACTCCGCTTGTGCTGGGGCGTCCTGGGCGCAGTTAATATACCGGTAATATACCGGCGTACTTGGTTGTCTTGTTACCCCGTTTCGTGTGTCAGGGCCCCTACGAGAACCGCACGATTTTCAACTCGCTGGACCTGGCCTGGTCGCTGCTGCGGATCTTCCCCCGCGAGCTGCTGCGCCGCATCACCGTCAAGACCCTGGACGAGTGGTACGAGCGCAAGGAGGAGCACTAAGCGCTCGGATGTGGCGTTTAGGGTGACGCCAGGATTTGGGGTTGATAGGGAGCCCTGTGGGGCGGGATGGGCTGTGTGAGGGGCGGAGTGAGGAGGTTGCGGCATAGCGGTTTGGAGTGTTCGAAATGGAAGTGCTGGGGACATTGCGGGGTGGGAAGTCAGGGGCTGGGGACATTCATGGGTAGGTTGCGAGCGTATATCCTATGGGCCTGGGTTGTGCATCCGTTTATGATTGCGACTGGTACACTGTGTTTCTACGAATCTGCACGTTGTAGGATCCCCTGTTATCAAAGCCTTCGGACATGCTCCGGGCTTTACGTTAGCTCGTAGCATTGCATCAGCTTGCAGGTTTGGTGCCTGCATCTACCGATGTAATCGTGAGCAAACAGTTTGCTTCGTAGGCGCGGAGTTCCCAGCAGGTCACAGCGCACAACTGGCATCAGTAGGACACATTGGTACTGTTGCACAGGTGCCACATGTTACCGCACGGTCATGTCAGGCATGTGCAGCCTGCCCCGCGCAGCTTGCTGCTTGAGAACCCGAACCAGTGCTATACAAACCCCATGAGCCATCACCAAGCCACGTCCCCCCAGTGTCAAGAACAGCGCAGCAACCGGGACGAGCCTGCACACCCTAACCGCCTCAACTCTCCTAGCCGCAGGCCCCCGAGCTAGAACCCCAACGCATCCTCGCCTTCCCACCGCCGACCTCGCCGTATCACACAACACTCCTAACCGTCTCCACCTTCCCATGCCCCACACCTAACACATCCCCATGCCGCACTCTCCCAAGCCTCCCTAGGTTGCTCTACTGCTGTGCCACGTCGGCGTACGTGAGGCGCTTGGACAGGTCGAACATGTGGCCCACGCTTTCCTCCGGCGTTCCCACCAGCACACCGTGCCCCAGGTTGAGGATGTGACGCTGGCCGCCGCCCTTGCGCAGGCAGTCCCGCACCGCGGCCTCGATGGCAGCCTGCCGGCCGGCCGCGATTGGATTGGGGTTGAAGGCAGTGAGGGCAGGTTGCATCACAGCAGGCAAACAGGAGGGGCTGGATGAGGAAACGAGGAGGCAGTGCATGCTGGGGTGTGCACGCCGCGACTCCTGTTTTGCTTCGAAGTCAATTCCCGCCCCCCGTGTCATTTCGCGGCCACAGAGTCGCGGGCCATTCCTCCTCTCACCCCCGCAGATCCCTCTCCCCCACTCTCACCTCGGACGCGAACAGGATGGCCGGATCCACATTCCCCTGCACCGACTGGTTGCCGCCCACCCGCCGCCGCGCATCCGCCATGTCAACCGACCAGTCCACGCCCACAACGTCCGTCCCCACCGACGCAATGCGCTCCAGCAGCCCACCAGAGCCGTTGGCGTAGAGCGTGAGAGGTACGGCAGGGTACTCAGCCTTGACCGAGTCAACGATGCGCTTCAGGTAGGGGCCGCTCCACCTGCGGGGGCAGCATAGGGTTCAACCCGGGAGCGCTTTCGGCAACGTCTTCTCTCACTCCCTCTTTACGACCTACACCCATCTTAGCGGGCTTTAAAGTGCCGCTGCACGTGTTGCGGAATGTAAAGGTCAGAGCACCTTTGGAGGCTGCGGGGCCCCCATGCCACGAGCCCTCCCCTGGCTACCGGTACCCCGCGCCGCGCCTCCAACTCACCTCTCCCACTCGCGCGGCGGCAGCTGTCCGCCCCATGAATCGAAGATCTGCACGCATTGCGCGCCGGCGCGGATCTGGTACTTGATGTACGACGCCATAGCGTCCGCCAGCTTAGTCAGCAGCGCGTCCAGCAGCTCGGGAGCCGAGTAGCACATGCTCTTGATGGTCTTGTAGAGCGAGGAGGAGCCGCCCTCGATGAGGTAGGTGGCCAGCGTCCAGGGGGAGCCGATGAAGCCCAGTACGGCAGCCTGGTTGTTGACTTCGGAGCGGAGCTGGGTGAGGGCCCTGCGCGGCGGAGGGACAGACCCATGGGTCAAGAGGGGCACCAGATGGGGTGCAAAAGTGATGCGGATGCGGTCGGAGGGAGAAAGCGAGCTGCAGGTGGTGTTGGGGACATGCGGTGGAGAGATGCGGTTTGACAGCGGTGGGGGAGAGGTAGGAGCGTGCAGTGCTGGGTGAGGCAGCAGCTGGAGGGACTGATGCCCCTGTCAGACAGCGACCTTTCCTCTTTCCGTCCTGTTTGATACTTTGAAAACGCCAGACAGGCAGACGCAAAAGGATTGTCCCGGAAAGCCAAACCATACATCCTAACCAAGCATACAGCAAGGGCCCATTATTAGAACAAGCCCCTTGCGTCAAAGCGCTTTGCTAGCTCCTTAACAGTTTCCCCCCTTCCTCCCCACCCCTCCCGCCCTTGCATAGCTTAGGTGTAAAATACACGCGATTTTACACAGGCCGGCTCAACCCACCTGCCCACGAAGTCGACCTTGCTGAAATCCATGTCGTGCAGCTGCTTCACCTGCTCCAAGCTGCGGATGGGCGTCTCGATGATAGGACCCTTGTTGTCGTCGATATCAAAGTTAACACCCAGGCCTGGCAGCGGCGTGAGAATGTCGCTGAAGAGGATGACGCCATCCGGCTTAAACGAGTTCCAGGGCTGAAGGCTAATCTCTACAATCAGCTCTGTAGTCTCAGACCGTTCCCGGAACGACGGGTGCTTCTTTGCAAGGTCGCGGTAGCTCTTTTGGTAGCTGCACAGTAAGAGCGACGACCACATGCAAGCACATGAGCAACGCGACGGCCTGGGAGCATCGGCGGCGCTAATGAACCCAAGATACATATGCTCTTACCGGCCCGCTTGCCGCATCATCCAGCACGGCGCGCGCTCCACCTTCTCGCCTCGCGCCGCGCGAACCATAAGAGGGTCGATGACTCCGCTGGTCGCTGGCTGAGCATTGGCAACCACGCTTGTAGCCCGCGGTGTGCTAACTGCAACTGGCTTAAATGCACGCTGACGGAGAAGGGCGCTGCGGCCCAAGCCACTGTGAGACATCATGGCTTTACCAGTCATTTTGCGCCTGAATTTATATGCTACGTCTTTGCAATCTTTAAAGCTTGGATGGTTAGCAATGATGTGCCTGTGTACTTGGCTATCGCTGCAGTAAAATGTAACAAAGAATGCAGCCTCTGGCTCTAACGCAGCATCAATTGCTAATCTACACAAAAAAATTACACGACCCTGCTGCAAAGTAAAAAGAAGACACGACGTGGGCAATGAGCCACCTGACCCCGATCTGCTCACATTTGCCGTACAACGACCTCGCATGTAGATGTGGATGTTAGGCAGGCAATGATCAAGAAGACCATGCACCCCCGCAAACCTTATAGACAGGGGTTCATTATTCGTAACCGGAGCGCAGGAAAGGCCCAGCGCCCGGGGCAGGTTTGGGGTAATAATAAGGAAAACTGACGGGGTGGGGGCTGGGAAAAAGGCTCCCTCAGACGTCACGGTGATCAAGACGCAATTCCTCCTTAATAACCTGCTCGCAATCTTGCCCAAACCTTCTGAGCAAGGGCAGGTTACAAGCCGGTTGGACTACGGGGCCCTAGCCTATGGTGCCCTTCACTTGAAGTTTTGCGCTGTCACAGCGGCTCGTTCGTACGGCATGTCATCGGAGTGGTAATAAACCTGTTGTCCTGCGCCCGCTTGCCATCTTCAAGCTCTGCCAAGCCCATGACCCCGATCCATGCCAATACGCGAGATCTGCAAGTATCTTACCGCATGTTTGACTTGGGGAAAGGGACCCGTGCTATGTGGAGGGGAGAGGTCAGGAGCGCGCCAAGCGACCGATTGCAATCCCTCTTGGGTACCTGCGCTGCTCCGGCAACTGAGTGCCTACATCTAGCTTACCCGATGTACCTTGACTAGCAACAGTCCACATCGGAAAAAAAGGCGCATGTCATGGCTTGGCAGGCTTCATTATTGGGAGAGCGAAGGAGATTTCTCACGCCAGCAGTTAGAATCGGATAGCTAGTATTTTGGGGCCCCACGACTTCAGAGTGCCTTGGTCAGGTGTCGTTTATTAGGCCTGCATGTCACGCTGCATGTCTGGATTACCGGTAGCCTTTCCTGCCTGGCAACCTCGACTATCATGAACCCGTTGCTTCATACTATTCATCAGTACAACACGCTTGCAGCTCAGGATCGTTGTTAATTAACTGTTGGTGTGCGGGAAGGGGCCGGTTTTCAAGGAACGCTGCGGCAAATCCTCAAGTCACTGGCTTCTTGAGAAACCATCCAGGACGTTGGGTGCTTAGGCCATGCAAACTAGCGTGACCCAATTGGCATAGTCAAAGTTTGCTTGCGTATCAGTGGTACGCGAATTAAGTGCAAAAGCTCATACAAAACAGTAATCAACAACCAGTATAACACTTCTTCCTAAGCAGCAGCTTGCCTTAACGCCCAGGCGAGCGCTCGCCCACGCACAGCAGATGTACGACGCCATCGCGCGGTGGAGGGTGGACCACAATTTGTCGTGCGGTTCGTGCGGCAAGCAGATTATCTTATTGCCCCGTGCCCTGTGAGGGCGTTGTTACACCCTTTACCTAGGTATTGACACCATGGCCCTAAAGTCTGGCATGAAGGCGTCGACTCGCCAGGCGCTCAAGCGCCAGGTAGTGGCCCCGGTCGCGTCGGCCGTGAAGGCCGTTTCCTGCGCTACGATCACCCAACACGCTCAGGCTTCTTTCAAGGTGTGACAATTGATTTGTAGGAAAGCTATGGCCCTTATGCGGCGGCCGGGTATACCAAAACGTTCAATTGTTACTGGCTATGTAGGCCGGCTGCCGCAGGTCAGCTGTTACTCGCTACAGCATCCGCCGTGCAGCTCGTGTGGCTCGCAATGTCACGGTTGCTGCGGCTCCGGCCCCCACCTATGGTAAGTTGAACGAGCATGCAGCAATTGTACAATTCCCAAGAGTAACACGGCCTTTTCCTTCCAGATTCCCGCCGTGAGTGGCCTCTGGACAAGTACCGCAACATCGGTATCATGGCCCACATCGACGCCGGCAAGGTGCGAGGGACGCACGCATGCATGCAATTGTCCCAACAGACATCCCAACTTCTGACCTGCTGTCTTCTCAGCTACCTGGTTTCGATGCTGCTACTGCGACTGCCCTGCCCCTTACCACCGCACTGGACCCCTTCTCCTAACTCCAAAACTCACCACCACCGCTTCCATCCTGCACCCAACTCCCAATGCTCCAATCCTTCGTCCGTCCTTCCCCAACCCCCTCCTGCACGCACCCCTTCCCCTCCCTCCCTCCCAGACCACCACCACCGAGCGCATCCTGTACTACACCGGCAAGTCGTACAAGATCGGCGAGGTGCACGAGGGAACCGCCACCATGGACTGGATGGTCCAGGAGCAGGAGCGCGGCATCACCATCACCGCCGCCGCCACCACCTGCATGTGGAAGGACCACCGCATCAACATCATCGACACGCCGGGACACGTGGACTTCACGCTGGAGGTGGGCGGGGAGGGTGGGGGGCGGAGAGGGGAGGGGATGGGGGGCGGGGGGTAAAATTAAGGAAACTCTACTACCTGTCGTTATTAAACTGACTTTTGTTCTTCTTTCCCGTCCCTCCCCCTCACACCTTTCCCCCTTCGACTGCATGAGTCGGGATATGGGATTGGCAGTCCGTTGCTTCACTTTTCATTCATTTCATAACTCTCCCCCTTTCCCCCTCTGCCCCCGCCCCCCGCTCCCCCGCCCCCTCCAGGTGGAGCGCGCGCTGCGAGTGCTTGACGGCGCTGTTGCGGTGTTCGACGCAGTGAGCGGCGTAGAGCCGCAGAGCGAGACGGTGTGGCGGCAGGCGGATAAGTACAAGGTGAGGGGCGGGGGTAGGAGGAAGGGGGGAAGGAGGAGGGGGAAGGGGGAGGAGGAGGAAAAGGGATGTTAAGAGTAGAGTAGACCAAGTGTTTGTGATGCCGGGGGGGGAGGAATGAGGTGCGGTTAGCAGGCGGGGGCAGGGTGGGCAGGGATTGGAGAGCAAGGGATGGATAGCGCAGGGAACGGAGAACTGCAGTCTGGGAGCTGCCTAACAGATAGGTGGGGGGAGCGGGCATGGAGGGGGGGAGGTGGGAGCATGGAGGAGGTGGCGTGCGAAGAGGTGCCGGGAATCAGCCGGGACGGGCGCATGAGCAGGTGGCGGCAGGCGGAGGTCATGGCTCAGCTGTCAGCTGTGCACCCTCCCTAGCCCCCCGGGCTGCACTGCAGCACACCCGCATTCCGCCGCTGACAACTGGGGTTGTAGGTGAAGTGGCTGGGGGGCGAACCGACCTGCAGACCCGATATACCGAGTCAATGTAGCCCAGCGCAAGGCAGTTAGCCCGCAGTTGGGGCTGCAGGGTGTGCGGGCTTTCGTGGGGTTTTGAGAGCTGTGGCGGCAGTGCGGAGGGAGGCTCCTAGGGAGGGCTAGGGAGGGTTAGGAAGGGGCGGGTGGCAGCAGCGAGGGCACACCCCACGCGTGTTTACATGGCGCTGTGGAGGTGATGGAAGTGGTCGTGGGGCGCCGCTGTGTGTTGTGGTGGGGGGCTGAGTGTTCCCGTGGGGGCCGTTCGGAGGCGGGGGGCAGGGGGGCAGGCGGGAATGGGACGGGACCGGGACCGGGGCGCAGTTCTGTTGACTGAGGGTCCTCTGGCGGGGGGTGCAGGCTCTTGCGGCTCACACCCGCTCTTATCCGCCTATTCCCCTCCCTACCCGCTGGATTCGAGAAACCCCGCCACCCGCTGCACACCACCTCCATTCACGCCCCCCCTACCCTCCCGGCTTCCGCCCCCCTCCCAGGTCCCCCGCATCTGCTTCGTGAACAAGATGGACCGCCTGGGCGCCGACTTCTACAACTGCGTGCGCATGGTGGTGTCCAACCTGGGGGCCAAGCCGCTGTGCATCCAGCTGCCCATTGGTGAGGGGGCGGGGGGGGGGGGGAGGGGCGGGGGGCGGGGAGGGGGGGGGGGGTAAAGAGGAAACAAGTAGCTGACTGAGGGATAGGGCGTCATCATGGTTTGCAACATACCAGCCAGCCCGACCCGCCCAGCCCGAATCAGCCAAGCCAGTACGGTGTTAACGAACCGTCAGGGGATGGTTCAGCAGCAGCAGCAGCACCAAAGGGAGGAGCCTTGCCGCGTCTCGAGGGATGGAGGGCAGCAGCGGGGCATTTGATTGGGGGATGGGTGGGGATACTTGAGAAGCAACTGGGTCCTGGGAGGGAAGCAACCGGGGGTGGGGCAGCGCGGGGAGCAGGGGAGGGGGACGTAGCGGTGTGTGCCGCCGCAGCAACTCCCCCAGTGCTTTGCCCTAATCTGTGGGTTCCTACGGTCCACTATATTCCAATTATATTGCAGACCGTTTCAAATTTCATGCCCTCCCAATCCGCCCCCCTCCCCCCTCCCTCCAATCCGCCCCCCTCCAGGCTCCGAGGAGCGCTTCCAGGGAGTTGTGGACCTGGTGAAGATGAAGGCGATTGTGTGGACGGGCGAGGAGCTGGGCGCGCGGTTCGAGGAGCGGGACATCCCGGGGGACATGGCGGAGCAGGCGGCGGAGTACCGCGAGAAGCTGATCGACATGATTGTGGAGCAGGACGACGCGGTGCTGGAGAAGTACTTCGAGGTGGGGGGCGGGGGGGGGATGGTGGGAGGTGGGTGGCAGGGGGAAGGGGTGGGAGGTGGGGGGCAGGGGGAAGGGGATCAAAGGATACCGGCAAAGCAGTGGTTAGGAGGGCATGGGGGGGGGAGGTGGGAAATGCCAAGGCCTGGGTCAGGGGATTGCGCTGGTGGGCTGAGGGTCAGGATTGTTGCGCTTATCTATATTCCCCCCCCCCTCCCCCTCCCCCAACCCCCCGCAGGGTGAGCTGCCCGACGAGGCCACCATCGAGCGGCTAATCCGCAAGGGCACCATCGCGCAGGCCTTTGTCCCCATCGTGTGCGGCACCGCCTTCAAGAACAAGGGCGTGCAGCCGCTGCTGGACGCGGTGGTCAAGTACCTGCCCAGCCCGCTGGAGATTGAGGCGGTGCAGGTGAGGGGGGGAGGAAACAACTAACTGGGGGGCGGGGTAGGGGGGGCCGGAGGGGGGGTTGTAACATGAGAGGCCTGGAGAGGCCTCTCCTAGTTAATATGTCGTATGAAGAAAAGGTTTTCCCCTTTGGGCTCATCTACACGGATGTCTTGCTGCCTGTGGGGGGGGAGGGGAGGCCGGGAGGGGGCTGTGGGTGGTCGACCGCTGCATGGTTCTACCCCTCCCTCTCCCCCCCCGCCGTTCTTACTTACTCCTCCATACCTCCTCCCCCTACCCCTCACATCGCACCCTTCCCCTCCCCTCCATCATCAGGGTCAATGTTTCCGCGGCTTGTTGATGTAATTCCCCGCATCACCACACCTCTCCCTCCCTCCCCTCCCCCTCCTCCCCCCCGCACAGGGTGTCGACATGAACGACGCCGAGGTGTCCATGATCCGCTCCGCCGACGACGCCACGCCCTTCTCCGGGCTGTGCTTCAAGATCATGACCGACCCCTTCGTGGGCTCCCTCACCTTCTGCCGCATCTACAGCGGCGTGCTGGAGGCGGGCACCTACGCGCTCAACAGCAACAAGAACAAGAAGGAGCGCATCGGGCGGCTCATGATGATGCACGCGAACAACCGGGAGGACATCAAGGTGGCGTTTGCGGGCGACATTGTGGCCATTGCCGGTCTGAAGGATGTGATCACGGGTGAGTTGGGGGGGGGGGTGCGGGGGTAAGAAAACTGGTTGCGCGTAGGGACGTACTGGATTGTTGGTGTGGGTGTGGGTGCTGGTGTACATGGAAAACCAGCGTATATAAAACCACTAGGCAGTCACAGGCGGTTGTGGTTGGGGGCATCAGGCGGGCTTCGCAGGGGGAAGGAGGTGAAGCTGTTGGTGGGAGGGCTAGGGTGTGTCTCAGCACGCCTTTCCATTGCAACCCTGCATGGTCCCCTTCAACCAACGTAACCACCCCTGTGCGACCCCCCCCCCCCCGCTGCCAGGCGAGACGTTGTGTGACGACAAGGCGCCCATCATCTTGGAGAAGATGGACTTCCCGGACCCAGTCATCAAGGTGGGGAGGGGAGGGAACTGGGGGGAAAACTAAAAGATAGCGACCGGTGTAGCAACGAGTCCCAATCGGGGGGGAGGAGTCCCTGTGCATGCCATACGTTGAGGCTACTTCATGATCTTCACATGTGCGGGATGTCGGTAGTTAAAAGACCTCATCAGACCACGCGACATCACCGACATGAAGACCCACGCCAGCTACAAGAAGTGCAGCTGCGTTGCCCCCCTCCGCTGCTGCTGCTAACCCTCATCCTCCCTCCCCTCCCAATAGATCGCCATCGAGCCCAAGTCCAAGGCCGACCTGGAGAAGATGGGAGTGGGGCTAAACAAGCTGGCGCAGGAGGACCCCTCCTTCAACTTCTCGCGCGACGAGGAAACCAACCAGGTGGGGGATGGTAACGGGTGGTGGACAGAAAGGAGGAAACTGCTAACTGAATGACGAGGCGTTTGCAGGCTGTGGTTTTCCGCTGGTTCTGATAATGAAGTGTCCTCAGCTCCTCACCTCTTATTCCCCACCTCACCTCACCTTGCCCCACTGCGCCTCACTGGGTCTTTCCTTCTCTCTCCCCTATCTCCTCCGCACTCAAGTTTTTCGTCTTTCCCCCCCCCTTCTCCTCCCTCCCCTCTCAGACCGTGATCGAGGGCATGGGTGAGCTGCACTTGGAGATCATCGTGGACCGCCTGCGCCGCGAGTTCAAGGTGGAGTGCGAGGTGGGTGCTCCCCAGGTCAACTACCGTGAAGGCATCAGCCGCTCCAACGACGTGCGCTATGTGCACAAGAAGCAGAGCGGCGGTGCCGGCCAGTTTGCGGACGTGGCGGTGCGCTTCGAGCCGGGCGAGCCGGGCACCGGGTTTGTGTTCAAGAGCGAGATCAAGGGCGGCTCCGTGCCCAAGGAGTACGTGCCGGGTGTGGTGAAGGGGCTGGAGGAGTGCATGAGCAGCGGCTCGCTGGCAGGTGCGGAGGGGGGGTGCGGGGGTGCGGGGTTGTGGGTGGGAGCGCGGGATTGGGAGCGTGGAAGGAAGGGTGCGGGAGACTGTGTGGGGGGTGTAATGTGGGGGGTTCAGCGTGTGGAGTTCAGTGTCGACAGTGTGTTTGGAGGAGTAAGGGATTGCGAAATGTTGGGGTTTGGGGGAGAAAGAGTGCAGGTGTGCAGCGGTCTGGGTGGATGAGTCATGAACACGGGAAGTGGGATGTGAAGGTGCCCCCAACCCGCACTCGGAGCTCCTGCCTGCACCGCAGGCCAACCTTAACAATGTTCACCATCACACCCAACTAACCCAACTAACCCAACTAACCCAAACCTCCACCCTCTCCCTGCCCACCCTCTCCCTCCCCCATCCAGGTTTCCCCGTCGTGGATGTCACCTGCACCCTCTTCGACGGCTCCTACCACGAAGTCGACTCCAGCGCGCTCGCCTTCCAGATCGCCGCGCGCGGGGCCTTCCGCGAGGCTATGGGCAAGTGCGGCGCTCGTCTGCTGGAGCCCATCATGCGCGTGGAGGTCATGACGCCGGAAGACCATATGGGTGACGTGATTGGCGACCTGAACAGCCGCCGCGGCATCATCAACAAGTTTGAGGACAAGCCGGGCGGCATGAAGCTGGTGCAGGCCTACGTGCCGCTGAGCGAGATGTTTCAGTATGTGTCGGTGCTGCGCGGGATGACCAAGGGCCGCGCGCAGTACACCATGCAGCTGGAGCGGTACGAGGTGGTGCCGCCCAACATCCAGCAGGACATCGTGGCCAAGTCCAAGGCGGGCGTGGCTTAAGTGGGAGTTGGTGGTGAAGGAGAGGGAGGAGGAGCGGGCGGGATTGGGTCAGGGTGTGTGGGTTCAGGGGTGGGAGTGGGACTATTGTACGGTAATTGGTTTGCGGCTGAATAGGCTTTTGGGTCTAAGGCAGCTGTAGGACGGCAGCAAAGAGCGGTTTGAGGTTTACAGCTGCTGCGTGTTTTGTTGGGGGTATTTCACACGGCTGAAAGCGACTTCCTTGAGGCTGCGAAGCTTCCCATGTTCCATTATATCAGACGATAGTGTAGTTCCCGGGTGCGTGGTTGGTGAGCCTGCTTGGGCCGGAGCTCGGTTCGGTTCGGTGGGATGTGTCTGAAACGCGTTGGGGGTTCGGAATAGAGCGTCGCTGTTTGGAGTTCTAGCTGCGAGGAGTGGCTTCGGAGAGGAGCATGAAAGGAGGTGCAGTCAAGCGCTAGTCGTGTTTATGTTCGCTACTTGGATTCGGTCGGGCTGCGAGCTGGTTTAGCCGACAAGCATCGAGTGCTTTCGGGGTATGTGCATGTGTGATATTGGTAATACGCAGACTTTTGCACTGGACTGGCGGGGATGTTAAGGAGTAGTGGTGTCACCTGGACAGGGTTTTGATGGGGTTTGCTGCATCTCTTAATGGCGCCGCCGGTGCCGCTATTTATTGGCGGTTTTTGCACGAGTTGATGAGAGAGTGTGTGAGAGGCTGTATGGTAAACGACGAGGTACAACGATAAATATTGACAACACGGCTAGCGTAGGCTCCGAGGGAAACACTTCCTGTAAATGCTGACACATGTCTGCAGCCTGGGTATTCTGGTCAGCTGACCTCGTCACCTGGCGTTCCCGCCGGGGGGGCAAGTTTCCTGCAGTATCTGCACAGCCTAGGCACTGCCACCCTCCCGCCCAACAACGTGACGTCAACAGAAGGTTCTTTACCGCCAAGGCAGGGGCAGCTTGGGTGTCGGGAACGTGGAATTTGGCCAGGCCAAATTTAGATGTGGCCTGGCCCCCACTGATACTGCGAGACCACAAGTCATGTTGGGATGCGGCAATGCCCAAACATGAACGAAAATTCATGTTGGCTTCAGGAAACGGTTGTCATGGCAAACATGGCGCATCACCCTTCTCAAGATGCAAAGCAGCGCGTAGTGCCCCCCCCCCAACTCACGGTGCACGATCAAGGGTGTTTGATGTCAAGATGCGGTCAGCCATGCATTGAACGGTATGCTGTGCCGTACCGGAGTAGGTGGAGCAGCGGCGATGTTGACACTGGTAGGGTAGGAACCGTTGACGGGGTTACAAAGCCTCGCTTTCTATTAAAGGATAAGCTGTATGAGCTTTTCCACCAATACTAAGGTGTGGAAGATGTCAGTTATAATCCTTATTTAGGACAAGCCAAGCCCAAGCCCAAGCCGAGTGCTACACACCAATCGATGTGACACGGGGCACACACACAATAAAAAATATGATATGCCGTATGAGTTCCCTTGTACGACAAATGAAAGACAATGCCACGACAGCGCAATGCTGGATTTCCAGGGCGACTGTTGCCACTGGAAATCCGTGCATGAAATGTGTTTACGCGCATCTTATTAGGATCCTGCTCACTTTTGGATCCTGCTCACAACTACCAAAACACAAGCCCCAACATGCTGACAGACAACGTGCCAACAGCCAACTCGTACACTTTTTCTTTCTTCTCGTCTTCAACTCGTATGTACATATTATGATGCAAGCGCAAAATTTCCGCGCTCAGGGGACTGACCCGTGGGTCCGTCCACCTTGCAACATCCGTCGTGACGCACACCGATGCAACGTGCCTTTCTACATTCGCACCAACTTCACAGGCTGCACGTAGTAAAATCATGCCCACACCCACCAATGATACTTTCCGACCTTCCCAGCAGCTTCGCTCGAATAATGCAGCTAGGCCACGTATTGGCTGCTCTAGCGGGAGCCCAACCAACTGCACAGCCAGCTTCCTCGCAAAAAAAAGGAAGTGTGCCCCCAACGCGCAGTGCCGCCCATCAGCACCAGCTACTGCATATGGTGATGTATGCCGTCTACAGCTGCTCAATGTACATTGTGCCAACGGATACCTCGAACCAGTTTAGTCCAGGTACTTTCCGCAAACTCCCGCTTGCTCCCGACCATTGTTTTGGGTCCAACGCATGTGCCCCTCGCATCTTCCCTCTCACACCGACTCCCTTCTTATGCAGGCCACACATGCTGTATTACCGGCGGCCCTTTGTATGTAATCAATGGCACGAAGCGCAGGTCATGGACATGACCTACGCAGACTTTATAGTACAGATATGCAATGCGTGCGGCCCTTCTCCGCGTGCAACGCCCCCCCCCCTGCACACGGCAGAGCTCCAGAGCAGATTGCGCCTTTGCTAGCCGGCGCAGAACGTGCAGAACAACACCGAGCCGCACGCGCTTGCATGGCATGCGCCCTGGCGCCCCTTGCTGGGTACTGCCCGTACTGGTACACTAGAAGGCCACCTCGGGGGCGGTAATGGTAGTGCATATTGATGTGTTCGTGTTTCTTCTCCTGCTGTACCTAAACTAACCTAACCAGCCCCTTCACCATCGCACCATGTAATGCAATGACCTCCAAGCCCCCCAGCTCTTTAGTCGATAAACCTTGTTATAATGCTTCTCGTTCCGGCGGTCTAGAAACCAATTCCGCCACATAGTCTTACCCCACACACTCTTCACTCTTCGCTTGATCCTTGGGCTCTGCTGACGTCATCACACCTTCAGGATGCAGTACGCCATGAAGTACAGCAGTACGGCGCCGCCCGATGCCACCATCTGCTGCGCCACCGCATCGCCTGCGGCAGCGTCATGTATGGGGGCGCATGCAGGACGACAGCGTCATGTATGGGGGCGTCATGATGGGTGGGAGCGCATGCGTCATAGCGCATGCATGATACGCTACATGGCAACATGAGGCGTGCCTAGGTTTGCCCATGGGCGCAAACTCCAAACGCCCCGAGCTCCCGACACAACAAGGCCAACAACCGATACGTCGAGTCGTATACTTGGATATATCTGGCCGTGCAGAAAGCGTGCCTGGGTCAACACAACGTCCCGCCCGAACGCCGAGACAATCGACCCCCGTCGCGACTGAGTGGACAGGAGGTGGTTCGCTGGTCTGGGAATGAAGATAGTAAGGATGAGGGCATTGGGAGTTCGTCCTGGATCCTAAATTCGCTTCCAGATCCTAGTCCAATCACCGGCCGCACCGGCGGGTTCCCATCCTACCATGGTCTATGAGTCGCTCCATCTCGCAGACTCGATCGTAGTAGCGGTCGACCTGCGGGGAGCGAGCGAGCGAGTGAGCGAGGGAAACGCGGGAAAAAATGGAAGCGAATCATGCGGACATTCGCGGATCATCCTTGTAAGCCAAGGTTTGAGGGGGGCGCTGCCCGGCACGAGTTGCTCAGACACATGGCCACATGTGTAACAGCAACATGTTCAAAACCCCAAGCAGCTTCGCTCATCCCCGTACGCAGTCCATCTACATGGCATGCACGGCACGGCACGGCAAAACGTTGCATGACGTCCGGAGCGCATTGGGCCTAGGGTACGACAGGTCGCTGCATCTCTCAAGTACCCGCGCTATCTTTGTTTAATAAGGTACCCGCCATTTAGCCTCTCAAGTCTGCAGCACTGTGCAGGCAACACCACGCGCAGCTCCTGGACACCAGAAATGAGGCAGCGTGCGGTTGAAGCACGCAGAACACGCAGCGGCGCACCTTGTCTGCATCCAGGCCATACACCTCGAAGCACTGGCGCCGCTCGGATACTGAGCGCGCGGGGCTGCAGGCCTCATAGGCGTCCCTGTGCAAACATTGGTGCGCACATGCGACAACAGGCTGAAAAAGGGACATGCAGAGACAATAGTGCTCGAACTGGTGTCTTCACAATGAAGGTCTTATCCAGCCAGCGCTTACAGCTAACATTGTTATGTAGCTAGGGAGCAAAGCTGGCAAGCAAAGGTTTCCATGGGAAGCAAATGGAAACTTCCAGTAACAAAACCCTACATGTTGCAAGTCTTGCAAACAGTGCTACGTGTAATTCTACAGTTACAAAGCTTCAAGAAAGCTGAAGGGGCAAATCCAAGGTTCTAAAGCAGGTCCTAGGGGCAGACAGCCACGTCAGCGTGGTTGGACTCATACGCCCCCAAGAATCAGTCTGCTAAGTTATTGCAGGAAATCGTGCGCCAAGGCGACGTACAAAGAGGTGACATGTCTTGGAACACCCCTGTGTTGCTCGTCATGACGCCCTAACCTTCGCACCTTACATCGTTCAAGGTAAGCCATACGGGCGACCCGGTGATCTGGAAAACACCGCACACGTTCCTGTTTGGATCTGGCCGGCGCACTCCACCAGCGCCGTTGTGGGGAATAGCACCACTGGCCGAGGCATACAATAAGAGCTTCCTCGCCCTCTTGATCCGCCCACCGCGATGCATAGCGTTGCAGCTGTGAGACAAAGATAAAGGGCTACAGGCGATCGACATCTTGTGTGGCGTAAGGAGCTTCAACTGGCAGATGTTTGAGAAGGTTTGACGCCTTAAGCCCGGCACTTCGGAGTTACGCTTTAGTTGATGTTAAGGATGCAGGAGATTACTTTTCGGATATGCCGAGACAGGGACTACAATGTATCAAAGATTGCCTTGGTACGATTAACCGCTCGGAAGTCCATTGACCGCTGACCAAAGACATCCGTCCTGTTCAATACTCGTATGGCTTGACGCCTCATACGTAAACGTCCCAGATTATCGTAGAGTTGCCAGCAATGAAACCGCGCTGAAGATACCTGGCGAACTCGTCGCACCTCCGAGAACTCGCGGGGACCGTGCGTAGGCTGTCAGGGTATGCGCCTTCTTGTAGGTGTATCTTTGCGTTCTGATTGGCATAGCGCACACAGCGTTAGGACCTTGGACCGCAAACTTACCTTTGTCAGTGACGGCAATCCTCTCAAGAAGTTCATGCTCCCCATAATGGGTAGTTCTAATACTCTGGTGTATGTACTCCAAACAGCGTCCAAGCGGCTGGGCGGGGATGCTCCCCGGCACCTGCAGGGAAAGCTGACTGTTAGGTTCTAATGCATCGGCGACCCGCGTTCTTAAAGTCGTCACAGTTCCGGTCTTTAGGCCTACAAACCATTGCCGTGCGCCTGCGTTGAGCCATAAACATGTCATGCAGCGAGTACCACACTAAAGGTCACCTTCCGAGTTCCGACCAAGCCTGTGCGACTTTTACTTCACCCCCCTCCCTATCTCCAGACGTACCGGTACTGTGCTCACTGTCAGCGCAGCACACCATGTCACCTCCCTACATTCCCCCGCACCCCCGTTTCTTCATACTCCTATTTCAGAACGCATCGCTTCATAACATGCGGTTCTTACTTCGACCGGGGTGCTTCGGGCCCCCCTTTCACACATGCATACTGAACAACCACACTCTCTCTGAAAAGTCGTCAGTCCTCTCGAAACGGGGTGTCAACGGGCAACATCTGCGCGCCCCTGGCACGTGCCAAGGCCCGACCGGTTGTCGTGACAACCTATAGGCACCAACGATGTCGTTTGCTCATGAACGAACTCCGCGCTTCCTTGGGTCGGACTTGTGAGGTCAACGACCGGTTATCACCCGCCCCTCCCTTTTTTCCTTCCTTTAGCCGCAACCCAGGAAGAAGGAAAAACACGGGAGTGTACCGGTAGTCGAGAGTTTCCCCCCGAAACACATCCGACCATTGCACGGAACCAACCATCATCGTTTGCCTACTTTGTCTCTCACACCATCTCAACGCTCAACAAATGTTTGCGATCACGCACACAGCAGTACGTAGGCTGCGAGCACTGCTTGCACGGCTGCAAGCAAGGTGGGCCCTCGGGGGGAAATTCCTACAAGAGTAACGACCTGTAACGACCTGCTAACCCATGCACACCTCGCTGTCCCCCCATCACGCACCGCATGGTCACATTGGTAACCGTGGTGTTTCCTCTTTTCAACATCACGCAAGTCGTCAGCAAACACTAAAAAACATATCAACAAGTTTTATTGTGGCACCTAACAGCGCACCTAATATCGGTTACGTTCTCATATGGGAAGCCAAAGGCATGACAAGAGGGTTCCATGCCGCAAACCAGGCCCCCAAGTTACGACCCCACAATCATTGCATTGATGCTTGACTAGCTATACTTTTGCCGGTACACATTTAGTGGCAAGTTGGTAGCTGCCCCTCCTACCCAGCTGCACCCAGCAGCCGCTACTCCGCTCGCTCAATCCACATTCAGCTGTCCTTGCGGACATACACCTCTTGTGAGCTGGAGCCCACAGCTCACTACCCCTTCACGTCCTCACGTCTTCAGCCTCACTCGCTTGCGGTTGGCGCCACCACCTTTCCGACTGTCATAGCCGTCCCGCACGCAAGCAACAAAACACCTCCCACGGTTACCACCCTCCTCACCATTACAACCGCCTTTACAACAACAACACAAACCCATACCGCGCCCACGACATCCCAACCCCAGCCCCAGCCCTACCCTCAATTCTGCTCCTGTCAACACCAGACCACCACCCGCCACCAAAACCCCACCTCCTCATCCTTCCCCACTTGCCCCCCTCCACTCCCATCTCCTCTCCGCACCAATAACGGTCCTTACCATCCTGCCTGACCCCACTCCACACTCAGCGATCTACAGTTACGCCTTTTCGTAGCTTACAACCGCTGCGGCCCCCTGCGTGGGGCTGCCGCTGCCGCCTGGGGTGCCACTGGGGTTAGCCACCAGGTTCGCCGCTTCCGCCAGTTTGTCCAGGATGCGGCGGAAGGAGGGTCGCTGCTTGGGGTTGCCCGCCCAGCAGCGCGCTGCGAGCGCCTGGTACCACAGCGGGGTGCCCTCGGGCCAGGGCGGCCGCACGCCGTCTGCGATGACGGTTTGCAGCAGCTTGACGGGGGTGCCGGCCAGGTGGGAGAAGGCCACGCCGCCGGTGTAGAGCTCCCACCTGGGTGGTTGGGTCCGGTGGTGGTGGTGGTGGTGGTGGATGTGGAGGTGAGGAGGCGGGTTGTGGGGGAGGGAGGGATGGGAAGGGGCGGCTTGTGAGCAGGGGAGGAAGGAAGGAAGGACAGACAGTTGAGGTGCAGAGAGAGTTGGAGGGCGAGGGCGAAGAAGACGATGAAGAAGAGGGCAAAGAAGGAGAAGAAACCAGAGTCCACAAGCACACACACCCAGGCAGCTACAGGCAGCCAGTTACTGTAACACAGGCAGCCAGGAGCACATCCTCAACAGCTTCCGTCCCTCTATAGTTCATTGAGGCGATTACAAGTTCGTTCACAAAGTTACAAACGACGACACCCGCACCCACATCGCATCTCACACATCGCAGAGTCCCATGAAAGCTACAAACCCCCCATCAACACACTCACATCAGGACCCCAAACATGTAGACGTCGGCGCTGCGTCCGAATCGCTCCCCTCGATGCACCTCCGGCGGCAGGAAGGGCAGCACCGTGCTGCGGTTGCGTTGCAGCAGCTTTCGGACCGTCTGGGAGCCCTTGGAGAAGCCGACCACGGTCATGGCTGGCGGGGGGTTCAGAAGCGGGAGACAGCGGGGCAGGGGAAGGTAACGGTAAGGACCACACACCAAGTAATGCGATGCGGCGTGAGAGGTGCAGTGCGCGCAGCAGACTGTTCAGACTGTTGGGTAGGGGGTGCTGCAGGGTGCCAGTGTGCAAGGGGTACATGCATCCATGCGTCAACGCTCTCGCTAGAGATGCAGGGCGCAGGGTTGCAGATGGAGGGGTTCGAGAGGGGTTGTGGAGGTAAAGGGAGGAGTGGGGCACACACGTCGTGCCTTGCGCACCCCTTGCATTATCGCTATGCTTTACCAGGCTTGGCACACGCGAGGGCTCTCTCTCACGCACCGGCGTCTTTAATCTTGACCATAACCTCCGGAGTGATCGGACGCCCCTGCTGCGGCCGCTCGGGCATTGACTTATCCGTCTCCGCCACGGACAGTGCGCCGCCGTTGACGCTAGAGTACGACAGCCATCCGCCGGCGTTACGTGCCCGGCCGCTGTTGCCATGCAGGCCAGCGCAGGTACCCGACGTCCGGCCGAAACCCGGCGCCGCCGCCGCCGCCGCTGTTGCCATCGCTGCTCCCGCCGCCGCCGTTGATGACGAGGGGCCACTTCGAGGCGACGGCGACCTTCTCGGCGTGCCGCCGCCACCGCCACCTCCGCAGTGTACTGTGCCTTCAGCAGCTGAAACCAGCACCGCGCCGTTGCTGCTGCCATTGTGCGGCAGCCACATGCCGTTGTGGTTGCCGCATGAGGGGGTCGGCGGCGGCGGTGGCGGCATCGCCAGCAGCACATTCTCCGGCCGGAGCTCGCCGTGAGGTAACCCCGCCGCATGTAGAGCGTACATGCCTGAAGCAATCTGGGAGAGGATGGAGAGGAGGAGCGCCATGGGGGGTGTGGTGGCGCTGCTGCTGACGCCGCCGCCGGGGCCGCTGCCCAACCCGCCGGCGCTGGGGCCGCTGCTGTTGTACATTGCCAGGCCTGGCGAGGAGTCCGCATTTGCTGCGGGGCCAAAGTTGATGCCGTTAGCTGCGCCATGCGGTTCGTTGTTGTGATTATGTGTTAGGAATTCGGGTAGGGAGGGAAGGTACGAGAGCTGCTGCTGGGGCTGTTGGAAATGCTGTTGGGCTGCACGGGAAGGTGATGCCGGGGCGCCGCAGCCGGCAGGGGGCTCGCTAGCCGTCTGGCTGGTAAAGTAGGTAAGCGCCGTCGCAACGCCGACGCTGCTGTCGCCTGTTGCGACGGCGTGGGGTGCGACCAGGTCTCCAAACGGCATCAACATGCGTTTCTGCATGGCCTCACGCAGGCTCAACGACGGGAAGAGTTCAAGCATCAGCGCTAGGCCACGCTTGAACTTCTCGCGCCGAGGCAACACCGCCGTCAAGTACACCCCGCCCGCCGGAAACTCCAGCCCACCAGCGCCCGTAAACAGATCACCCATGCCATGCGGACCCATGGGTCCGCCTTGCCCCGGCGCAAGACCATGTTGCAAGAGCTGAGCGGCTGCGGTGGCGGCGGTGTAGGCACCACCACCGGCAGCACCGGCAGGGATGCCGGCTGCCGCCGCAGCTGCAAAGTGGGCGTTGTTGGAGTGGGCGTTGAAGGAGGCGTTGGCGCCGGGTGCAGGTGGGGCGTGGCGTTGCTGCTGCTTGCCGGTGACTACTTCGTACACGAGCGGGTAAACCATGATGACGCGGAGCACGTTGGGGTGTTCGATGCAGCTCAGGAGGTGCTGCGCCGCGATGGTGGGCGCCTCCGAGTCCAAGTGTCCTGGAGGACGTAGGATGTAGGATGGGGCCAGGGCAGGGGGGCGGCGAGGGGGGAAAGTAGGGGTTGTACAAGAGGTTATAAAGCACGTGAGCTTGATCGGCATGGTTTCCGATACGGTATGAGGTTAACCTAGCAGCTGCTGCATGGGGGTCAGGGAGAGGCCGAAACCTGCTTTCCTGGCTTTCCTGGCTCCCGGCTTCCTACCGCAACACAAATACCGGTAAACTAACGCCCATGACTTTAGGTTTCACTCGGACCGTGGTCTCCCTTCGACCCCATGATGATCAGTCCAGTGCGGATTATGCCTCCCCTCTCATCCCCATCTAGGCTGCCCCCACCCAAGTTCTCATTTCTCCTTCTTCACCGCCCCCTTCCTCTTGACCCCTCCTACCCCATTACCGCCCCTTTCCCCTTCACCGCCCCCACCTGGCCTCCCGTCCATGGACATGTGGGAGCGCATCATCTTGATCGCCACCGCCCGCCCCCGGTATGCCGCCAGGTACACGGACACGTTGCGGGTGCGGTGCATGTCGTACAGGATATCAACCAGCTCGGGCCAACCCTGCAGCCAGGCGGGCGCGTGCGGCGGGGGTCAAGGATTTAGACGGTTTTGATGTTGGGGTTGGGTGCGTTTAGGGTTTTGTTTGGTTGGCGTTTGGTGGAGAAGGAGGGCGCCAGGAAAGACCGGTCCGGAGCGCACGCGCGCGCCGCACATCCTCACCTGCAGCTCTCGACTGCTCCCGCTGATCTCCTCGCCCTCGTCCCCCTCGGCGCCCTCCTCCGCACGCTGCGACTCGGCACCCGCACCTCCCGCAGCCGCCGCTGTGCTCTCAACTCCCGCAGCAGACGCAACCGCCCCAACCGCCGCGCCAGCGCCCGAAGCAGCTCCAGAAGCACCGTCACCGCCTGGACCCAACCTAGCCGTACTCGTTGCAGCGCCGTCGCCGCCGCCGGCGCACCCGCAGACCACCAGCGCCACTGAAGCGGCATCCTCCACCTCGCTCATCGGCCGTAACAACGCCGCCTCCCGCCCCGCGTCATGCTCCCGACTGGACTCGATGCCGGGCACCACCGCGGACCCCAGCTCGCCGCCGCCGCTGCCAGTCGCAGACTTCGACGCGTCACCGCCGCCCCCGGCCTGTCCCGTCTCCTGCCCCGCCTGCCCCTGCTCCACTGCGTATTGTGCCAGCCCCGGCGGCAGCTTGAAGCTAAGACTGCCGGGACTCGGGCTCCGTCGCTCCCCGCCGCCGCCAGCCGCCTGCCCCGCCGCCAACCCATCCACATGCGCATCGCCGTCACCGTCGCCCCCGCCGCCGCCGCCGCCGAGACCGTTCCGCACGCTTGCATGTGCAGCGGGGATCCGATGTCTCGGTGGCATCGTGGGCGGTGAGATCTCCTCTGCCGCCGTCACCATGCCGCCGACCGCCGGCTCACTGAACGGCCGACTGGCGCTGCTGGTTCCTGTCGTCGCCACCGCCGAAGGCGGCCGTGCCTCCTCTTCAGGCCATGGTCCCAGGAACCCCGCGTACTCAAGTACCTCCGCCGCCGCCGCCAGCGCGGCGGCGGCGGACTCCCGACTGCCGCCGCCGCCGCCGCCAAGCGTCCCGCCGCCGGCGACGCTGCTGGCGGCGGCGACGCTGCTGGCGGCGGCGACGCTGCCTAGCGGCGGCTCGAAGCTGCGACTGGGAAGTTCAAACGACGGGCGCAGCGACGACGCGACGGAGCACAGGCTGTTGCCTGTATTGGATCGCTTCACTCGGCTGCGGCGGCCGCTGGCGCCGGCGATGGAGGTACGGGTGCTGCGCAGGGGTTTGGGCGCCGTCAGCAGTCGTGTCTGCGCGTCTTCCGACAGCACCGCGTACCACTCGTGTCGCAGCGGACCCACGAGTTGCGTGAAGACGGCGCGTGAGAGCATGCCTGCTAGGTCGCCCCAGGCGGATCGGCTGAAGGACAGATTAAACTCATTCCTGTTTCGGGAGCGGCAGCGGCAGCGGGAGCAGCGACAGGGGCCTTAACACCGTACGCCCTTTCTAGATCGTATTACGACGCACGACGGGACGGTACAGAGGTTAAATTTGGATTACCCTCACCTCTTGCCGTTTTGCGGCTTCAGTTGGGGCCTCACTCCCTCCCCCATCCTCCGTTCAGGGTCCGTGTTTCCGCGGCTCAGTTTACCCAATTCCCCCTCCCTCCGTGTACGTGTTTCCTCGGCCTCCCTCCCTTCTCCCCCCTCACCTCGCAAACACGTACACGCAGCCCAGCGAGCGGCAGCGGTGCACCAGCGGCAGTATCACCAGTGTGCCGGCGGTGGCGGGCCGCGTGTTGTTGAGTGCCAGGTCACGTGCCACCATGCGGCCGCCGCCAAAGTACTGCAGCGCGTCCTTGATGATCATGATGTCGCCGGCCTGGTTCGAACCAGGGAGCCGAGAGGAGAGGGAGCCGAGAGAGGGGACAGGGGGTTGACGGGGATATGTATTCGGCATGTGGAGACAGGGGAGAGGCGAGGTAAGAGAGATGTCAGGTGTGTGATCGGGGAGAGCCCAAACCGTTTCAAAGGAGACCGCAAGGCGGGGGCGTTAGGCACTGGGAGAGAGAGTGGGGAGAGGAGTGGGAGAAGGGGACGCAAGAGGTGCACATGCACGTGTGGATGCCGGTACCAGATTATGCCCTGTCGTACAGCCCCCCTGTAAGCCCAAACCCCATGCAGGCCCCATGCAGGCCCCCTCCTCCTCCCGTGCATCGTGGCTCAGTTCTCCCCCCCTCCCACCTCCAGCACGCTCATCAGCAGGGTGCTGTCTGTGCTGATCTTCACACAGTCCACAGGCGGTGGTTCCGGAGGCACGTTGCCGCCGCTGCCCAGGCCATTGCCGTACAGCCCCCGACCGCTGCCCATCGCGGTCGAGGAGCCCAAGATGCGTCGTGCCACACCGCCCACACTGGTGCTGCTGCTGTAGCCGCTGAGCACATCGTCTCCGTCCGCAGTGGAACCCAGCACCATGCAATCGATCTGCTCGTAACCCGTACCGGTGGCGGCGCCGCCACAGGCGTTACGAGTGGCGGCGGCGGCGTCGCCGCCCGCCGCCGCCAAACCGGTCATAAGGATCGGTCGGTCATGACCGGAACCCAACACGAGACCACCCGTGGAAGACGTGGTATGCCCCATGCCGCCGCTGCCAACGCTATACAGCCCTCCAAAACCGCCGTTACTGCTATACCCCCCACCGCCGCCGCCGCCATGTTGATGCGGCAGCGGCAGCCCCAGCCGCCCCGAAACCTGCAGCAGCGGCGCAGCGTATACGACAGCATGCTGCAGCCGCGACGAAACCAGCGCCAGTCGTACTTCAGGAAGTGCCGTACCGGGCCCCGCGCCGCCGTCAGCAAGGAAAACCGGCATGTCGTACGCAAAAGCCCGCGCGAGGGCTTCTAGGTTGGCTGCGCCGTACAGTCGCGCGTAAAAGGAGGCGCGCGCCGTGGCCCGTGTTGTTGTGATGGCGCCTGCGGCCCAGCCCGTGATGAGGGTCGCAGATTTTGCCCAGAACTGCCGGCTCCAGTCTAGGGGTTCCAAGGATCCAAGGCTCAAGCAACCCACGATGGCACCGGAGCCGTTTGTGGCGGCGACTGGCAGGCAGGCAAAGGCGCGCATGCCCTTGTCACGGTACATGAGCTGCCAGTCGAAGGGCCAGGAGGAAACGGGCGCTGCTGCTCCTGCTGCTGCGCCTGCCGCTGCCTGTTGCTGCTGCCGCGTCCCAGCTGCGTGTGTGCTGCTTGCCGCGCCCAGCGGTGTCCCTCCGCAGGCTGCGTTCCCACCTCCGCCCCCGCCACCAACCCCTCCGGGTTGTTGGATTTGACCCACATTTGGCTGCTGTTGAACCAGCTGGCTCTGGCTGTTCGCCGTTTGGGATGCCGCCGAGGGTGCGTTAGGATGGCCCGGGGCTGCTGCTGCTGCGGAGCCCAGCTGCTGCTGCTGCGAAGCGGAACCGGAGCTCCCCGCCGTGGCTGCTCCTGAGGCGCCAGTTCCCGAGACCAACTGACCCGCCGGGTCGCTCAGCATGAGGGGCTCACCGGAGCTGGCGACCAGCTCGATGCTGGTTTCGGAGCCGCGAAGGGGGTGCGGATCCGACAAGCCCACCTGTCACCACCAAACAGTTTGCAACAAGGCGGAATGTAAGTCACGAGGGGTAGGAACCCTAGGAAGTCGAGGAGACGGAGGTGTAGGCAGGCAGGCATGCGGCCAGCCCCGCAGCTTGCAGGCCCTCCCTCACCTGCACCCACAAGCCCACAACCCTGCCCGGCTCCTCCCCGGACCCCGTGCCCCCCTCCTGTCCCCGCTGCCTTGCCCTGTCTTTCGGTACCTCTTGGTATGAAACTCTCTGGATTACCCGCTCTGGATTACCCCTTGCCCCTACCTCTATGGCCGACACGCCCAAGATGCTGCTGGTGGAGGAGGTGCGGGAGGGCGGCCCCCGCGGCCCCATTCCCCCTCCGAAGCCCTGCCCGTGCATGATGCCACTGGAGGTACGGCAGGAGGAGAAGGAGCAGGCGCCCGGCTTGGAGTCCACCACATAGGCGGATCCTGTGGCACGGGAAGGGGGAAGGTGGGGGTGAGGAAAGGAGGCGGTGCTGGGGTGGTGGGGCAGCGGCAGCACGGAGGAGCGCCGGGCAGCCCCGTCCTGCCCCTCCCGCATGCGCCCCTCCTGCAACGCCCTCCCGCCCCTGCAGTAACTTCCTCCCGCCCCTCCTTTGAGGCCTTCCTCCTGCAACGTCCTCCTGCGTGCCCCTCACCCGTGTGTTGGAAGACCTCCCCGTCTGCCGACAGCGCCGTCAGACACGCCCACGAAACGTTCAGCCGCTGGCACAGCAGCGCCATGACGCGGCTGACCTGGGGGCCGGCAGGCAGGCAGGCAGCGGCGGATGGGGGCGGGGCGGGTGTGAGGGCACATGTATAGTGGGAGCGGAGGGGGGGTGGAGGAGACGGAGAATGCGACGCGGAGCAGGAGTAGGGTGTTGGTACGAGGGGCGACAGGAGGACGGAGGCAGGAAGCAGGATTTGAATTTTGCAGGTACAGGAAGCACTGGTAGCCTTCGCTGAAACCCTTTGCCCCAGGGCCCGCCCACGTTATTTATTTTCAGTATCCTGGCTGCGCTGTTGGCCCTGACCCATGTACAAAACCAGCATGCCTGCCGATGACGGTGCCATTCCCGTACCGCCGGGGTAGGCGGCAACAACTCGTACAGCCCTATCCACCGGACACCAGGTATGTGCAGCAGCAATACCGGCCACCTGGGGAGCAGCCACCAACCTGCATCCGCTCGGACGTCATGCCCAGGAGCTCCTGGAGCAAGGCCACAACGCGCATAACAGCATCTTTAGATGTCTGTTGTGACACCGGCAGAGGTGAGCCGTCGGAGACCGCCACATGCCGCTGCTCGCCAGTTGACTCCGGTTCTGCCTGACAGCTATCATTGCGCGATTGTGGAGCGCTACCCGCCCGAGCTGTGGCTCCAACAGCCGCATCCTGTGCCTGAACTTTTACTGCAGGTGACGCTAAAGCATTTTCGGACGTTGAGGAGCTACGAAAGCAACAAAATACCATTCCAACGTTGCAGTGTTGGTCTTTTCAGCTAAGAGCAACGAGCCTTGCAAAGCTTGCTGACGTTCGGCTTGCATCGCAAGTAGCCATAATTTCACAGAATGCCGTCCATGTTCATTACTAAGTCCCTTGTTTCGCTAACGGGTGAACCGATTGCGAAAGTTTTTCAACGCCGTACGCTCAATCCCCTTCAGTGCTGCCCCCTTCTATGTAAAAGATGTCAGTAGTATGTAAGTTATTCCTCGAATTCCATTGGAAGTGCACATATCCTGTACACTATTTTCGTCTGTGGCTTATACGTGTGCTGTACTGTTCGCAAGCCTCAAGCACTCCATTCGCTATCCGAACAGCACTTTGCTGCTTATCGCCAAGTCATAGAGCAGGAATATTGCTGTTGTCGCTTGATCCCTAAGCCGGCTCGAGAAGGATGGATGGACACCCGGGATGCAACGTGAAGGGCCTAAACGGCCCGATAACTGATGCCATGTATCGAAACCCTGCATGATCGTAGAAATGGGTTCAAGAGAGGGCCAGGGATTCAAGGAGGGCTTGCGCGTTTGGTGGCTGTTGGGGAGGCCAACCACCCTGCCTTCACCGATTATGACTTGCTCATTACCGGTACCGGTACTCGGTTAATCCCGGTTTTTTTGCAAGTATTTACCTTAAGGTGCCTGCTAGTATGGAGACACTCAGCCATGATTTGTCGTGTAAGCTGCGCAGCGCAGTAGTGGCTCTGCCTTTGTCCTCGCAGGGACGCAGGGAGCAGAAATAGGGTGGGGGGCGAGGGTCATGCCATCTATCTTATCGCTCAATTCGGCCCTCGTACTGGTGAAACATGTGGGAGCATGGGGGTTAACTGCGCATGCGTGGAAAAGCTGGGCGAAGATAGAATACCGGTACGCCAGGCCACCGATGCCTCAATCCGTTAGTATGTGACAGCGGGTATCATGGACGTCAATTCCGGCATATATCTAGCGTAGTCGCCTAACAAAAGGTGTAGTCGGCACGACTCTTGGGCCAGTGCATGTGTACATTTAGATCTGCAACCAAGGTTGTAAACGTCCTCCGGCAACAATACATTGCTGAGGGGCAACAAAAACACATAGTCAGCTTTAGTAGTTGCATTGCCACTTGTGGGTCTTTCTTGGCTTGGCATTGCGGTACGAACTTCGAGTGGGTTGTACGGCGTACAAGGAATATCGACCGGAGGAATTTTAGGTTACCACTTGCAGCCTGAATGTCAGTGTGTTCAACGTTTCTGAAACTCCTGTGCGTAGTATACTCACATATCCTCATTATCGGTGCTGGGCTGGGTTTAGTACACTGAACTTATTCCTAAACTCTTTTCTTGTATCCTGCCTATTTAGCATATCTTGCGCCAAATAGTCCTGTGCAAACGATAGCGCTTTTTCTTCTGAAGGCGCGCAGCCACGATGAACGGTCTTCCAGACGTGGCGGGTGGCCTTTTCACCTCAACTTATCGAAATGTTAAGCTAGCTGGAAAAGCACCGCCAGCAACTAACCTCACGGGGACAGGCTCGGTACGTTCCGCGCTTTGGGAGGAAGACGGTGTCTGCTTCGAATTATGGGAGTATGCTCAACAGGAATGACATTTTTTTGCATCGTGCAGTGCTTTGACACGACAACACTATCTCCAGCACGAGCGGGTGCTCACAAGCTACTTGACGTCGGGAAAGAAGAGCTCCCTGTCTGGTCCAAGTCCACTCTTACATATAAGTAAGGAACTCATGTTCTATGCACACTATGGTTAGTGATATGCTAAACGGGCTATTATCCATGTAGGTATCCTGCGGGGAGGCCGAACCCAAGTGGGTATCTGAGGAAGGGAGATGGCGAGCTTATCAAGACGCGGACCGGTGGACCGGTTGAGGAGAACAAACCAGTACCACCACCAGCGGGGGCATACAAGCGCCGGGAAAACCCGCCAAACACTGCTTTCCGGCGGTTCTATGAGCGCGGCGACCTTCCCATCGCTGTCGACCACCGCGGGTCGAAAAACATGATCGCATGGAAGGTAAGCCCTGATCAAGGCGTCGGGTGTAGCGATAGACGGTTTTGGCATCCCTTCTTTAGCTTTAGATGGATGTCCCTTGTTCGTGCAACATACCGTGTTCCCATCTTGCGCTTCTTTCTTGGGCCGTTAATCCGTCGCCGATCCCCCGCGGCATACACGAAGCACCCTTGCATCCCCATTCCCCAGCATCCAAGCACCGCAACCACGTCCCTTTTCTGTCATGGCCTGTCACCAACGTTGCACTGGGGCATACGTGTTCAAGAGTCAGCTGAACGCCTTGCAATCCAACAACATCGACTAACAGCAGACGGCATTCGCCGTGAGGCCGGATGCGTGAGGCACTCATCCCCGTCGGACTCCGGCAACTAAGCGTGTATCCGTGCACAACCACCAAAAACACACACGCCCCACACACGCCCCGCACGCCCCTTGCCATCGAACAGGTCGACATCGAGAAGCTCGACTACCACCACTATCTGCCGATCTTCTTTGACGGCATTCGCGAAACCCAGGAGCCTTACCGCTTCCTGGCGGTTAAGGGCGTGGAGGACATGCTGCGCGTGGGAGGGTCAAAGATCCTGCCTGTCATCCCACAGCTAATCATCCCCATTAAGACGGCGCTCAACACGCGCGACCACAGCGTCATGTGCATCACGCTACAACTACTGCAGAAGCTGGTGCTGTCGGCGGACCTCGTAGGCGAGGCGCTGGTGCCCTACTACCGCCAGGTGAGCGACAGCACTGCAGGAGTATAGTCGTGTGGCCTACGAATACGCCCGTGCGACATAGGTTCTCGGGCAGTGGTTTATAACCTGGGGAAGCCACTGGGGTTGTCGCATTGCAGCAAGATTGTAGCTTGCATTGGGCGAGTGCTTTAGTAAACCAAGGGCCGCTGCTCCTAGCGCATGGGGCTATAGCCACAATCATGATGTTGGGGAGGAATGCATGTCGTCCGTCCAGGCTAGAGCCCGGCGTCCTAGCTCTGAGGTGCGTCCTCCCCGTTGTTTGCCGCAGATCCTGCCCATCTTCAACCTCTACAAAAACAAGAACAAGAACCTGGGCGACGGCATTGACTACGGCCAGCGCAACTACGACTGCCTGGGTGAGCTGATTGCCGACACGCTAGCGCTGTTTGAGCAAAAGGGAGGTGACGACGCGTTCATCAACATCAAGTACATGGTTCCCACGTACGAGTCTAGCGTAAACTACGCATAAGCGGAAGTGTGGACATTCACCGGGATATGGGCGCTTGGGAGCGGTCGGAAGATATGCGCAATGGGAGGTAAACATCAAGCGTTGCAGGTCGTGCGGTTCTGCGTTGTTGGGGGAGCGCGGTCTCGCAGCATCATGGCACAGGAGCCCCTACACAGCACCTGACGCACACCTGTATAGATGCGCCCCTTACGCATTGATGCTGGGAGGCTTGCCAGTTCTCTCGCCATTGGCAGTGTGTGAGGGGTGACGACTTGGGTGCGAGCGGTTTGGAGCCAAGGGGTTGCAGGGTGATGGCTGGCTGGCTAATGCAGTGGTGCTTGGTAGGCACAGGTTCCTATGGTGTTATGGCCTTGCAGCGTAGCGTGGGGGCGCCCCAGAGGGGGGTGATAGGGTTGGTAGGTCAGCGGCTGCGTCTATGCCGCAAGGACTGACTTGACCAACATGTACAGGTCCGTTGTGACACTTACCCTGACGTTACCGTAACCAGGCTATGTCTTTTTACTGTCTAGATTGTAGCTCTCTTTGCCCGCTGGGACGCGGCGTCTTCGGGCTGCATTTCCCCCTCTAATTAACAGATTTGGTTGTGGTGTGTTTAGGTGTCCCGCAGGAGGGGTAACAGATAAACAGTTGTAGTTACCAGGTTTTAGGGACGTGGGGCGCAGAGCTGCGGGTTAGCGGGTAGGTTTGCATGTCCTCAAGCATTTGGGCATTTAAAGCGTACGAAATGGACGGCCTAGCCTAACTACGCAGGAATTGCAAGGCGCTGCTTAGTTCGTTTTGGAGGATGGCGGCGCATCCATGTGTAGATTGTGTACCCGGCGATCTGCTTGTGCTGAAATGCCGGAATGGCTTTTGCCAAGCCCTTAGGGGTGGCCAGCCATGTAATGTTTGGTGCAATCCGCTCCCCAGCGTTGCTCTCATGAGGATGGGGATTGGACGGCGCTTAACAGCACGCAAAGCCCTACGTCCTGAGCTCGAGCCTGTTCAAGCGACAACCCCCACCCCTGTTTCTGTGACAGCTCTCCGTGTATAGAAATGGCTTACACGGAGTTTTTGCACTTCTCGAATCCCCCCTGACGCAGGGATATGACACGGTCCTGTGTATGCTGACGTCACATTCCATGTTAGAACTGGACTGCCCCTTTCGTCGGGAGCCAGGGTGGGCTCTTCGGCTTCTTATTTTGACCCCAGGCTTCTGAACGAATGCTTTCGTTAACTGAATGTAAATGGCAGGAGTTCGGGTTAGGGGGCAAGGGGTGGGGGTGAGGGGAAAAATGACCAAGTGATGGGTGGGGACTGGGGAGGCACCTCCTGTCAGCGCTGATGAGCGCATACGCCGTATAGGTGCAAAACACGGCTGGACATAACGCCCTTGAGCAAGCAGCCCTTGCCGAAGGGAGCCATGTGCGACGAGTAGCCATGTGCTTGCGACAGAAGACCAGCGCGTAAAGACACACCAGGGAGCAACACGTGTCCAAACCCAGACGATTATGTTTCCGCCGGCCGCAAATAAACTCTGGGTAGTTGCAATGCGGACAGTCCTTCAATACCCAAGAGGTAAGAATGCCATTTCGTTTAAGCATGTCGCCCCAATGAGGTATTTCGCAGATGAAAGTTAAGGCCTCAACGCACGCGCCGCGTACATACAGTATAGTATTAAAAGTAAAGATGTTTACAAGCCTTAAGAAGGACCGCCCAGATCGAAGTTTGGAAACGCAAACAGAACCTACCCTCGAATTGCAGGCAGGGCGCCGCGGTTTTGGCGTCCCTTTCCTTAAGCAAGCAAGCTTCGCCACGTTTTCCTGCTAGCGCATACTTCTTATCATGACTTCTCAAAGTGCGACTTGAATAGGTTTTGGTTGTTCGGGGAACCAGGTTTTGGTTTTGGTCAACGTGAAGAAGCGATATCTCTTCATACATGAATGCTATCATGCACTTTGCTGTAAAGAATGCAAACCTCTCTCCATGTGGCGCAAAGCGGTAATCGCAGGCAGAGTATAGCAGCCAGGCGGAATTGGATACGGCCTCCACCAAACACCAAACTCCGCACATAGAAAGCGACTTCAACGGCATAGTTTATAAACATATAGATATAACCTCTTAGGGGTGATACTTCGTTACTTCCTTACCCCTAAATCCGGAGAGCCGCATGAGGCCCTGAGGTACTTCCCCCCCTGCCTTAAGAGCTTAGCCTGGTTCCAGTACACCACTACATTAACACCTTTACTGTGAGGCAATGGAGCAGAAGCAGATGCAGCGGTTGGGCTTTGGGGCTGAAGAGGAAGACCGCTGGCTCCAAGAGGAGACAGCCTCTGCACCTGAGGAAAGCAGCGATTGCTCTGATTCGCCACGGGCTGGTGGCGGTGGAGGGGGTCGTTGTGACGGGGTGGCAAGGCGGAGACGGCGACGACCAGCGTGGACCCGCCTTGAGGAGGCTATTTTGGCAAAGCAACACTCAGTACGCGGAAATGCATGGTCAGCTATCGCTGCGCATCTGCCTGGAAGAAGCGCATCGGAGGTTAAGGCAAGTTTTTCTGCCGGTGTCGGCATGGCATGCAGGATTGCGACATATAGCGTGAATTGCACCGGTATATATGGTGATGGAAGTGCTGTGTGCCTGAAAGATGGCGGTCCTGTCTGTTGAACCAGGCTGTGGCCCTTGACCTTGCTCTTCAACTTAAGCCCGAGCTTAGGGCAAAACTGTTTCCTAAAACATCATGCCTTTCTTAAGCTTGCGTATTCACCACAAAAACGCGACTATTATGCCTATGTTCGCTTTGGTTTGTTTTTTTGTTGTCTCCGATGCACAGAACATATGGCACAGCACTCTACGATCCAAAAAGCTCAAATCAAGGTCCTTGCTGCGGGCATATGCCCGCGGTGTGCAAGAGCGAGGCGAGAGTGCTGCTGCCCGCATGGAGGCCTTCCGGGCCGCTGTGAAGCTGACGCGGGGTGGCGATGCGTCCCTTCATGAAGAAGAGGCCGATGAGCCCGATGCGGGTCGGCAGCCAGAGCGATCGGCGGGTTCCAACGGAGATATGCAGCTAGACTTTCCCCGTGCAGATGGGCCGGAGGATGCTGCCATGGACGGAAACCCTGATGCAGCCAACGGCGCGAACCCCCGCGAAACGGAACTCTGCCACACTGGTAAGTGGCTTACAATACCCTGTCAAGCAACCGTGCGGCGACGTACCGGTTATCCTGGTGTGCTCTTCTTTCCCCCTACCCTCCACCCCGCCTGCAGGCTCGTCGGACGGTGTCCCAGCACCCTTGCCCACCTCCCACCCCAGCTCGCCCGGCCACTCCAACCTCAACGCAGCCGACCATGTGATGCCGGATCCGGGGGGCGACCCAGCGGCCCAGAACCGCTACCGGGCGGGCGGGGAGGCGGCTGGCGACGCAGGAGGAGCAGATGGCGGCCCGCTGAGACTCCCCCACACAACCCAGGGACCCCGGCTGCCCAAAGGCACGAGCGGCGGGCGAGGCGGCCGCTCGGCGGGGCCTGGTCGTGGCAAGGAGGCCGCTGCTGCTGCGGAGGGGGCTGAGGCGGCTGTGCCTCCGCAGCGGCCGCGTTCCGTCCGCCAAGCCGCGAATGCGGCCAAGGGCTTGTTGCCTGCCTGGCAGCGGCCTTGGGTGGAGGACGATGGTGGGTTTGAGGAGTCACAGCGGCAGGAGAAGCTGCGGCAGGAGCAGCAGCAGCGGCCGCCTCGGCGGCGGCCGCAAGCGCCGTTGCTGCAACCGCCGCCGGATGAGTTGATGCGGATGGAGATGCCTCATGGCTACGGTATGAAGGGCGGCAAGGGGCTCCCCTGGGTGGGCGCCTTGCAGCCCTTCTGGCCGCAAGACGCAGATGCGATGGACGACCCACAACAGCAGCAGCTGCAGCCGCCTCTGCCGCCGCTGCTGCTGCCGCCGCCGCCGCTCCCACTCGCATTCCCACAGCAGCAGCCGCAGCAGGCGGCTCAGGGGGAGGAGGATGAGGACGAGGAGGAAGAGGAGGAGGAAAACGCGGATGAGGGCCCAACGCGGAAGCCCAGCGGGGGTTTGGGGCGTCCAAGCTCGATGCACCGCATGCCTCCGGCGCCGCTGCCGGCGGCCCGCCGGCGGCAGGAAAGGAGGGAATCCCAGGAGGGGTCTTTGCCGCTTCCCTGGCGCCCGAGCATGCAGCAGCCCCTGGATCAAGAGGAGCAGGAAGGAGGCGATGCCGCGGCGGCTGTGGCAGGCGCAACGGCGGCAGGAGCAGCGGGGGCTGCTTTCGGCGGGATGGGTGAAGGCGGCAATGGCGCGTGGCGACAGGAAAAGGGCGGCCCTCGGGGCCAGGCAGCGAAGGCGGAGGCGAAGCTTGAGAAACAGTTGGCTGAGCTTGCACCGGGCGTCAACTGGGGTGCAACCGCGCACAACGAGGTAAGCGTGGGGGAGAGGGAGGAAGGATGCGGTGCCGGTGTTGCCGCTTATAGGCGGCTCCATCACGCCTCTTTCACCCAGGTATCCCACCAGTGTCTCGTCCTGTCCTGTCCTGTAGCACTACTATAGGACAACTCGCTGTCCCTACTCATACCCGTCACGTGCACTAATCTGACGACTCGCCGCAATTGTGTCCTTCCGCAGCTCGACCCCCCACAGCAGCGGCCAGGCTCCGGGCGCTCCGGCCCCCGCAACGGCCCGCACTCCCTCGCTCGCGCCATGCATGCGCCCGTTGAAGCCGCCGCCGCCGCGGCCACCGCAGCCGCGCAAGCTGCCGCCGCCCAGGCTGCCGCCGCAGTCCACCAGAAGATGCTTGCCGTACCTCTAGGCCATGTGGGCTCGCTGGGACCTCTGGCTGCGGCCCTGATCTCCGCCAGCTCGGTCGGGGGCGGTCCCTCTGCACCCCTCAGCCTGGGCTCCCTGGCTTCGGGGCTCCCCGCGGGCCTGCCCACCAGCTTTGAGAGCCTGGAGCAGTTAAGCATCTACCTGGCGCGCGTCAAGATGGAGAAGCTCATTACGGAGCAGGCGGCGCAGGAGGCGGCGGCGATCTGGCAGGTGGCGCAGACGAAGGGGCTGGCGGGGCTGGCCAGTCTGCTGCAGGCGCCGCTGGACAGGAACTGGGACCCGAGGGCGGCGTGGCCGGAGGATGGCCTGGCGTCGGGTAGGAGTGGTCGGGGGCAGCAGCACAGGGTTGCGGACTTGCGGTGCTTGTGTGGGGCTGACGCAGGGCTTGGCATGAATAAACAAAGGCAGCGCCCAGCCTTTTGTTGGGAGAATGAGAACTCTTTCCTCTCAGGAGCCTCCTCACACGTTTTTGACACGCTACCTAACCTGCATCCCTCCTGCTCGCTTCCCACCCTTCTCATCCCCTTCCTCAACCCGCACCTTCCCCAGGTCCTTCCACCTCCGAAACCGGCACCAAGTCCGCCCTACCTCCGCACCGCTCCCACAACCTCCCACGCGACGACCCTGCGGCCTTTGAGCGCCCGGAGCCTCCCCGGCGCCCCGCAGGCGGCTCTCGCGCCGCAGCAGGCACCAAGCGCGCACGACCCGAGCCCCCCACCCAGGACCACCCGGGCTTTCCCCCGCTGCTCCCGGACGCATGGGCGGGGCTGCCTCCCCCAGGCCACCCGGGACACCCCCTCTCCCTCCAAGCCGCCATGGCCCAGTCGCTTCTGTTCGGCGGCGGGGGCTTGCTGCCTAACCCGGCAGCGAATGCAGCTGCATCCGCAGGCGGCGGCGCAGCTCCCTGGCATCATCCTCATCCTCACGATGATGATCAGGAGGACTATGATGATGATGATGAGGACCGGTGTGACTACCCCGAGGACCTCGCCCCGGCCGGCGCTGACGTCACGGACTCCCCACCGCCTCCGTCTTCTAGGCGTCGGGGCAGTACCTACCTGCGAGAGGGCGCGGATCGAGATCCTTATCGAGATCTGCGGGGTGCTGCCGCCCGAGAGGGTGCGCCCCTGCCCAGCCATCGGGGTGCGGCTCGGTCTCGGAGGGAGCAGCGGTTTGAGCGGATGGAGGGAGAGATGCCGCCGCCGCTGTTGCCGACTGCTGGCGGCCGGGGATCGGCGTCGGGGGGCATGGATGCGATGGAAGGTGGTGGTGCGGGTGGCGGAGCGGGTGGGAAGGGCTCCGCGCGCGGCGGCGGTCGCGGCGGGGTTCACCTGCAAAGGCAGCTGTCATCGCAGCAGCAGCAGCAGCACCTCCTCCACGCGGCGGAGGAGATGGATGCTGAGCCCTCTGTGGGTGATGTGGCGCGGGCGCTGCTGTCGTTCAGTCAGCAGCACCGGCCCGGCTGGTGAGATGCGGGAAGGAGGGACGAGGAGGATGAGGGGGAGGTTAGCAGGTGGCGGGTTGAGGAGTCGGCAGGAAGGGGGGGATGATGGAGGTGTGGAATTCATGGATGGATGGGAGCCCGCAGCCGGGGAGGTTCCTCGCATGTGCATGCAGAAGCGCCTGCAAACGCACACCTATTCTTACATGTGGGGTCGTGTTGTCTGAGTGCACGACCGCTTTATTACCGCTGTTTACATGACGACGATGCAGTTCTGCGGTGGGCGGCCGCGGTTGGTTGCGGCGTGCTGTTTGTGTTGGATGTATTCATACGACAATAGCTAGCTATGGGTTGGGGATGTGAATGGTGCTTTCGGCTCTGCAACCTTGTACCTACCGGCGCCTATAGGATGATGGGCAGGACTGTGAATGTAGCTACTACCAACTGATGTTGTTGCGGCGGCGGCCCGCGGAAGACGCTTTTTACCAGTTGCGAAGCATGGCGCATCTTTGTTGAACGGTGGGGGGGGGCATCCGTTGGAAGTTGACATCGGTTGATACACACTGCTTGAAAGAGGAACACGTTTTTCACGGCCCTGTGTTGGCATTTTCGGTGTTTTTGGTGCGGCGCATCTCAGCACAGCAAGCCATCCATTATCGTCTAAGAGGGTGTATGTGGACTCTTGCACTATCCTCTTGGCTATGCAAGTGCTGCCATCGTTCATGAGGGTGCTCATTGCTCGTAGCTTGCGGGTCAAGTCTACCCAACTACTCTAGCTCCTATGCTGCTTCCTAGTGCATGGGTGTGCTAACAAGAAGCTGGCCGCGAGTCGGATTGTGTGCGTGTGCTGCTAGCCGGGCGGTTACCGGGCCCCACAACTCCTGCCACTGCAGGAGTCGATTCCCATTGTGTCAATAGACGAGCTATAGCCTATTGCACCCTTTGCGCGTTCTCGCTTCTTACTTCCTGAGGCTTTTCCCAGAGTTTGTCTGTTTGGCCCTGGACATGCGGGCATGCCTTCCAACAAGGCGTTTCCTCCTGCTTTGCTACCTACCGGTGTTTCCTTACCGGGCAAAGCGCACGGCGCACCGGGGTAGCTTAAGACGCCGCCATTGGGGACGTAGCGGATCGGGAATGTGGCACTGGCCCGCACAACTTGGGGCATTGGGGTTCGTTATGAGGTGTTGGGGGGTGGGTTGGCTTGCGGATGCTGGTGCCAAAAGGTCAAAAGTGGCCATGCAGGGTGGCGGGTGGATCGGTGGGGTCTTGCAGCGTGTATGGGGAGGCAGGCTTGCAGCAATCGACCCTAGCTACGCAGCGCAGCAGAGGCTCAAAGACCCCTTGAGGTGGGACATGGTTGCGAGACTGGCAACAAAGTGTCTTGCAACAACTTCGGGCATTGGGCTGCGATGTCAGTTGTTGCATGCTGCCCCCTTTTTTGCGCTCTGTGGATGTTAACAAAACAGGCTGTGCGTGTTTCGGGTTGATTCGGCAGTTTTATGCTACGACAGAGGGGCCATGGTAGCGGTTGCTCTGTCCACGAGTCAGACGTTGTAACAGCAAAACCAACTCACAAACGGCTGACCGGTACCGTATTGTCCCTTTAATTGACAAGAATATAAATATTTTGCGTTTTGTCAAGTGGGGCTGAGCGTTTATTTGGCCGTCAATTGGGGCTAAAACTTTGCTGGCAAGGCTAGGCAAGGTGTCAAGTGGGGGCGTAAGTGCCAGGGGCCCAGGATCCTCAGAAGGCCATGCCTAAACGTCAGCTTTTGGGACTTTTGGATAGAAACCCGCCAACAGCAGGTCAAATGGGGCAGATATTATTTCCGTCTTGTCAGTTGGGGCTGGAAAACAGGCTTCAAAATGTCAGTTAAATGTTGGGCAATACGGTATACGCATGTGGCCTCATAATGACTCCGTTGGGCTGCAAGGGGCGCGAACCCTACTCTGTTTGAGCCGGAGGGGGCTGCTTAGAATGGGGTTACTTCCATTGCTTTAGGCACTGGAAAGGTTGGTGACACTGCCTGACCATATGGTAGTGGAGGAAGACATCTTCTGCCCTAGGAAATGGAGTCAAGGGTCTTGGGAGGATGACTGCGAGGTTGGTTGGTTCTTTAAGCATTGTGGCCAGTTTTAGTTACACCTTTTTATTTCTTACCCCTCTTGTGCTCACGAAGCCTATACTCACAAGGCCCATTCTCATCCACAGCTAACGCTCTATTTGAACGCCTTCACCAACACCATGCGTCCCTGGCACACCTCAACCATTTGAAAGCTTATAGCCGGATTCGTCACAAACCCAAGAGACCCGGATGCTCCTCTACTGGCCACAGCTGCACATCAACCCAAAGCACTTGCAAAAAAAAGGGCAACAATGGAAAACGAAACAGGATACCCGTGGCTTAGGCTCCTGTTTGGCCGCAGACGCCGACTGGTCCAGGTAGCTTCTGTGCAACCCACAATACAGCAATGGGCCATTCTCGTAGCCACGGGTGGCAGGATGTGGACATCGGTCGCCCTAATTTGGTCCATTCGCTATTATTCCGTTGCATCTGCCGTCGGAAGCCATGTTGACCTACAAGGAACAATTCGTGCGGTTAGGGTCAAAAGCGGCACCTCTCAAGGGTCTTCCGCAAGTAGTGATACTCACTCAGTTGCGCGGTGTCGGCAACACAGTGTGCGACCTGCAAGCAGCGGAGGGCATGGCCTTATGGTGATCATTTGGTTACGGTGCGCTTCATACAAAAGCATGTTGACCTATCGAATGCCTGCTCAATGTTCATTAGTGTCAAGGCGGCCGATGTAACTTCTCATTAATCGCCAGTATACGTAGGCCAATAAGCATAATGTGTCCATTGCTGCGACCCGAGGACCCTCGCCCACGCGTCTTGGCTAACTCTAAGCAGACACATCATACCATCATCATGAGCGGCCGCAGCGTTATCACTGTTAGCGCACCTGGCTGAGAGGGAGCGCTATGGACGTCCTGAGCCTCCAGGTAACTATAAGTATAACAAGTATTGTCGAAGAGACATGCAAAAGGCAGCTTCTCATCAGTACCTGCCGCTCGCTCGTACCTGGGCCGTTACGTCGACTCCGACACGCACCTGGCGAGCAAAAGCTAAAGCTCTCTACGGTTACACTATTTTATTTCCGAGTCAGGCCACACATGGGCGCCCCACGCGCGCGCCGGGAGTCTCCAGGAACAACGTAAAGGTCCGGGGAGTGAAAGGTCCCGTCGAGGGCGGGGCCGCACCTCGACGTGAACGTACCACCCGCTTAAAGATGATGGGGTCGGGGCGGGGACCTAAGTTGCTCACGGGCTGCCGGAAGGGGATGGCCTAGCGATGATGCCCTAGTTTGAAAGACCTCGGCGCGCTTTGCTATTGGGACAGATCGGATGGGCGAAATTAATGCGATGGACCCAATTTGCTCTTGTAAGGAGGTCGTGTCATTTAGATCAATTCACCCACAGGAAACGCGACCATGGCGTCCGAATCGCGGAGCGGCTGGAAATAAAGTTAATGTATCACCTAATTACTTGCAAATGTCTACTGATTATTGCTTCCTGTGCTGGTGCTCGGCGTGTGCCATGGCTGCAACGAGTCTTCTCGCTGCAGTTGCATCGGGTGCCAATGGCGTTCGTTGTTACAAAATTATTGTTAAAATTATTGTTAAAATTAATGCTACAAAATATTATTAACAGTATCGAGGTCGATATAACAATGCCTCTTAAGGTAACGCCACATTGCCTTTTATTAACAATTATAGCTAATAAGCCTAATTTGTGTATCCCAAGAAATTCGCTGTGCTTTTCTCATATGCAAAGGTATGACTACGTATGGATAAGGTGTACAGCTTGGCGTCGTCCGCGCAGACTGCAGTAATGCCTAGAGTGCCACTTGTGCCATATCCTGTCAATAACATCTCCAGTCAGCTCCATTGTAGTGTCCTACCTTTACCTTCCATATGCGTAGACATGCACGCCGATGTGCTATGACTACAGTACCCTTAGCACGCATCCCGTGTGCACTCGGATGGTGCTGCTGGCATTGCAGGGTGCGCAAAGCTCTGTGTCGTCCAAGGGTCGGTTGGCCAGCAAAGCACGGAAGCGGCGCCGTGCTTGGAACCAAAAGCGAATGTAAAATTTGCGTACAAAGTTATGCTGCACCTGCCGTACAAGTTGGCTGACCACTTGATGTGTTAACAGTCAATCCGGGGCTGACACAGAGCTCAGAGACGTCCCTAGCAACGTGTACCGGTATTTCATCGGAACAAGCTGAAAACAGCCGTACGCAAGCCGGGATTCTAACCGGCAGCGTACCGGTGCTTTGGCCTTGGGTTTTTGAGGGGCAGCTAGCGTGGAGTGTCACAGCCGTCTGTGGAGCGCATCTTGGTGGGGGAAGGGGCACCAGCAGCCCCTTTTAGCTTTGGCAGCTCGTGAAATGCGCCTGTAGCCGCTGTCTTCCAAACAATTGTGCACCCGCAACGACGAGCAGTCTACCTCAGCGTTTTTTTTTCGTTTTCGAGGGGGTATTTTTTTTGGGCCCCTGA